TCGGCAGTAGCAAGGCGGCTCTTTGGATCTCAACAGGAGTCCACCGGTTCGTGTTTCCGAGAGCACCAAGGAAGAAATATATCGACTAATCGCAGATTGAGCAGGATCTATATCAGCTACATCGGATGACACACTAGGTGGGTGCGCAGGTACGTGTTCTCAATGGGCTGTATGTCGTAGCACGGGGCTTGGTCTAACTAATAGCAGAGCCATCGGTCACCGTGTCAACAGATGCCGAGGAGGATGGAGCGTCAGCGCAAGTTCGGAATAGCCTAAAGCGAGCCGCTAGCTCCGTTAGAGACGGGCCGGCCAGGAAAAGAGTGAGCTCGTGGAAGGTGCAGGATGCCCGAGAAGCTGGAGGTCGAGAATAATGTAAAATAGAAAAACAAACGATTAGCTTTTCAGTGTAATTTCAAGTGTATTCATGGCCCGCTTTGTATCCCATTAGAAATCGAGTGAGCAAAACATGAAACTTAGGTTAGGTAATAAAAAATGAGGATGTTGAGCTATGCAGATTCAAGATTTCGGCTCCACGACAAGATTTTGGCCCAAGTCTCAAGTCTTTTGAGAGAAAATGTGGCTAAGCTGTGGTGGCGTCTGAGATGTGGCGTCCGAAGTGGCGCAGTCTTTGTGGCGCAGGTGGCGGTGTTCCAGGTGTTGGCTTTTTCGAGGGGGCGGAAGGAAGAGCCTTTCGTTCCTCAAGGCACATGGTGGCTTGCCCTGCGAGACGTGATCCGACAGTATAGCATCCCTACGGCAACCCACAATGAACCCTAGGAACCAAAGACACAGCACAACACAGCACAACCAGCAAAATATGACCACACCGTATCGCCTCAATAAACGAAAAGCCTGCCATTGTATCCCCGGGTCTCCCTTTTTGAAGCGCCCTCGAACGAATCCCTCAGTGCCGCCGTGGCCAGAATCGCGACCGACCGAAGCCTCGTCCCTAAATGGTCTACTGAGGCAACATAACAGGGTCCGCCTGTACGTCTCTCCCCTTCATTGGACCTCGCAGCACCTCGAGCTTCTTAACTTGCGCTATAAGAAGAAGAAAAGGAAAAGCGGCGGAGAAGTTAGACGAAACGACGGCGGCCACAGGCCCACCTTTGAGACGACAGCAACAAGTCGGCAGCTGCAGTGCCAAAGCACACCTGAGTTCAAGACATCCGTAGTTCGCTGCCTCCTCCAGGATCTTGAACTCCAACCATGCGAGAAGTAGCAGAAACTACTTCTGCCCGAAAGCCTTTACTCTATACTAACATTTACTAGGTCTGACCTACCCTTTTTTTTTGATCGGCGCATTGTCCAGACTCTCAATACCAATGGCGTGTTTTCCTCCTCGTCCTCGCCGTCCCGTGCAGCCACGCCGGTTCTTGCCTATGTCGACTTAGCCACTGTCCAATCGTGGCGTGATGATTCGATCATAATATCAAAGAGCAAACAAATCAACCTTCCCATTGCCCGTCTCCGACAAAAAGTGGTCCAACGCCTCCGGCCAGCCAAGAAATGGGAGGACCCTTATATCGCAGCCGTGTTGATCGCTCTCGCTCAAGGGCAGAGGTATACACTACAACAAGAGGAAGGGCCACCAACATCAAGTGAAGTAAGAGGGGGTGAGGGCAAGACAAAAGAAAAATGGCTCATGTCATCACCTACATGCAGACCGCCAACGCCTCCTTCGACGCCTCCTCCTCCGCCTCCTTCGACGCTTCCTTCACTGACGACTGGCTCAAAGCCGCCACCACAACCAGAATACTGCAAGGTATTTCCGTCCGTTAGAGGACTGTGTTCTCGTCTTCAGGTTTAACTTATACTAAAGTCGGTTTTGGAAGGTTCACCTCCTCGCCATGTTTGCTCAATGCCTCTATCTCTATACAGCGCGTATCTCCTGGACCTACCTCGACAGGTTCAACATGCCATCGCGGCACTTTGCTAGCGATCCAGTGCTTATTACTTATTCCTGTATTCCGATCAACCAACCAGCACGAATCATTAATGCATTGAATCGTGTTATTCCTCGGTGATTTAGTCCATGCGACGCTCTGCCCTCGCCTTCACCACCACGACCTGCGAAGGAGCTCCGGAAGCCCACCAGCCCGATATAAAGAACGGTACCATCTCTGAAGACATGGGAAAGACTCTCAAGTACTAATGAAGGCAATGGAAGGATTAGGCCTGAATGCGGGATGTGGTGTAGTGGCGTATTGGGTAGCTACGATCACGAGATTATTTTTGTTGGAAGGCGAAAATTGGGAAAGGCGGGTCACATGCTAGAGAAGCAAGATACAGCCCACCCGTTAGATGGATCTGGATGGGCCGATCCTTTTAACAAGTTGTACACTTGATAGGTTGGATTTGGCACTCCTTCGCTGACCAGCCTGTGGTTTCCACGCAAGGACTCGTTCACGTACGCTGTTAATCATCATGCCATAGTTTGAGTGGCTCTGAGTGGGTTCTATCCAAGATAACTCCTATCAATTACATCCATCAGGAACAGCATATACAAGTTGATGAGGGCTTCTCCTGGACCAGGTCTCGGTGTATCAACATCAACTCCTTTCGTGGATATCGTACTCAGATTATCAAAATACCTCCAGCAAACATCTCCATCTAGGTGGGGAGGCATCGCCTCTTTTCTCGGGTTAATCTTTTCATTGTTTAGTGTCCAGGACTAATTTACAGTAAACGACTCGAGGCAATATTTACCTGTGACGAAAAAGCCGGCACAGACTTCCAACTTGAGACATAATATTGCCTGCTATCATGATTTTCAAGCCTTCTTCTGTTGAAGAAAATCCTCCAAGGCATAATGCCTCAAGATGAGGCCATATAAAGGAACTCTCTAGCACTGAATCAAAGGGTATAACCGCATGTGTGTCCCAAGAAATTCGAAGGTAGCGAAGTTGCTCGAAGTTTTGTAGAATCAGCTTGAGGCCCTTCTGAAGTGATACTTCAGCATGTTCGCCATCCACGAAATCATCCACGAGAGAAAGCTCAAGACGTGTCAACAGGCTCCAACTTTCAAAACTAATATTCTTAGAAGGAGTAAAGAAGGAGGACCCGAGGTTTCTTATGCGGAGGAGCCGGATTTTTGCGTTCGATGTGGTAAGGGCATTATGAATAGTTGTGAATTCATCATGGCCATAATTGCTTCTTTCGGCGTGGTAATAACCAGTTACCCAGTCCTCTGGATTTTCATACTCCCTCGGGGCGTCGATATGTGACGAGTCCAAGCCGCCATCCCCCTCTATGAATGGCAGCGGCTCTTTGATATGCCCTGGATTATTGAATTCCCGTGGTGATTTTGTGGGCTCTGAATTAGGATTTCCATACAGAAATGTAACTTCTTCCAGATTCTTAAGCCTAGAGATAAATTCCTGGAGGTCCCTTTTCACCGTTTCCGAAGCTGCATCCGGGCTTTGTCGATCGGATAACCGCCCTTGTATGTATGTGGGCGCGCCATCGCCTGGATATTGTATTTTCGAAAAGACGACTGATCTAACGGTGAGATTAAGGAATTTGACTGAAAGCATATTCATGAGTTTGTGGTGCTTCAGTTCAAGAGGGGCATGAACTCTTCGGAAAATGTGTTGGCGGCCCACTTCTCCAAGGAGCTCCCCAGTTGACCGGAGACGTTTCAGACTCTTGCCATCTAGCCATAAGCAAATTTCGCTCAAGATCTCGAGAGGAATTGTGGTCAGTGATAGCGGCATCGTGTTTATGACGAAGGAAAATATAACAGAGCGGGTAAAGGCTGTCGTGGTGCAATTCTACATAATGAGCTACAGTTTTAATTGGCCCAACCCCTGTATCATGTGACCAGCTGCCTACATAATCATCCCTCTGAATACAGTCAGTCCAATTCAGCCCTCTGATTACGCAGCTCAACTTCCCAGCTAAACCTATATAATGCCGTTATACTGTCATTTGAACTTTTGTAGCTATAGGAGATATACTCCTCCCTATATCTCAAAGACATTTAGTCGCTAGCTTCCAACTGCTGGCATGTCGTGGTACCTGTTACGTCAGCCAATGTCTTACCATCTACTCTCTATAAATTTAGGAAAGTCCCCGCCTTCTCTCTTTTGATATCTTGTTTTCCTTTCGTCTACCTTACTAAATTTTACCATGGCGCGCAATGAGGATTCCATTTACACAAGACCCTGGTGTGATCTGTGCAAATTCTTTTTCAACGAGAGAGATCATGTCGCGATCGGTAGGGCTGCCTTCTGTTACCTTGAACGCTTGTTTGCTAACAGCTACAGTCAACCCCAGGGGCTTGATTTCTCATGAATTGCGATATCACTCTTCTTGTCTAGAAGCGATCGATGATGACTATGAGGAGCAAGTTTATTTCCCGTCTCTTATGGACATCCCGTCAGGCCCTCAGGCTTATTGCTGCCACATTGACTGTGCAAGGAATCTGGAGCCTACAAAGCTGTTATTGGCCCTAAAGAAAGTTTCATACGACTATGTGCCTCCATTGACATACTTCGAACGGCGTAATCGTTGGCTGCATGGAAAGCTAGCTTCCCATTTATGTTGTCATTGGAAACGCTTGCCCCTTGAGTTGAGCTCATCTGCTGTTCAATACTGCCTTCCTCAGCTCGCGTCAGCTTACGCATTATCGACTGCTAAGTTCCATGCCAAGGAGGAAATGAAACTTCGACTTTACGATGATATATGGGTGCAGTATATCACATATGAGGACATTGTTTACATCGCAGCCTTAACAAACACACGCCCTGTTGATAAAGACTGTGCTAGCCCCAGCGTGAGGCTATCAAGACCAGAGGGTTCAGTTAAATCGATTCACGTCGCGCTAGATCATCTCGGTATCCGCTCCGTTGTCATGGCTTCAGACACAGAGAAACCTAAGAATATCAAGCAAGAAGGAATATGGTGGACTTCTATATTGATTCAACAACAGAATGAAATCATATGCCATAGTGATGTAAGTGTAATATTCTATGATTAAGCCAGCGACTAACATTATTAAGGGCATGAAATTGCGTAGGTTGACGCATTCTGCAACCGACCCAATATCATGGAATCGGTACTGGGCCGCTCCCCAGACAAATCAAAATCATTTACAACTCCACACTCTCATATCGAATACTCTTCCGCTCACTCGTATGAACTTTTTCGAATGCAATCGGCAGTACATCAAGGGTTATTCCGCATATTGGAGCTCTCGCTTAATCACAATCCATACACATCGCAGAGGAGAAGAAGACTTGAGCTTCTATCGTGACTGGTCCATGCGGCGTCCAGATGGAGTCTGGCTCTATATGCCAATAGACAAAACAGAGACTATCGAGGAATTTTGGAAACGACCAGATTCTCGGGGCACCGCAGTTTTAGTTGTTAGTAGTATTGAAACCGACATCAAGTGCTCATACTAATGCTGGCAATATAGATAAAGACAAGCGAAGGCCGAATATGGGAAATAGGGCCAAGGCCTAAAACTAACCAACAATTTGATTGGTGTTTATTAAATCGATCAAGAGCGGAACAACGGATTTTCATCAACCAATGTTGGTTTGGTATTGCAAATCTTGGTTTCCAAAGATCTTCTCTTCCAGGCTCGGTACCCCCACCGACTGTTGTCCCTAAATCAACATACCCTCCAACACGATGGGCTGAGCAGTTCTTTTATTCATCTGCCCCTCTTACAAATGTAACTTCAGTCCAAATTTGTCGAAATAAGATAGGAGGGGCAGCAGATATCATCGGGGTGCTCCTTTCTTATCAGGATGGCCGCCATAGAAGTCTCGGCCAAGTGCGGTTCGACTGGCTTTGCCAAACACTGGATACTGGGAGTGCACAGGGTATAGCATACACCCTTGCACCAAACAGAAGGAAGGTTATGGATTTCACGATTAGAGATGAAGCTGGTGGTCCAGATTGGATATTTATAAGCTGGACAGGGAATCTAGCTTGGTGGTTTTCAGGAACAGGCTGTAGGCTCTGCCATGAAGACTAAACATTCATTATCTCATTCAAGGGGCGATACATATCATTTGTCGAGACCTGATAGTTTGTCCTGCCCAGAATAGCTCGGCTGATTAATGACGAGGGCGCTTTCGTGTCCAGTATCTCTCATCCTTTTTATACACATAGTAACCCTCCCCTTTCTCCTTCCAGTCGCTGCGGGTTGTTTCTATTTTTTTATTATGCTTATCCTTGAAATCGTAAGTTGTTTTACGATTCCTGTGCTTCGTTTTTGAGAGCGTTTTTTTATAACGTGGGTCTCCGCGATAACTATCCTTACCCTTACCCTTCTCCTTCTCCTTCTCCTTCTCCTTCTCCTTCTCCTTATCATCATCATCACCATCATCACCATCATCATCATCATCATCACCATCACTGCTGCTCTCCTCGTCCATGGCACTGGCGTTCTCCTGGGTTTCAACATAGGCTGTACTTGTCTCGCCTTGGCCGTATGTAGCAGCATGGTCTGCACTTGTCTCGCCTTGGCCGTATGTAGCAGCGTGGTCTGCACTTGGCTCGCCTTGGCCGTATGTAGCAGCATGGTCTGCACTTGTCTCGCCTTGGCCGTATGTAGCAGCGTGGTCTGCACTTGGCTCGCCTTGGCCGTATGTAGCAGCATGGTCTGCACTTGTCTCGCCTTGGCCGTATGTAGCAGCGTGGTCTGCACTTGGCTCGCCTTGGCCGTATGTAGCAGCGTGGTCTGCACTTGGCTCGCCTTGGCCGTATGTAGCAGCGTGGTCTGCACTTGTCTCGCCTTGACCGTATGTAGCAGTATAGGCTGTATTATCAGCCGCAGAAGGATAGGCTGTACTTGGCTCGTCTTGAATATATGTAGCAGAATAGGCGATACCTGACACGCCTCCACCAGATACATTATATCCCTGTATCTGGTCTGCTGGCTGGGTCGATGGCTGGGCTGATACTGTCTGGCGATAGTGATTAAAATTTTCTGGGTCTTTAATTGCGCGTATGAAGTTTCCCAAAATGAATGCATCATCTGCTGTTCGTATATCGAACCAGTCTTGAGTATTTCGGTCACTCACGAAAACCTTCAGCCCTTCGCTACCCCGATTCATATACCAAACAGAAAATAGTGGCCCAACTGCCACCATCACCGGTATATATGGAAGCTGATACCTCTCCAGATTTTTCGAGGCGTATTTCGCAGCCTGGCTTAAAGCATGGCTGCGATTATAGCTTGTCCGTTTCAGTTCTACCATGCCAGCCAGAGTAAAGTAGTGAGGGGCTTCAGGGTCGTGAGCAATAGCGACAATATCAACTCGATCTCTTCCTTCATCCGGTGGGAACTCGCATGCCGCCAGCCAACCATTTTCGACGCGAAAGTAGTACTGGAATATAGCTTGATAAAAAGCGCTTGTGGCGAATTCTATATCATTATTGAGCATAAAAGAATAAAGACTTTGCATAAGGGGATATTGCGGTAGGCACTCAGGCAGTGAGTATTGAAACGCCTGTCGATTATCCATTATAACACGTAGTGATAGAGATGCTAGGGCTGTCGCTTGAGAGTTCAGTTTTTTTTTTTTTCAATTCTAAAGGTGATTGACTTAATTGAGAAGAGCTTTCTCGTTGAGAAGGGCTTTTTATACACAATTAGCAGGCCTTGGCAGCCACATGGCACGGGCAATGCAACGGTTGAAAGTGATCGTAGCATTTACTTTGCGGTAGGTGTGGGGTAGTCTTTTCGAACGGGTGTAGTATGCATACAACATGCGTGGTTCTATAATATTGATTATCAAGCGTGAACATTGAGGGTTGTTATTGCGACTTGCTGGGAGTCACCTGGAGACTTTGTGACCTGATTCGTGCCCCTCTTACAGGGATTATAGGTAAGAGATGGGGAGGAAAGATGTCCTGGGAAGAGTAGTATGAGCCAAGGACCTAAGGAGCCAAGATCCGGGAGCTCAGAGCTAAGGAGTCAGATCCAATTGCGCCATACGAGATTTCATTATGTATACAAGCGACACGTCGGAAGTGTTTGGATGAGCTGGTCTGCATATGGACGTAACTGGAAACTTCATCCCTGTGGCGAAGCATGTCACTCACCAAAGTACCATTATGATCAACCTGGGTCTCTTTCCAATCCTCCTCCTCAGTTTTCACCTCATTTCTTGGTGTGGAGATCCTCGAAGCGAGTTGTTCCTCTCTTTCGCTTTGCTTGTACAAAATCATACTGAGAATCTGAGATCGTCGGGACCCTAGCTGTTCTTGGACGCCCAATTGGGAAACAGATTGTGTGACGGAATCCATCCCGGCCTCTGTTGAGCCTCCCTGATGACCAGTTTAATCCATCCCCGACCCCGCTCTCCCGGACCCGGCAGAGCTTCACTATTGGCCGCCAAGCCAGAATATGCAATTTATAGATTGTGCTACTGTGATGAGTCCGCATAATATCAGAGTGTTATTCCTAGATTAGTTGATTGTGTGTGTGGGGCAACGCGCAACACTTGGCAAGTCGCTCGGTAACTACGTACCTCGGTAACCTTGACACTGATTCTCACGGTAATCAACACGATCACTTACCCCTGCGCTGACCCACACGGTAACTTTCTGCGGTAACTCTCAAGGTCAATTTCAACATGGAACTCTCAATAAAAGTGGAGTACAGTAGCGCCAAGCTAAGATAACGTAGTTGTATCCGGCTCATGTGACTACAATAACTTTTGCTCAACATCCATCTTGCGAGGCATTTTTGGCCATCCATCGAAACGCCTACCTACAAAGTCCCACCTCACCCTACAATACGTCAAGTAACGTACTACATTAATTATGTCAGAGGATCAGCTCACAGCTAGCGACGTCGCTTCCGTTTTCGTCACCCAAATCAGCGCTTTCTCAAAACCTCGCGATTATACCCTGGTCCAGATGGCTTGGTCGCTTGTTCCGGAACAGGCCCTAGACAGAGTGTTCCTGGCCCGGGGTTTTGTTGTCTGGCTTGGCCTCTATCTTGCCAGGCGTAAGAAAGATGCAGCCCGTTGGGATCGCGATAAAAGCCGGTGCGAATGTGCTATCAGAACATTGGACCAAGAGACGCCGACGTTCTGGGAATCTACCGCGAATCAAGTCAAGTCTGACGTTTCTCTTTCCCAACCACAACAACAGAACATTGATAACGTCTACCAAAAGCTAATGATGACACCGGGACCCTGTGGGTATTCCAATCTTTCAGTTGAGAGCCTCGTTAACTGAACCAGCTATTGGGGGTACTACCGGGCAACATGCGATGCCGACTGGAGGGCCACCGTCCACCCCGAACAGTGGTAGAAACCAGCTGCAAGCATCTGACAACAGAACTACAGAGCAGCTATCCGCCGCCGAATACAGCGGCTGGGAAAGCCCTAGCCGCTGCTCGTTGAATAAGGCAACACAATTTTTCCCACCGGACTTTTCTGCTAACATTGCGAGAATCCCATGGCCCGTTCACACGAGGAGCTATTTGAGAGAGAACTATTGCCAATTGCAGATTGCAATAGCCGAAGACAAATTACCGCACTTGGCACGAGATCTGTTCAGAATACGTGTGGAAACGAATGGCAATGACCGGTGTGTGGCATTTCCAAACTCTGTGGCGAAAGTTATACCGAACCCCTACACCTCGGTGAGCGGGATTCTTCTGGAAGACTTTGAAGCATATTTTGGCAGTCATGCCCGGAAGGCGGTCAGCGACTGTCCCAAGTTTCTGGAACAAGCCCCGCTGTGCCTGCGCGGTACAGATTGTGTCACAATGATGATTCCACGCAGTATCAGAGAATTCGTGACGATAGATATATGTGTTGGTTTATGGATCGGATTAGAAATCCAAAAGTCCCTGGGTGCAGAGGGTTATGGTTCATCCTTCAATCGCCTTGCCCCCTCCGTAAATTAGGAGTGAGGTGCCAAAATTTACTTTTCCTTGCCCGCTCTCTTCTCCGTCAGACTCGCGGACGGGCTTTTTCCAATCCCCCGTGTTATAAACTTTGTATTGACAGGATGTGAAGTACACCATTTGCCCCTTGCCGATGACTTGTAGCGGGAGCCCAGAGGCATTTTTAAAGAAGTCGGCTTCTTGTGTAAGGGCCGCCTTTTCAAAGGACTATTGAGTGAATTAGAAGCTTTCTAGCCTTGCTGTGGTTGGGCACGTACCATCGGGACTCTATCAAACAACAACGATCGGGATAGCGCGATGCTTGTTTGTTGTAGAAGTGAAGTGTTCGTCCTTAGAAAGGTCGCGTTAATGCGTGCCAAGATGGCTCCGTGTATAGGAACTCGGCGGGCGTCTCGAAACTGGAAGAGTTTTTCTAAATACAAAATGTTAGGGATCGTGTGGGTTGTTTTATCGCGAGTGATTTTTTTGGGGAGCTGTCATCGCCTGACGGTGGCCTCTTCGCGATGGGGATAATTTTGCAGGTTGTCGCAGAGTCATCTCGGAGTTGGGCAGCAATTGGCGAGAAACTGATGTCGACAGCAGACGGGACCTGCACTAGAACTTGGTAGTTAAGGCAGCACAGCGGGTACCCATCGATTAATTGTAAGCGGGGTGTGGACGAATGAGAATTGATGAGTGGTGGGGCCATCGAGGTCAGAGGTATTTACTTCGACCCATAATTATGCTATCACTTTCATCCCGCCTTATCCACAGTGCATAGCACCAAAATAGTACTCAGGGCATTGCCCCACCAGCACGCTCCCAATCTCTCCACTACGTCAATTTCGCGCCATGTTGGTTGTACACTACGTTATTTTTGCCCTACGCCATTTTTGCACTACGCCATTTTTGCACTACGCCATTTTCGTACTACGTTATTCTTGGCACTACGGCATTTTTTGCACTACGTTAGTTGTACACTACGTTATTTTTACACTACGCCATTTTTGTACTACGTTATTTTTGCACTACGTTATTCCCCATGACCACAACGCTATCTTTGAACCGCAACTTGTTGAAGTCAGCGACCCACAAGAAACAAGGAACAAGGCCGATTGTGTCACACAGTTTATCAGACTGTCCCGTCCGAGTTTGGCAGTGCGTGAGCCTCTCATTGGTCAATGAACCTGCCCACGAGCCAGGTGGAATTTAGTCGATGGTGTCTCTGTCTCTGGAAAGAATGGAATGAGAAGACGAGCCCTCAGCCGGCATGAATACCGGACATCACTAACGAGCCATCCCATCTAGTCAACAGTCACATTTGAGTATCATTAGTTTATCTGGGGGAGAAGGGAAGCATGGCGTGCTTCAAAGCCTGGAAGCTCCCGGACACCAGCTTTGGCTTGACCAGTGACTTGCCCATTAAGCAGCGTACTATAGCGGAGCGTAGAGGAGTATGGTTGCGGTACGGTAAGATCCGTATGTTAGCGACGTAGGCATGGCAAGACCGTTCCATTTTAGGACATAGCAAGGAAGGGAAAGATTCACTTGCCAATGTGATATCATTTCGTTAGATAGGAAAGCCGCATGAGACTGACATTAGAGACATTCCAATCATGGACAAGTCGTATTGGGCAAAGCGTCAACAAAAGACGCTGTAAAGCTTCCAATTTGACAAGCACAAGAACCAGGCCACGCTGCATATGCGGCCCTCCAGATTTCTGGATAGGAGCTCCGTCGGCAGCTGTATCCGCCATGTGTAGCTTGGCTGGACTTGAGATGGGATATCCGGGACCGAAATGACTGCTCAGTCAATGACTTGAATTAAGTGGGAGACTTGTGAAGCTTCCCGAAGTATCGCATCTAACGGATGGACAAGGGTGCAGCCAACATCCATACATTCAATCGAGCGGAAGGTGGCCGCGGCCATGCAGTAACTCGACTTCGAGGACAAGGATGCAGCCAACCTGCATGCTTACAATCGAGTGAAGGGTGGCCGCGGCCATGAGGTGCCTTAGCGCAACGCCGACCACATCAGAAGTTCGTTCGTGGAGCCACTGCCCCTGATGAGACACGTTCGATCTTCTCCATATCAAGATGCAGGTCAAACCGGAAGGAACGAGGTTGCAGCCACCCCACGCATAGGTAGATTTGTTATGGACGGTTGTGTACTAAATGAACAGGTCGTGACATATAAGAAGAGCAATAATTCCCCTTTGTCTGCCCAAAAAGTCCCCAGGCATAGGAAACTGATCACAACTGGCCATATTGCTCGCAAGTTGTCCGCACTATTGAAGATTGTATCTTCGTTTCTTAGCTCAGATCTCACACGCTATCTTGACTGTCCTACAACGATTACTATATAGCCAGCTGGCCTCGCGACGAGCCAATCAGACAATAACATTGTGCAGGCTCGAGCTGTTAAATCCAGGTTCGCAATATATACCTTACCGTTGCTTCCTCTGCTAACACCTCTGATTGGTTTCACCTTTCTAGTTGCTAGCTCGAAGTAGTCACGTCCATTGTATGCGGGCGCAGCAATTTTCAAATACCGGTGTCAGACCCTGTATTACCTGCGCAATGCCGAACACACAGCAAAACGACAATAGCTTCAAAAGTTCAAACCCTTCACAAAATTCCTCTACGCCTCCTGAAGATCCGAGTAAGATCAATGGGGCCGGTCCGTCCCATACCCAGAACGACAATAACGGTAGTGGAATCAACATAGGCCAAGGCTCTTCGGGAAATCCAGAGCCAATTGAAATCCCATCAGACGATAACTAGCTACTCCGGCAAGGTAGAGTTTGGTAGACCGAGGAACTATTGGGGGGGGGGGGTTTAGGGATGCGTATGAATTCACAACTATTTTACAAATAATCGCTTCCTTTTTTCTGTGACCTAGGCCGTGTAAACCTTTGTGCCCGATTACTGAGTACTGTGAGAGTCTTGTGTGTTCAAGGCCTCCCAGCTCGACCTTACATGTCGTTGCCGAAAGCGTCACGTGCCGATAATTTGTTATTTGATTCGCAACTCCCAGACGTTGGATCTGGGAAAGGTTTCTTCCGATTCTTTATCGTGATGGATTTGGAAGCATTGCAGCACCTTTCGCTAGCACCACTTGTATCGCCTGCTATGAGGTGTGAGAAAATTACACTTCCGTCTGTCTTGACAGCATCAATACATAACTTGTGTTTCGGCGGAATATTATTTTCTCCGTGCTCGACTTTAGTGGATACTCTACATGTCACGTGCGGTTTCACGGTTGAACATGCACATTCGGACTGTGTCAGGTGCCAATCACATCCAATTTTACATATCCAAGGCATTCAACTCAAGGCATAAATAGTTGCCCTAAGTGTGATGCCTCATTCCCGGCTTTTCTTGTCTCAGCAATATTTCCATGCTACGACAGCATGGAGGACACTTTCGCCCTGACAAAAGCGTACGAAAGCCTCCTTCTTGAGGCCAGTGAGAGCGCTATGATTACTGAGAATTGGGAGCGTATGGGTCAGAGCAGCGCCTGTCAGAGCAGCGCCCAGAAGTCCGAAAACAACGACAACGAAGATGAAGTCTACGAGTGCTCTACACGTACTAAGGTACAGCATGAATTGGCCGTCCAATTTCTCAAAGACAACGTATGTATAGTCATCCTAGCAAAGCTAATATACTCACCGATTGCTTAGAGGGAAAAGCTTCCCAACTGTCGAATGTTTATTCGAGGTCCATATCAAATGAAGCGAGGCAGAGTATTCATTGGTGACGGAAGTATGATTATACTCCCTCTTAAGGGTAGGGAAGTTGCAAAGGATGATTGGGAGCCTCGGCATGGACCTTCAAGAGGAAAATACGTGCCTGTCGATTGGCAAAGCTGTAAACCATTTCTAGTCCCAGATGATCATTCCCTAACCTTGACAAAGGGTGAGATATTTTTCCTAGTAATACAGTTCGCGGGAAAACAGGTAGCAGGCAGCACCTAAAACAGCCGAATTGTATTTAGTCTAAGTGATCTAAAAATTCTGGAAACGAAAGCTCATCGATGTCACGAGTATCTAGTTGGATCCCACCGAGCTCAGCTGCAGGGAAGTCATACATCATAGTCTGTCGCTGTTCAACATCGCCAATTTGACCATGCGGGATATCGCTTCTTGATATAGGGCCCAGCATTTCTGTAGTGGAAAGGCTTGCACCGCCTGGGCTGTCCTGGGCGAGGCTAGTAGCAGCATATGACAGGAGACCGAGAGACGTCGTGTCCAGATCTTGGCAGTCACCACCTCCTTGTAAGCAAATGCCGACATCCACCTCTTCCGACTCAGTTATGCGTGCTGGATCGACATTGACAGGTGCCTGGCCCGCAAGATAATGGATTGGCGGGGATGATCCATCTGGAACATTGACGCTGTCCGATTCTTCTTCAGGAAAATTTCTGGTTCTGGCACTAGAATACGAGACATGAACAACGTCCAACTGCTGTGCTGGGCTTTCAGCCGGTGCGACCAAGTCCTCGCTAAACAAGCTCCGGTCGCCAGGCAGCGTTCCAACTTCGGCGAAATGTGCCCGTTTGCTTTCGCGGGCGAGGGGCGAGGGAGGGCGTTTGCGAGCGGTAGGACCCCGTTGTTTTTCACCTGAGCGCCAGAGACCATCAAAGGATCTGACTTGATCACTGCAATTGATAGTTGGGGAGATGGATGAGCGTGAGGCTTCACTGTTGAGAGTTACCACAGACAAGTCGGCATTAGCCGGCTGGAGAGCCGCGTCATTTCCGTTGGTTCCTTGTGAATACTTGATCGCCTCGTTGTAGAGCCCGCCTGCCCTCTGTTTCGTAGACAGATGCTCAGAAATTTCTTTTCCGGCCCCTTCACATTCAGATACAATTGTCTTGATAGCTAAGGGAAGTTCGGAAATGACCGGCTCGAAACCTTGGGATCGGACTCTGACTCGGTGGTAATGTTAGTATGGTGTATCATGCCTAGTAGATAAGTAATACTAACTGGTTCCTGGTAAACGGGAATACGAATAAAGCCCCCAAACCAAACTGCTTTGCGAAATTTGCATAGACCGCACCTTCCCTCTTCCATCTGTAGAGTGTAGTTCTTGTTGGAGGCTTGTCGCCAATTGCTTTGAGTTTGGCTATGAACTTGCGTGTTTCATGTCCCCACGAACTGAAGTTCAAAGAAAACTCCCTCAGAGCAAACCGTATTCGAAAATGACATAGTATTGTGTCTTCTTCAGCCTTATTAATGTAGTCGCAAAGCAGTCCAGTGTATGCAGTCTTGGGGATATCAAAAAACGTTTCCGGTGAACCCTCCCATGCTTTCAGCTTGGATGATATTTCCTTAGGCAATTTCATTTTCCAAATGGGCGCCTGTGTTTTCGAGATGGGTGCATGATTTTTTGAAACGAGCGTTGTATTGGGATCATTATGATAGTCCTTGTGTTTTCGTGGAGTTGCCGTTGGGAGAGTGACTGTCACTAGAGCCTTGATATCTTCCCAGACGTCGGCAGGCAGGAGATGACCAGTATCGTAAATTAACTAGGCCTTGTAAGTAGACATGCAGTAATGGCAAGATAAAACTCACTTCGCTCAAACATTCACGGCTGCGGCCCGAACTGTTTGAGTTCTGACTGAACTCAATCAGTCTTTGACCAATCAATCGACTATGCTCTGCACCCATAGTGAGAGAACAATGTGAAAGGAAAGTCTATATGTCGAAATTACGAAGAAGCGTCGGACACGGCAGAACACCAGAAATTCGACGGAGAGACGGGCCAATTGCGCCAAACCTTAAAAGGAAATTTAGCAACCCGTGTTGCTAAATTTCCTTTTAAGGTTTGGCGCTTTACTCTTCCCCCATCGGATATGCCGTGGAAGCTCTTTCGCCTCGCAATCTGCTTCTGATGTTATGTTTGTTCCAATCAATATTCCCCGTGACATGGGCAGTGTCGCAGTCCCTGAAAGGGGGCAAGAGGATGTTCAATAGCTGAATCACGTTACCCTTTTGCCAAGTGTAAGATACATAGATGCTAGGATCCCGCAGCAAACTGCACTTTTGAAGTAGTACTGATCATCTTTTCAAAATTGTCTTTCTTACCATGCAGTCTGTCGCTATATGGGAGACCGTGGCCGTTGTTGCTACATTGCTCATTCTTTCTTCTGTGTTCTTTGTTCCATATTTGCGCCAGGATCGACCCCCCTGGGCACATACGAGCAGACTGATATGTCGGGCAATATGTGTGTGTGCGGGAGTCCTATTATTGGCGTCTATTGTACTCGACCATCGAGGGAGGCGGGATAATGCGCGGATCTGCTTGGTATCCTGCCAATCAGTTATTATCGCAGTTGCGACTTGGTTTATCGTATGTCAAACGAAACGGTCAACTAAAGACAGCCTTTCTAATTGTTGTAGGACCTCGAAATTCTATTTACCCTTGGGGGTTGGTGGAGTAGTTATGATTTGGGATGGAGAAAATACATTTGTCTCCCATGCCCTGTCTTCCAATTCGCCCTCATCGTCGCTGGGATAGCAACCTATGCCTTACGTTTCCCATGGACGCCATGGCTTTTCTGGAGTATCCCACTCCCTTCTTGGTTCTTCTTGAGTGTCTTGGGGTGTACTTTCATTCCGACGCTACGGTCTAGAACGAGTGTCATGATTGTCGTGAGAATGGTCGTTGTCTTCTTATCATCAGCGACGACATTTGCTTTGACTTTCGTCTTTGCATTACGCAACCCGGCTCATCTTTGTCTCTTACGCTTCGTATGTTATATTGTACAGTGGATTCTCTGTGCTATCATTCTCGCTTGGAAGGTCATGATTCAACATTCTAGAGAGAATATAACCTACGAGACTAAGTCCTACCAGCCCAAAGAGCGAGACCTTTCAGCTTCAGAACCCCTTTTATCATTCCCAATTACTCCAGCTGGGGATGATTTCAAAGCAACTTCGATCAACTCGGACCAGTAAGACATACACTGAGCTACATATTGCCACTATACTAATTTATTATGAAGTCTCCCAACGTTCACCAGCACATCAGACTCCAGCTTAGTTATTCCAGCCAGCCATGGCGCTGAGATGACTTTGTCTGAGCCTAAAGAGACCACGACCGACCACTACAGAGAGGTAGACTGGAAATCGTTTGAAAACGTAAAGAAGTGGACTCTTGTTGAAGTCACTTGGGACGATTCGCGCCCAGCATTCACCATAACATCTTCGAACAAGACGGTTGTCCTTGATTGGCCGCGCCCGGCCTCAGAACCTCGCGTCTCAGCAGTTGCTCTGGACGATTATGGCTCTGATATATCATGCGAGTTCTCGCCGCGACCAAATGAGTACGTCTAGTGTTTAATGACGTGACAGAGAGACTAACTTCTCTAGATCACAGATATACATGAGAGTTTTTGGAACAGAAATGGATCGCCCCCCGAGCAAAAGGCCAGTCTGTGACGTTTTAGACATTGGATTTGGAAATGAGGATTGTACAATGTGAGTATTTTGTTTATTATCATTTACATAACTAACAGACAGCAGTGAACTAGAGGCTCGCCATCCTCAAGCACGAATCACCACAACGGAACCTATGTCTATCTTGGCTAAGCGTTGTCGCTACATTCCCTATGACCAAAACACGGGACACTGGCCATTCGAAGAGAATAGTTTCGACCTTGCAATAATTAGGGGGACTGGAGGATGTATAAATAACCCAGGAGAACTATTTCGAAACGTGTCTGGGTCAGTCCGCCCTGGAGGCTATGTGGAGTTTTGGGGTATCAGTCTTCCGCGAACTGCAACCGACTGGCTTTGTTGCTCCAAGGATATCCGTACATTCCATCCATCTTTTTCGCTAACTGACGACGGGGCTTGCCCAAAGGAGATGGAGGCGGCAGGTCTCTCCTTAGTGAGTGTATCGAAGAAGCGCGCGACTCTTAGGAAGAGCAACACCCAAGACTTGGAAAACGACTTGTTAGATTCGGCCATTGTGAAGCTTCAAGAACTCGAGAAACAGAGGCTTCTGAAAGCGTCAGATCACGCTGCCATCCCTAGAAGAATGAAAGAAATTTGGGATGAGTTATTGGAAGCCCGATCTCATGTCAATATGTGAGTATTGTTGGTATCCCTCCAAGCTCTAACGCTAACACGAGAAACAGTGTCAAGGTTACTGGACAACGACCAGGGACGCAGGAAACAACACAAGTTACTTGGCACAGATCTGATTCCCGGGATTATTACAACACACTACGCGAACGATTCCTCGAACCAAATGTTGATGGCTATTCCACATGTGTGTAATTGCTGGCCTCTCCTCATCTGAGCGATGGGATCCTCTAGACCGACAACGATGAATATATAAAAAAAAAAAGAGGAGACCACTCCAATGCGAGAGTAGTACACTCGCTGCACTGACCTTTATTACACCAATCAATTTCCTTTTCTTTATCCTTTTCCTTCTCCAACTATAGCCAGCTTGACTAATCACATACGTGTCCTATATACTGGCAAATATTGGCACATACTACTCAATTTCAGCTCACTTTTCGCTCCGTTCTCTTTTGTAAATGCTCATTCATGTCGGAGTTACAGTCATGTTTTCTGGTCATTTATAATACTCATACTTGTCCCGCTCGAGGATCATCGAATAATGCAGTGTGTGATGGTCATTCTAATCATATATCACCGAGGTCTTTCATTGTCCTATTGAGTACCTCCAAGTCTGTTCTCACGATTGTTCAGCTCGATCCCTCATCTACAGCACATATAACGTAGTGAGAGGGCTCCTCATCATTGTATAGAGCTAGTCCGGCCTCACTCATTCCCTCCTGGTTAAGTGCTTGCTTAAAATAATCGAGTTGTATTGCGGTTGGGCAGTCTGGTAAGAGTTAGCTGCCGCATCGAATCGTTATACAACTTCAAAACGTACCGCCTTGTTCATCATCTGCAAGCTTCTCATGAATGCAATACCGAAGACGACGTGCCACCTTGCAGAGCGCCTCCTCATCCTTTTCAGTATTAGCCATTTTTTTGATCGTTCTCTCAAGATTTTTGACACGTCTGAGGATCATAAGTGAACCAGCTCCTCAAATTTGGACCAGCCCTGCCTTAAATAGTTAAGCTTTGTGGTACATTGAACGTTTGTGAATGCCCAATTGCTTTAGTAACGTTCCCAGGTACTGCGGCGATTACAAACGGTATGTCTGATTTCCGAGAGCTCGTAAAGAGAGGAAAAGGGGTAGTTGCCTATGTTTTAGCGGTACGAACGAACTACATAACCCTCACTCTTCACCCAGCCTTTGCCCATCCAATATTCATTACCAAACATTATCATTCAATCTTCATAATGTCCCTCGCGCAGCCAACCAAAGGAACATGTCGCAACGAACATAGAGCGTGTGTTCTCATTGACTCTTCTATTGAGTCAGACAAGCCACAGTTTCACATTTCAACATGTATAGAAGAGGAGCTTAAGAAAGAATATTGTTAGTCATCACGAACTCTTAAATTCCAGTCTTGATATTCTGACGTCTCATGCAGCATCTATAATGGTCAATGGGAAGCGTTGCTCAGATGGATGTATGCTTTATACAGTCGAAAAATCTGACTTGTGCAAGATTTTGGCATCCGAATTCAGGCCAAAGGATAAGGTGCCTTGGGGTTTAACTTTCCACAAGTGTGAACTTAAGGATACAAAGAATGTATATTACCATCTGAGTCGTAAACTCATTTAATAAGGTTGGAGGGCTAAGCTAGTGATTGATATCGATATGGATATGTAGGAAAGAACGCTTGTGAGAAACCATGTCTATACCTATGTTATCTATGGGCAATATGCTATGGTTGGCGGTCGATTTACGCATACATTGCCATGATTTCCGTTCCCTATAAGTGTTTAATATTCTCAACTGCTTACGTAGGCTATGACTAAATGAATGAATGGCCATGCTGTCAGCAGTCGTCTTGTCGATTGCTACCCGGGGACCATTTAAAGTCGAGACCCCTCCTCCGTCCAGCTCGCTTCCTCTTACCCTTCCAAACATAAGTCAATAAGTCAGGAAGCACAACTGATTTTACGTATTATTTTAGGGACGTCACTCCCTTTTTCCTAAAACAAGATCCTGAACATCCAAGTTGGTCTGCCAAAATGAACCTGCCCTTAGCACTGCCCAAACCCATGATGAGCGTTGCAGAAATGATTCCTCCCCCTCTTTTGATTATCCTTTTCGTATATGGGTACTTCCGACTCGCGATCAATGGCATTGCCAAGACATGGTTCACGAGCAGTCACGAGGCATCTGCTCAGGATCCAGTCTTCAAATACTTTGAACACATTCTTAACACTAAGGTCAAAGATTCGCAACATTCAACTGTCACGCAAGATTTTACGATCGATGCCATTCTCAAGGAAGGACATACCGATACAGAAACCGGCTACACGACTTACCCGCGCCATGAGAAGCGATCGGTGAGTGACGCAGATGCTTTCCTGCTAACAAGTACTGATATGCTATAGGAAATACGATTCAGGCCATCCTGGGGGCAACATATCTTTTGGGAAAATGGGAGGCTCTTTATGATGGAAGTAACAAAAGACAAAGACGACCAATATTCTATAAAGGGGATAAGACTATACACGTTTGGATTTGGATCACGTGGTAAGACCACTCTGGCTTCTCCATGATCAGCTTTCCCTCTAACGACTACATTAAGGTCATCTTATGGATCTATTCTATGAAACCGTAAAATACGTGCACGGACGCGCAGACGAAGTTTCCATGTGGATGCCCGCTCCAGAAAAAGGTGTTTGGGCACAAGCAGGTCGCATGCCCCCTAGACACAAAGACACATTGTCTCTCCCGGGCATCAAGGAAGAGGCGTTGAATGACGCAAATCAGCATTTCAAATCTTCCACCGCGGAATGGCACAGGGACAAAGGTGTTCCATGGCGTCGCGGCTTTTGTTTTCACGGGCCCCCAGGTTCGGGAAAATCATCCCTTGTGCATGTAATCGCATCACAATTCAAGCTCGACATTTACAGAATAATATTCACCTCGGGCATGACGGATATAGTCCTACAGAGGCTTTGTTCAATTATACCAAAGCGCTGCATCCTTCTTATCGAAGACATCGACAAATCCCAGATGAGACAAACTATAAGAGGAAAAGACAGCAAAGACAGCAAAGGCGATGAAGGGATTTCCTTGAGTGGCCTTCTCAACGTTATCGATGGTGTTTGTGCCCCAGAAGGCCGTCTTTTTATCATGAACGTCAACGACCTAAGCGAGATCGACAGTTCGCTGACGCGTGAAGGACGAATTGATCAATACTTTGAGTTTAAAGATGCATCACCCCTTCAGGCAGCTGAAATGTTCCAGAACGTATACAAACAGACCTCATTGACAACTCAGATCGCTGAATTGTCTCGAGTATTTAGCGATTGCATTCCAGACCAGAAAATTCCTCCAGCAAACATTCAAAGATATCTCCTAAAGTATAAGGAGGATCCGGGGAAAGCAGTTGAAAATGCAGCCCGAGAACTTGCATTTATACTCCCTCCGGCCTTAGCTTCCTTTGACCAGCTTGTCACTGAACAAGCTCCTTGCGGCGATGCACAACTTGTATCTGAACAAGTACAGCTCGACAGCAAACTAGCTATTTGGGCGGTCAATGAGACATGGCATGATGTCATCAAAGCGCCCGACACATACTCAACCTGGGAAGACCTTGAGATACTGAATAAATCTTGCCCCGAAATTTTCTCTATGTTTTCCAAGGGCTGGGCTATCATAGTTGAACTAGGCACGGGGTAAGAGTCATTTATGCCTTGTATAAACTTAACTAATCAAATTAGCGCTTCTGAGAAAGTCATGGTCTTGATAGACAAGTGTGTTCAAGAGAAAAGGCCATGCTATTATCTAGCCGTCGATATTTCTCAGACATCTCTCGACATACAACGAGACGAATTATCGCGAAAGTATAAAGGCCAGGGGATGGTTATTTTACGTTTCTTACAGGCAAGTATTGAAACAGCTTGTGAGATTTTGTGTAAGTTGCCTGGACCTCGTGTCTTCCTTTCGCTGGCAGATATCATTCTGAATTCCAGTGATCCAATGCCACTACTGAAAGCACTTCATGGAATATTACGCAAAGATGATTTACTATACATCTCCCAAGACACGGCCGTGGAAGAACAATTCCGGGAGAAGCGAGAAAAATACTATGACCAGGATCAATGCTGGAAGTTTATCGATGAAATCCTCAAATCTAGGGGAATTGACACCAGCGGGCTGCATAGGCGGCACATTTGGGAAGGAAGATTACACAAATTCGCTTACGTGAAAGGGGATGAGAATACTGGAGGTCCTGAAGATGTCGAGATCTTCAGCTCGTTCCATCATTCCAGAGAAAGTGTGGAAGAGATATGTTCCAAGGAAGGGTTTGAGTTGGTAAAGGAGTTCGGCGAAGATGGCTTCTCCATGAGTAAGTTGCAATGGTTCTTCCTGAAACCATTATATTGACAATACATTAGATCACTTTATGTTCAAACTACGAGCAACACATAAAGAGTCACGATAATCACTAGGGAATGATGCAGGGTGCGATCTACTACTCTTTTTCCCACTGGGTTTTTTAACGAGGGTAGATCGCCAGTGGCACCTTTACCAATACTGAGTCGGGGTAGCATCAAGTCTCAATACAGGAACGGCCGTAACTAACAAGAGTGCGCGCAAATATATTCAGCTGAACAGCTGGCTGTTAAACTTCCGAAGAAGCCTTGTGATATTATCTTACAAGTATGTTTAACCTGCGGCAACACTCATCAACGACCATTGCCGTGACCAGCTGGGAGATTAGCGGGCGAGAACACCGCCATTTTCAAGTGGGTATGGGGCCATGTTAATCGCACACCATACCTTAACATACTCGCCTATCTGTCCCTGGTTATGCCATTTACCACCACGATATTTGCAACCCACTGTAAAACTGTGCAATTCTGTAGGTGAGAACTTAGCTGTATACGGCTATACCGCCTACCTTTACTGGATCAAATTCGAGAGGTGTGTCTTGCATGCTGATGGACGATATCGATTTCGTCTCGTCAACCACACAGCCTCGTAGTGAATCCTACACCAAAACTCCTAACTCTGCCAGTCCTGTCCAATGATTAAAGCATGTACTATCTTCTGTCCGCATCCCAATGTTGGCTCGGTCTCTAGGGTTGGCGATGTGCAGAGGCAACCTTCACCAAGGAAAAGGGTTTGTTTCTGAGGAGGGGGTGGTGAGGAGGGGGCAAAATGATACATGCTAGGAGGGTGTAGCTAAGTAGGTATGTATCTTACTCGAAGTACCTCGCATTACGGCTGTGCTAGTACACACATCGCCTGGCGGCACGTAGCTTTGGCGTCGAGGCCTGCTAACCAACCCCAACCCCTCCTACTTTCTAATCCGTTTCAACGTGCATGATCTAGCAGGAGGCTGATTGTGGAGACTTCTGCTAACAGAGCTGAGGCTCCCTTTCACATCGGGAATTGGAAATTGTCACGGACGGCTGTGCCCGGTGCCTCTCTCACTTGGTTCTTGTTTCATTCTATCAAGCCGCGCCACTTTCTTAACGCATTCCCGGACTGAAGCATTTTCAGATCAAGCATGCATACACCTATTCCTACTTCTGGCTCTGCGATAGAGCCCCCCTTTGAAGCTCTACGGGAATCCCCCGAATCTACCGAGCCATCGCGAGCTTGCCTTTTTTGCGATGTGCCCAGTAAACACTTCGCACTTCCGTCAGGCCTTTGCTCTAGGTGCAAAGAAGATGTAACCACTATCTACCAGCTGCTTCCCCCTAGCCCAGGGTCATCGCTTCTAGAATCTCGTGCGGGAGAATCTTTCGCAGCTTTTGAAAGCGTAACGCAGACTGGTAATTGCCTGCATCATCATCACGATGCCTCTGGAAACGCTTCCCACAGTACGACTTCATCTGCGATTTGTCCTGATGCCAGGCTCTATACTACGCGCTGTACGTGGGAACTGCTGCAGGAAGCCCTTCAGAATCGGAATCTCGTTGGCAACGCCGTCGCCTACCCGCCACCCGAGCTAGGACATTGGTTAGGATTAATACGGAGAGTCAAATTCCTGGCGGCACAAAACCCGCGTCAACACTTGGGAAGCGAACGCCTCGGGGCGGACCCTCTACTCCCACTAAGGGAGTTTCTCTTGTTCTGGGTAGGAGGACGTAAGTTCTCCTGGGAGACGGCCGTCATCATGGAGGCATACCTCTCTGCGCTTCTCCTGGGACCGGAACTCCCCGATACCAACCCATCAAGACATTACAAAGCCATTTGGAAGATGTTCGCAGGGGGTTGGAGCTTTGCTGATATTAATGATGCCATGATCGTGGCTATTAACCCTCGACAAGGAACTGTGGTTTTAATGGCGGATAGCAAGTCTCATGATCAATCAAGTATCGCGGAAATAGACCTACCCCTGCGATTTGATTTTGATTCACTACTTGCGGAGAGAAAGATAAAGTTTCGTCGTGCAGATGTATTGTAGTATCTTGGCCATGATCATTGCCATTCGTACACTAGTTGCAGGGCATCACTTCCCTACACACCTCAGGCTGTTAGCTTAATGCATATCAAGGCGAACCCCAGACACCTAAACTAATGGCTACTCGACTTTAATTTTGCTGGTACACATGTGTTTCAAAAACAGACGAAGTCTTCTACATCTTCACGTCGAATTGGTATGATGCAATAGATATAGAAATTTCACCTCTATTTTCTGCCAACATACGTGACCAACAATCACTCATTCGTAATACCCACGCGGTCAAAACCAAGATTGTATTATAAGAAAAGTCCATTTAGCTAAGCAGTCCAAACCCTTTATTTCCCGTTATACTATTGTTGAGGTAGTATTCAAGTGCTATACTGATGTTGAAGTAGTATAGAATCATATACCAATGCCTTATCAGTCTTGCAGTTAGCCATCCATTATCGTCTCGCTGCGTCTGCTGTAGGAGATCCTACAATATCTACATAAGCTGTAGAAGGCGCATAAAACCCAGTTGTAGCAGTTCATCCGGTATTTTGCGATCCCAATCTTCGTTTTCCTCGAACCATTGAGCTAGCAGCGCTCGCCCATAATACTTCCAATAGGTACGTGCGAGTGTTTTTGTCTCTGTATTTTGGGATGTAGACGGCGGAGGGCATCCGGGAAAGGCTGCACTCCAAACACCTTGCCACTGTGCAGTGTCGGACGTGTTTGAATTGATATTCTCCGCTATATCTAAGAGTCGTCTATCCATTCTATTGCTTCCCAATGGTTGGGCGAGCTGGCATCGGGGGGAATGCCGATTAGGGTCATCGTATACTTGACATTGGTAAGATATGCAGCAGTTCGTGCAGGTTGAGTGAAATCGCTTGATGTGGGCAGATAAGTCTTTGAAACTGAGCAACTCGTTGCGCATCAAACAGTCGGAGTTTGCATCGGGGTTGTGAACGTAGAAGGGACATGCGATCCTGTATGGGATCTGGGTCGTCAAGATCCAATTCTTCAGCGATGCAACGAATGCAGATTTCTGGTCTGACCCAATCATATCCAGCAAGTATTGGTATCGAGGACGACTTTTCTCAACGTCGAACTCGTACGAGGTCTTGTTCCCCACGCCGACGTTCCCATTGCCGCTAACCGTCTCTGGCCGTAAAACGAAGTTTCGTTTGAGCCAGACCTCCAAGGATGTTGAGATGGCCATTGCATCGCTCTCCACTCTATCGAGATGGCTTTGGTCATGTTGGATGAACTCCGTAAGCCAACCGGTTATGTTCAATTGATTCCAGATGACATCAACATAGGCCTCTATGTCATTCCCGCCAGCGGAATTTTCGTCTAAAAAGACAAAAATATAGTCTCGGAGTTTTGTAATCTTTAGGCCCGATCCATCAGTCAAGTAGGCCATTTCGTCAGCGAGCGTTCCTTGCTCGTGTTTGACTCCAATTTCAAGAATCTGCTTCCACCGCGTAGCCTCAGGCAAGCGTATGTTATCGCGTTTCGCCATCCTTGTCAGTTGTCTTTTATTGTAGCCATGCACCTCTCCGTCAAGCTTAGAGCAAAATCTCTCCTTAACATGGCTGTCTCTACTCCCAGTGTTATTGAATACTTCGTAGCAGATTGGGCAGTAAGGCGGCTCAGAGTGATGCAACTCGATATGATCCATGACGTCCTGGATTGAACGAAGAGGGTGTGCGAGACAAGTGACGTATCTTGCTTGGTCTAGCCAATACAATGGACATCGGAAGTGGAAGTCTTTCGGTTTGTTAATGTCGGGCTGCACCGGTCTTCCATCGAGAGCAGGTAATCTGTCTTGCTCTGGCACCTTGTACTCTGCCCGTTTCATCCAGTTGAGAAGCCCTGGGGAAAATTCGTGGAAATGACTGTAGATAGTTCTCATCAGGTTGCCGATATATTCCTCGCCATCGTTCCCCTCGTCGCCATCATTCTCCTCGTCACCATCGGTCTCCTCGTCGCTATCCGTGTTGTCGTCGCTATCCGCGTTGTCGTCGCTATCCGTGTTCTCGTCGTTGCCGTTGCCGTTGCCGTTGTTGTTTTCGCCACCAAAATAGGTGCGACCCGGCATCTCCATCGTGGCTAGTTGGGAAAATGCCTCAATATCATTTGCATTGTCATCATGTGTGTCGATGTCTTCCATGTCGATGTCATCCATAGCGCTATATGCGCTGTCTTCGTTGGTGGGCTCGTGATGCCTGGCTTTGAGATTCACATAGATGCAGTCGTCGTCATGGGAGTACCTCCGCGTATCCTGTTTGGAGTGTTCGTTCCAGCGGCGCCCAGGCGGGCTTACGGTGAGTTTTTCTTCTTCCATATCACCTTTTTTAACAAAAACCAGGCCTGCTATATGGAAAGAGAGTGCTTTCCGATAGGAGAAGAGGGCGGAAGCCTACCCATTTATAGCGGGAATCTGCACAATAGAATACGAAACTACACATACTCGATGAGGTAAGCTCACATTTGTGGATTACAATTGCCTTAACATAGCCATACATAGAGAGGTGTTGGTCGCAATAGTACATCTCTATCCTATCTAGTTTGGGCGACAACATTTGAAGCACACAGAGTAGATCTCTCTAGAGCCACACCCAAGACCCATTCTTTCTTACATTGTAGTGTCTCCGCCATGATGGTGTTCTGAAAGGACCAGTAGATTTGTTGGTGGGATCTCAGACCCCTACCCCAGCATCTTAGGCGCCTGGTTCGCCCAGCGAGTAGACAGGTTTGACGGTGCTTGAGTCAGCTTCGGGCGCACCGGTGCGTGTATATGCTTCGTATGTACCTATCTAGGGGCTACTGCTTCCATTCATTGAGCCGAGCCTGACTGATGACTTCTGGAACTGCATGAGGTACCGAGGGCGGTTGGATGCTAGGGATGACCACCAGCGAAAGACACTTTATTCCCATTGATATTTTTGCATACTAAGCAAAGCCTCCTTCAATCACCACGTGAAAGGGGAGGGCATTGCCCGAGAATACTCTCTCGCCGTGCGGTGTTGCTTCACGCACGACGTGCCAACTGCTTACTACCAAGGCTGAGCCCAGATTTTGACTTGGCATGCCATTGGGCCAATCTTTTCCGATAATCTGTTTGTTCCCCCCGTATTGGCCGTCTTTCTTTTAGGTAGGCGCCCTAGCATATTAGTCTCATTGGTGCGAGTAGATTATTGCGCAGTGTCACATGCCGGCGGAAAGTTAAGGACATATCGTTTGTGAAATGAGGATCTAAGCTGATCGGTAAGACGAAAGTCTTGCACGGCAGTTCGTTTGTCTGGAGCATATAGAATGTTCCCTATGCTCCAGACAGGAAGCAGATGGATGGCTGTGCCACACACAGCCTCGAAACAGATTTGCAGTAGAATAAGCGAGCACGTGTACGATAACAAGGTTGGGATATACTTGATTATTAACGATAGAGAGTATCTATAATACGAAAGCGAGAACTCCAATATCAGGGCGTAATGATACAATATTCCGCTAAGTATAATATCTACGCGAAACGTCTGTCTTAAGATGGCTTTTGTGCGGTAACAACAATGTAACGGGAAATGGCCTGCTCATCGACGCACACCGACGCTGTTCTAACTTTGGCATTGAGGATTTCCACTTCGGCTCCTGACCAGCCAAGAGTTTCCCGGAACATCTTTGCAGTGAAACCTTCGACTCCTATATGAAGACTAGTGCCAAACAGCAATCCAATTCTTTTGAGTCGTTCTTCCTTGGGCCACTCCCCAACGGGAAGTTTAAACTGTTGCTCTTTAATAGAGGTAAAGCCCACCTCCTGAGCCCATTTCTGAAAGGATGGTGTGGGGTTGAGAGTACGCCCGATCTCGTCACATGCTTTTGTCAGACCATTCATCAGCTGAACCAAGGCGTTATCAGGACCCAAGGTGTTATCCTCCGAGTAAACGGTATTAGCAGTCTCCTGGAACTCAACCCAGCCACCTGGCTTGAGATTATCAAATATTTGTTTGAAAAGCTTTGCCCAATCTTTGATGGAACCAGCCATGGATCGGCAATGAATGTAATCATATGGCTCTGGTTCAATCCACTCTGCCTCGACATCGCCAACTAAGAATCTGACATTTGGGGGCAACATTCTAGGTTGAATTGGGCTGAGGTCATTGCCTATGATGGTAGCGCTGGGACAATAGTCTCCAAGCTCGATAGACTATATGCCAGTGCCAGTGCCAATATCGAGAATACGGAGGCCGTTAGGATCGATGGGGGCGAGAAAAAGTCTATTGCCAAGCGCAAGAGTGTATGCCTCATGTACTATATTAAGACGGGCTTGCTCAATCTCATCGTTAGGAAATTTGTATGCACCTGCATGAAAGCTATGATAGCGGCGTCCATATTCGTACTCGTATTCGAAGGCAGAAGTGCAAAAAGAGACACTTAAGCGTGGGATGTCATCGCCATATGTTGAGTCGACCTCGTTCTGGTCTGCCTCAGTCTCGATAGATGTTAGTGTGTAGATGTAGACGTAATCGGCCTGTATCATAAAGACAGTTAAATAATAGCCACTCAAAGCATCCGGGGGACATACGTCTTCATTCTGCACCATCTCAGATGCCTGCCAAATACGTCAGTTCCATGATCCTACCCAGGCCGGAGATAACTCACGAGAGGGTCTTTGGGTGACTCAGCCATGTCGACCAAGACGGGCAAAATCTCTCGCCGTCGAGGTGCGATCAGGCAACCGACTGCCTTACATGACTAAATATAATACCGGCAAGTGTGACCAAGCACCAAAGTATAGGGGTCTCTAACGTCAGCAGATGGATTGGCCGAGACAGTATCGGCCTGAAGCGTTCCCTGATTACACCATCACATACGAGACGAGTGAACACGTACATTGAAGTATTCAATCAAGATTTCATAAGTACACTGTACAAAAGATTCTCAGGATGCAGGCATCCCAAGCAAGTCATATTCTGCGTAAAGAAGGTAGACGTACCATCCATCCAACACTCTCAGTACTTGGAAGGTGGGCAACATAATGAAACCCCAGCCACTTGTTGCTCATCAGAGCTAGTGGAGCATGTGTCATTTGCCCCCACACAAGTTTTGATGAATTTGGGATAACTTGTGAAGACTTCCTATCAAATTGGGAAAACTTCCGCCTGACATTTTTCTCATCATCCAAAACTTTTATCAATCTTTACAAATAAACTGAAAATTTGTTGTCAAGAAACAAATCATTTCGTTCTTCTTCTTTACCAAAACTAACAAGAGTCAGAAATCTCGTGACAAGATTGTTAAGAACAATGACATCTTCAGCTAGCAAATGCGGACCAGCGGCACTACAGCAAAGAAGTCGTATCGACTTTCAAACTGTCGTACAAGACAACCATCAGATCCGTTTCATCAAATATACTCAGGGTCTCCTCTCGCTACCTCTCGATGGCAGCCATCTCACACTGATCCAGGTGGCATGGCAGTTCAAAGAAAGCCTTACTCAGCCGCGACCAACAACGCCCTCTCGGCTCCCAGCCATCCTAACAAACTGCAGGGCTGGTAAATTGGACGATTCTACACCAGAGGCGCGGTTCTATGAACAAGGCGGGAGTCGTGCTGTTGATGCCTTCTGTGCTGCACTACGAGAAGTACCCCAAATTGAAGTTGCCGCTCATAAAGCTGATCGGAAGGCATATATTGAACAGTACGGAGGACGCCACGCAGTTCAGGCTTTCCATGCTATTGAGAGTCTTCATGGCAGCGACGATGTCGATAAAGCCAAGGCGCTCATTCGAGACTATGGTGGAACACAAGCCCTGGCTTTTTATGCGGCAGCCAAAACGTCCAGTCCAAAAAGTATCACCCTGATAAAGGACTTTTCCGAAGGCGATATTGATACTCTTCTCGATTGTATTAGTGAGGTGGAGTTGCACCGCGATCTATTCTACATTATTGAGACGCTCATACGGACGCAAAAACCCCCACAATGGAAGACCGACAAGACTCATATTGGGCGTGCATCTCATAGTACTCGTGGGGGAACAAGACAACAAAAGCGAGAATTGTCTAAGCTCAGGCGTCGCCAAAATCGCCCATCCTTAACAACCAGGCACGGCACACAGAACCTCTCGCATCATGCCGACTTTACACAAGCGACCCAGATGCCGAACACAAGCAACCAAATGAACATAGCCGAGACGACTCCAAATCGTGGGTTTGACATGGAAATTGCTCAGTTAGATAAGCATTGCCGTATTCAACCACATGCTGAAATAGAAGACTTGACAGGGAATGAGGCGTCACAGATGAACGTCCTCCCAGTCCATCAAAGCGGCCAGGATGAAGCCGTGTCCTTTGTTGACTTCACGGAGACGAATCTAAGTGCGCTCTTGGCAACGGATTTTCACTTCTCCGGGGCTCTCGAATAGAATGAAAAGCACACAATCGACCCAGGTTTGACAAGGATTTTGCCTTGCTTTACATGTGTTATCGTCTCCATGGTGAGGGATAAATGGCCAATTGTTGGAGGACTTCCGGAAAGGACGATCGGAACGATATGTGTACATTCAGTGATCGTCACAGAGCAAGGACCTTCTGCGCGAACGATATTCCCAGAGCCCTCTTCATGTCTAATCTGACAAATTCGTTAGTATTCGAAATTTATTGTTCGCATCACAGCTGAGACCTTTTCCCCCTTGACTAATGAGCTTGCCAGAGATCTTATAGCCGCCTTTAGTTCTGCACGGATATCGCGGATCGTTGATACCGTGCCGCCTTGTGAGCTTGGTTCCCATGTTACTTGGTCTAGACCTTGGACGAGGATAGCTCGAATTTCTTCGTCAATATTGAAATGTTCTTGTTCAACCAAGTCAGAATCTCTCTCCATCGTTCTATCAGCGCTAAGTTTCCTAAACTATAGTTAGCTTATGCTTTCTTGCTTTCAGATCACCTTACCTTTGTCGGCAGCATTCTACGAGCATTAAACATGGTGACTTGCGTTGGGCCGCGGTTCAGCAAACCCTGATCTGTTGCACGCACGTGATACAGATAGTGGGGCTTACGGGCATGTTGTACCCTCAGGTTGTTCAAGATTGAGACCGCGAATTAGCCGACTTCGTCATAAAATTCTCTTTCGCAGTCCTGACAAAGTCCCCTTCATGAGCTACTTGCCCTTTCTTGAGCTTTGCAAGCTCTTCCATTTTAACAGAGTTCCATTTATCGAATTCTCGGACAACCCTAGGCTCATCCGGTCCGTTGTAGTGGATGCATATCCAGAATATTACCCAAAAAAATGACTCTAGGTCGTGCATAAAGGAATGCTGCTCGCCCAGAAGAGCTCCAATTGCCATAAAAGCTCTCGTACCAGTCTTTCCCCTTGCTCCCGAAACGCCTTCTCGCTGCTCTTTGATAGCAAGGTCCAGGTCGATTAAAAAAGTAGGCCAGGAGGGATTGTCCTGGTCCTCGTTGATGAGAAGATTATTAATTGAGATATCCCTGTGCAAAAGACCTGCCTTATTGTACAGAGACTCATGTCCCTGGATACAGCCTTCGAGGGCAGCAAGCAGAGCCAAAGGGGAGCTCGCCTTATAAATAGGCCTTCCATAATCGTCCAGGATAACACGTCGATGAACTCGGTTTGGTAGATCAGATCAGTAGACTTGATAGGAGATGTAGAGAAAGATCGCTTGCCAGGAGGGGTAGGAGCATCAAGCTGGCTTGACGACCGCTTCCTACTGCTACGGCGGCTTTCCCTTGATGTGCCAGAGGTGGGCTCACTTGATGGTATCGGGCGTTCGCGTCTGTAGTTCGCAGCTCTCGATATGTCCAATCCTCGTCGAATGTTCCCCTGCACATCGTCATCGACCCCACGAACCCTAACTGTCTCGTGATGATAGTACCTAGCCACATTGATCACGCCTTGGGAACTCGCTTCGTGGAAAAAGTCTCCTTCCTCAGGACGCTCTTTATTTTGCCACGAGTCCTTAACGACAAGTTTCCTCTGTGGGCATCGTTCCGAATGAGCTATCCAGCAAGTCGTCGCTCAGCCCACTATGCAACGTGCGCGCTGCAACCGCTCCTCGATAATGATCCGCTCTTTCAGGCCGTTCCGTTTAATCTCGATATAACGCGTGTTGTTCTCCGAAATGATGGTCGGATCAAAGCCAAGCTGCTCCTCGTCCATCCAGACAAATCCGAGTATTACAAACACAAACCGCAGCCCATCTTCATTAATATCAAACGGCTCGGATGCAATGCCCCCAAGCCGGCCAAATAGCCAGACTCTCATGGAAGATCCGCAGATGGTAAAGCCCAGGACAAATCGACGGTTATCCTGAGCTGCAAATACTTCCCTTACGTACCTTCCGAGATCAAGCCATGCTTCCGAGGTTGTATCAGCTGTTGGCTTGCTCTTGAGCTCTCCTGGTACGAGGATTTGACGCCAGTGGCATCTCGATTCCTGATTTGCTTCGGGGTCATCCACGAACCCTATATCCATCTTTCTCGTCCCAATGGATCCATCGATCGGTTTGTTCGGCTTCGCTAGCGGTCTTCGGTCTTCGGATTGTTGCTCTTGGCCTTCTAGCCTGGCCAAACGCCGACAGTTTATCAATGAAATCTGCAAGCCAACTCAAAACATCATCCTGCTTCGCATCTTCTGGCCAACCCCTCCAACCTTTATTAAAGAGTCGGTTCCTGCCCTTCTGACACTCCGTAAAGAATGCTTCAGATGCAGTTGCAAGATCAGGGACTGCTCCAAAGTATGCATCAAAGAAGCCGCGGAGTCCGACAAACATGGGTCCAAGCTCCTCCCTGAGCACAGCGTCAATAAATTCACGGTGTTCTGACGAATTCGGAAAGCTGCTGGTGTGGCGCCATGGGGTTTGTTGAAGGAAGAAGCTACTGTTCGGGGAGGCGGAGTAGATTCGACAGCAGCATTATAGACGTGTCTCCAGATAAAGGCATCGTCTAGTTTATCAGCGAGGGTGGATTCGAGCAGTGGTCGAACGCGGTCGAAGTCGAAATCAGGGGAAGGGACAGCGGATATTAGTGTGATGAGGTCGCGTCGTAATATGTTTTGGCCTGATTTGGAAGGAAGTAGACCAGCTATTGGGAGACTCTGCAGAGAAGAAAGGAGGACAAGTGTGAGATTCCGAAGATCTAAAAACTGGTCAGAGGTGCATCCTTGTGATGAAACCGATGTGCAATAACTTGCCTTCTCCGTTCGACTGATCCAACACTTCGCGTGCGCATAAGTGTGAGAGGCCCTTGCCTTAGCAGATCGATTCAAAGAAAGTGCGCAGGGCATCAAGGCTACCTCCAATAGGATTATCCTCAATAACCTTCAGTTCAGCTTGGTGTGCCATGACAGGCCCGGTCCCCGTGATGTGTGATGTAAGGAGAGCAGGTTCCTGGTCGCAAAACCAGAAATCATTGCACAGCCACATTTAGCCAGCCACCCAGCCACAAAGTTACGGTGGGTTTGTTTAGCTGTTGGCGTCATTGCTAACTCAAGCCATCGGGCCCTGTACACTACATAGCCGAGCCAAGGGCGCAGTGACGTAGTGCTTTCTCCACACACAGTCATGCGGCTATTTTTTGGGTACGCTTGGACGTATCTCGGAAAAAAACCATCTCAGAGCAACACCTACTAATTGCATATCTACCTAACCGGATAACCGCCCAGCTAGATTTCGACTCGTGGTGAGCGCCAGTTTGGTTGGATGACGTGTTGTCAACACGCACATGAAACCTCCCAACTACGGCTCCCAGCGCGATCTTGTATGTGGCCTCGGCCAGTATAAATCGTACGTCGTGTTTATTGATACGATTATGGACTCCTCACGGCATGCACTCAAAAGCGACAGAACTCGTCGACGTGGGGCACATGAATACACTCCTTGAGAAGTCGAATTACAAGCAAATCCTCACACTCTCATAGCCCAAGGCTTGAGGGATTTAGTGGAAGTAGGCTGTCCTTATTTATCGGATCTTCGTGGTAGAAGATAAACTCTACACTTAATGTGTCCTCTTGCTGACGAAAGTATCACAGTATTCAAACATGAACTCGAAACGGACCTCCCGAAGAAGCTCGACGATTTCCATACAGAGCAGCACCACGCTCTCCGACAGTCGCTTCGACCAGCTCTTGGCCGATAGCAAGTTCCACGTGTGTACAAAATCAGACGAGCGGCCGTCAGCTTTTCAGTCCACGACGAAGGCTTGAGCCCAAGAAAGGTAGCATGACATCGCTTAGGTCATATGCGACACATTCCTGTATAGTAACGACGAGGCCAAGGATGAGGATGAATTTATAATTCTACCCATTGCAGGTCCACGGACGAAAGATACATTTTACGGCTTCAACCCCTTGCTTACAAACCTTCTTCCTCTCCTCTAACGAAGAGCACAGCGCAGGTGAAGCCAAACATGCTACGACGAATATCCTGAGACACCTACCGATCGATCCGAGACGATCTCACAAAAAATATCATTCCTCTGAATGCATAAAAAGCCAATGCTAATAAACCTATTCATCCAAGTGGATGGTCCGGATGGGAAGGTAGCTGTAGCAACACGCCAGGTTTGTCATGACGGACCTGCGACATGGCGCAACCAACGTTCACCATAACTTCCTGGGAAGTTTGGGCCCCGGGTATTTTTCGGATAACCCATACTGGCAACCAATTGTGAACTGATCGGAGCTGTGCTTGGGAAGGTCATCAGCCAGTCAATCCACATAAATGTAGCCCTCGGAACGAATCTGGCATGTGTACAAACTGTACATTTGCTCGTTCAGGTTTAACCTTTGTCCCTATGAGGCGATGGTGCATTTTTGTAAACCATGTCTCTTGCCTTCTTACTCTGCTACCCTAGACCCTCTGTCTTGCCTAATCATATTTACCAATGTATTATTCTCTCTTTTCTTGCGTATGTTTTCGTCAGGATTTCGTCGTCACCCTCTTTACCTACTATGGGAAGAGTTTTGACCGGTATGACGGCTTCAGAATCCATGAAAGAGTACGTAGCGATATCAGTGGCAAGGCTTGACGGATAATCCTACGCAACGAAGCAGCTCGAAACTGACCAGGGACGGTTAGACATTGATACCCATCGATTAAATAACATTTCAACGGTGAACAGTCCCAGCGTAACAACGTCTGTCCACAATCAAATATCTACTCTACACACCATCCGTTCAAGCTCTTCGATGGAGACAGCTTCGTCTCCAAACTCGCCGTATTACGTAGTATCCTCGAGTTTCACTCGCCCACCCAGAAACCTTGGATGGACCTTCTTAAAATGCAAATGATCAACCAAGGGGAATCTGTTACCGGCAAAGAGGCCAATAACCCTGTTTCCATAGTCCATGAAGTCATCACTGATGGAAACGCACGCCTCACAGTAGGCGCACTACAGGTCACGTGATATACCCACTTCTACCGTCATACCAATCTCGCCAAGCACTCATCACCAACGACAATATAGTAAGACTAGCTTTCGCCTGCCACTAACTCCAAGCTCAATGACACCACTTCCTCAACAACCGGTAAAGGCAGGTCAACAAGGCGACTCTGGCCCAGTCTTAGAATTGAAGCCTCCACGGCAACCCTTTTCGGCAACCGTCCAGACTGGCTGTCAGGCCATCTTCCTGCACCCGGGCTACGACGACGGCCACAATATCTTACTGATACTTCCTGGTTTGGACTCGAGCGGAATTCACCACGAGACGGCCCGTATCGCATGCGCCATCCTCGCGGATTCAAGATGGGACGGGTTCCTGTCGTACGAGAAGGACGGCCCCAAGCTAGAGCAGGGTCCAGACAGTATCCTGCCCTGTAGACGATATTACTTTTGCATAGAAGGCGGTACGTCGGGCTCTTCTTACGAATTTTCACATTCCAGCGACGCTCACAACATCATGCACCATAATAGACGACCAGTATCCAATTGTTCCTTCATTCAACCACTTTCGTTGCCCGCCAGAACTCCCCGCATCATGGTTACAGCCAGCCGCCCCGATCAAAACGAGTCCCGTTGAAGATGCAGGCAAGCGGGACATTATATGCCGGATAACGGGATCCCTACTGCCCAACGAGACGGCGCACATCATTCCTCAAGCCCAAAGCGACTGGTGGCAACGAAACAGCATGTTCACCTATGCTATGAATCCCGACCAGAGTTTCGATACCAACTGTGCCGATAATACAATCCTCCTCCGCCGCGATCTTCACAAGATGTGGGACGATCACCGATTCGCGATCGTCCCAAAGGCTGGCAAGTGGGTTGTGCATATTCTCATGAGCAGCTCCACTGTTGAGTTGGAAGAAACATACCATAATCTTGAGCTCCAACCCCTCTTTGCCGTTTCGAGATATTTCTTCTTCTGTCGTTTTGCTTTAGCCATTATCTCCAAAAGCCCTTTTCTCCGACAGCAGACGGCGCGGAGACTCGTAATCCTCGCGGGTTCAGGACTCCCACACGTGCGGACCATGTCTGCAGACGACTATCAGCGCCTCATCAACACCACCTCGAGAGGGAGCAGCAGGAGTCAGAGCCCAAAGAAGCGCCAGAGGTCAGTGCAAGGCGAAATTGACTCTTCGGATTCGCCTTCCGAGGCTGAGCCCACGCCGAAAGGACGCGACTTCCCAGAGCGGGGTCGTCCTCGGAAGAGAAGACTATCACACACAAGCGATAGCGGTGACCACCATCGACTGCCAAGGAATGGACGCGCATCAGACCAAATATGGACAAACCGTTGCGAGAACGGTAGCCCACTGCAAAAGCGACGACATAAGTGCCAAGGCTTGACGCAATACGGCACACCTTCACGATCAACGAGCCCAAACGGGCCTTGCCGCCTCACACTCGAAGCGCCTTCTGCAACACGTGAATAGAAGCGCTTCGGTGTACGACCGCGTCAAACTGATTATAAATACGGGTAATCGTAGGTACAAGAACGAGACTTGGTGGTCCTCATCGTTGGGTTTTGGTAAGCGGTAGCAAGCCGAGTCTATGTAGAGTGGGCATATCCGCGAGGTCTTTTGCATCTGATGCATCGTCTCCGAGGTTGTCATTGACGGCATTGATTAGGGCTGATGAGCATGGAGCGGCCTGCTGGTGTGTGGAAAAGGGGAAGGAGCAAAGGATCAGAGATAGAGGGGACGAGCCTCTATCTACACAGGTTGTTAATACATCGGCACAGGCATGCAAGCTCATTGCTCCCTCGTCCGGCCGGGCTCTACTTGATACGGAAGCTTGTCTCGTTGTCCGACTCTGTCTAGACTTCCTTGTTGCACACTTGCCACACTTCCTTAACTTTGTACAGTGGTGAAACTGAAGGCTTCCCTTTGATCGCCATTGTCGAAATGCATCGCTTTTAGTCCAATCTCAGCAACATCGATTCCACTAAAGCTTTAGAGAATTCGCCAGAACCGACCACAAGCTCACGAAACCCCTCACTTTTCCACAGAATATCCACTTTACAAGCGGTATAGTGAACCACCAGCTTCCTTAGCTGATCCGGGACCGAGTTATCAAAGCAAAAGTGCAGCAACGCCACGATGTCCTCGAGATTATTATTCAACGAAAACTCTAACAAAGCTTGATGTAATTTTTGGAAGGCCATGTTCATGAGGGGCATTATCAAATACCGATCTCCGAGGACATAGACTTGAGCGTGATGGATGAACACTTCTCCGTTGCTTTTTACCTTATCACGAATATCTTGCGCTTCGTGGACAACTAGGTCAGACGGATACAAAAGCCATGAAGTTCTGAAATCATTCCAGAGAACTTCACTTTTTGCTTGACGCCAAATTCTCTCCTCCGTCGTGGGTGCCTCCTCTGCTTCCTCCATCGGCTTCGCTTCCGGAAGTAAGAATTCTTGAGCTAGCTTCTCTTCCAGAGCTGGTTCGGCCGGGACTTGGGCCTCCGGATTGTTGTAACTGCCTGTGTAAACGAAGTGCCAAAAACTGATAAACGGCCCCTCATCAATGTCATCCCATTTTATAGTGTAATCAATTGATTCCTTGAGCTTGCTGTTTATCATTGCATCTAAAACAGGTGAATGATGGGCAACGAGGGCAGCATGGATTGTAAACTCTCGTTTCTCTGGACCGACCAGGAATCGGACGAGCTTGGATGAGGCGACGCTACATGGAAGTCACAGAGTTAGTATCAATGGTTTTCAGATCGCGGTAGGGTGATGCAATTTGATGCGAATACCTACACTCTTTTAGATATGCCTTCCATCTGTTCACCCTATGACGCCAGCAAATCCTAAGAGCGGGGTCTGGATCTGGGAATGTGTAAAAACTTCCAACTTTTCCGGTTTGCGCTTAGTCTTTAGGAAAGTTCCTCATCTGGCATTCGTCTTAGATATGGTGTTAGATTTGCGAGGTGGCGTCTAAGGAGTTTGTCCGTCATAGATTATTCCAAGGCTGTATAGGCGTACTGGAGGCATGGGATTATCTAGCACCAAGACTTCCTGGGAAGTTGGGACCTCGGGTATTTTTCGGATAACCCCTACTGGCAACTAATTGTGAAGTGGCCGGAGCTATGCTTGGGAAGGCCATCAGCCAGTCAATCCACACAAATGTACGCACAACGCCACGACCGCAGAAACAATTGCTGGCCAGTAGGAATCAGAGAAAAAACAAGTACATTGCAAAGACTATCCTAAAACTGTTTTAATGCTTGGCTCTCTTCAAGGGCCTGTCATTGATGTCACACTCTGCTCCTCTTTTACGAAGATTCCGTCCATTGTCGTTAGAGTCGCTCTTACCCAGCTCACCGATGTACCTTACCGCCCCCCGTTTGTGAGGCCGATTCCCAAAGTAGTCCGCAAGACCGCTTGCAGCGACCAATTTTTGCAAAGAACATGGTGTACCGCTGAGTGGAAAGGCCCGTTTCGCGCCATCCTCCTTCATATCAATCTGTATTGCATCGCCCGAAAGGAACGAGATAGCGCCGTGAATATTCCCATGCCAGTCCTTGTTGAGTTTGAATCGAACTGGCTTTCCATTTACGATAATTTTCGTGTTCTTCAACCGGTTGAAAATCTTCGGAAGCGCTGGGTCGAACGTGGTTCGCAAACATAAAATGTTGCCACTCACCTGAAACTTGCTGCCTGACTTGATAGGAAGCTGCTCCAGTTCAAAATAAAATAACGTGGTGAAAAGTCGGCTTGCCATACTATCAAATTCTTCTTGCAAGCCCGGCTCCAGGTAAACCAAGGATCTCAGCATCGGTATCGAGCTGACATCGTCAAGCGCTGGAAGCTTATCCATGATGATATCAAGTCGTTTGAACCTGTCCCTGCGATTTGAGCTGTGAATGACACCAAAAATATTTGCCCACTCTTTCCTTCCCTCCATGGTGCTGAGGAGGTCTCTGACCACGCGGTACGGCCACCATTTGTTCCTGGCTCGACCCAACTTCTGACCCGGGGGCACCGGGCTCGGTGTTGAACCAGTACCGAGGTTCAACACAATATCCGGCTTTCTATCGCCGTGAAGAGCATAATGTTCCGATAACGCCAGGGCAACTGGGTTATTCTTTAATATGCCGGCATCCTGAAAACTACCAATTCCTTGAATATGCTTGGGGGGGAAGTATCTATAATTATGTCAGTAGGAGTTGGTTACATCAGTTATATAACCTACGCAGGGGCTGCAGAACTACTTCTTCCTCTATAGCTAGTCAGTTTACCGCCTAAGAGGCTCAAGAAAAGACTTACATTTCCCATAACTCTGCATTCTCGCTCGTTCTGATGACATGATAGCCGCTCCTTGGGTTGCCCACGCCATTGTAATTGGTGAAGAGATAGACAGAAGGGTTTTCAGTGGTAGCAGCCAACACGCCAACTTTGGCACCAATATGGGTGGCATAGGAAATATCAGTCATCTTGTTGTTGCCATGCAACTTCATCAAAGCTTTCTCAATCCCTTGAGGTTCATACACGGAGTCTGTAAAGAATGACATGATCCATCGAAGGAGACCTACTGACTCCGGCTGAAAGGCATCTTTGGCCAATGTCTCAAACTCAGTTGCACACTTCTTAAGGGACCACCCTTTCATGTATAACAGCAATATTATCAAGGACCCTGCATTCTGTTAGCACATGTTACTTCGGAGGACCAGGGCAGCATACCAACGCTTGTTCCATATGCCATCGTAAAGAGTTCCTGAACAGGTATTGGGAGGTCGAGAGATTCTTGAACACCAATTAACATCATCAAGGGAATAATTCCTCTGACTCCGCCGCCATCGATACAGAGAATAGATTCGCCAGCACTAGGAGGGCGAATGCGAATCATCATGTTTGCGTCCTCGAGACACAAGATACATTTTTCATACATCAACTGCCATGGGTCATTCGGCTCTGAGTCGCAGTAGAGTAACATGCAATCTTCACAGATCTTGTGACCGCATGGTAGACGATGCTGCGGCACCCGCGTGAGACAGACTAGGCACGTGTCATCACTTTTGAGTGTCGGCCAGTGCTCCCACTGTCTATTTAGCGTAGCCCTGTGGACCTCAAGGGATGACTTTTCGTCGAGCAACTGAAATTTGCTTGTCAAGTATTTGAGTATCTGCTCTGTTAGGTCATGAGGCACGATTAAGTCACTAATGCGACGCCGTAAAGTCCGCTTGCTTGCTTTGATACAGTGCTTTCGGTATAGGGTATTGAAGATATCTTGAGGGTTGAACACTAACACCAGTCAGTTCAGCAGCGCTGGGTTAGGAGATGCTAGGCGACTAACAATGCATCCTAGGGCGGTAATTATCGAGAAGGATACTCGAAGCAATTGTCTCTGCCCCGAATGTCATCAGGTCTTTTGCGGAATTGACATGGTCCATAAAATTTGTCATATGAGTTATAACATCAGGTCTCACTGGGAAATCTTCCCTGGCTGCTTCTATAAAGCTAAGAGCCGAGAAACTATCAATCTTAGCAAAGAACCGTTCAAACAGGCAGTTAATGTGATCGACGGAAAAAAGCAGGCCGGCCTTCTTGGATCGAGCTTGAACCAATCTCGCCAGTTTGCCAAGATCTGCCTGGAGCTCATTGAAGTTATTGTCGTGTAGTCGTATAAACGTAATGTCGGAGAAATGAATCTCAACGAGATGGAATCCTTGGGCAAATTGGGAGTATAGGTACTCTGAAGCATCGACACTTTCCCAGCACCTTCCTTCCAAAGCAATTACGAGCTGGGGAGGGCTTCCTTGGCGGATCTGAGTCGAGTTTATCTCCATAAACAAAATAAGATGGCTCGCGATCCTCTCCAGGTCCTTTTTACTGTAGGCAAAGTAGCAAAAAACATCAAAGAATGGATACAGTAGCCTTGAATATATTGTTGACTGCGCACATTCTCCATTTGTCGCCCTTGTTTTCTCGCTTGTGGCTTGGCAACAACGAATCATTACCCTCGAGCTTGTATTGAGGCTTGTTGTGCCTATCAATAACGATCCGTTGCTATCATCATATACATCAAGATATAATCGGTTAGTAAGCTTTTTTTTTTGCCGACGTCCGACGACGAGAACAAGGCTTGGGCAGGGCTCATCGCCGGCCCATGTAGACGTCACTTGGCGCAAGCGGTCGGTTCTGGCCACGGACAGTTGGTCTTTTCCCGAGTACCACAACCAGTGTGCACATGAGGTTGCCATTTTATCCTCTGATATGAACCAAGATAGCAGTCTGAATGGAAGTGACTTTTAAGCTATGCTAAATGAGAGAAACGTCAAGATTTATACTGCTCAGTGTCTGTGGCCATTTTTCGGCTCACTTGGACCAAAAACGACCTCTGGTGGCCCATCTGTTTCATACCAACAGAATCGTGGGTCTGAAACTATTACGTGAGGCGGTGGATTTCTTTGCTGGACTCATCTACTCATAGTTGGTGATGGGAGGCGTTTTGGGACCTCGTTTTGGGACCTCGTTTTGGGGCCTCGGTTAGAATTGATATCAACCCACTAACCAGGTTTAGGTGACTTCTCTTGAGTCACAATTTGGATTACAAACCACTATCTAATGGCTCCCGGCGTGGCCGACGAGAAATTATCCAAGCTGGCTATGGTAGTCCTTCTGAACAGTAGCCAGTTCGGCTACAGTGGATCGTCACCAGGGCCTCGCTACGACAGCAGATCCTTCATTTATGCCCGGTTTCACTGCATCCCTACCCATCAAGCAGGCCAGCCCACCCGCATGAACTCCGAAGGATCACACCACACAGTCTCTTCTCCGCTCACCGTTCACCGTTCACGCTAAGCAGAGTATCCCCACACACTACAACGCTCTGGTTTGATTACGATCGATGAAGAAAATAATGATGTAAAAATGGCAATTCTGACGATTACGCGCCTCTTGATATGGAAGTTGCTCTAGCTAGGCCCAAGACTAACCCAAATAAGCCCCATCAAGTTGTTCCTCCCCGTCAGAATTGATCATAGCCTGCTCTGTTGATGAAAAGCTCGACATGCTTGACACGCTCAGCGAAGAAAAGGTCGCAGATGATCCGGAACTAATCTTCATTGAGATACGTGTTAGTTGAACCTTGATTATATTTTGCAAGAGGGCTCTACTTGCCTGCGCATCAGTGAGATGTTCGTTCAGAACTTTAATCTGTTCCAAGATCTGAGCTAGGATCGAGATTATCTTAGATCTCTCCGCGCTAGCTCCTGAGTCACGGTTTACTCTCAAGCCAGGATTGAGAATCATATCAATTTGATCAGGATCATATATCATAGGCTTCGCGCCAATTGATGATCGAGAATTGTTCAACATTTTGGAAAGGAAGAATAGGAGGCTAGATTTTTATGGTATGGTGGGGGAGAGAAGAACAGTGCCTCTCTTAGGTATTATGTAGCTCACGTTCCTAGCGCAATGCCCGCTCTCTCTCACGAGTACTCGTACTCTTTTCATTCCCTGGGGTGTCCATTTTCATACCCTGAGTGCCCGTTTTCATACCCTGAGTGCCCGTTTTCATACTCTTGGTGGCCATTTCCATACCCCAGGGGCCATTTCCATACCCCGGGGGCCATTTTCATACCCCGGACGCCCATTTCCATACCCGTAGCGTTCGCTCATGTCATGCGCAGGGTGAGGGAAGAGGGGATGGAGGCCATGGTTCGTCCCCACCATAGATATTTATGGAAAAGGGGTGTTTTCTAAGCTGAGAGGCATCATACGGTACAGCATGAGTTACTTGGTGTTTTGAAAGTCCTCCTCGCTCTCTATTTTCGCCACAGTGGGGTGTTAAAAGGCGTCCATCTTGGATGGGGTGTATGAGGGGGGTGTAAATCGTATGGCCATACCCTAATTGCTACCAACAGCCTCGTAAAGCACGCCAAGCACGACCAAAAGATGTTGTTGCCTACAGAAATGGAGAGGCACGCCTTACCGGCCTTGGCCATTCGGCCGAATTACCCCTGACTCACCGTTATCGCCGAGTTGTGGAGCACCCACACTGGCGGCCAACGCTTTGGCAAAACCTCACCAGTTCTCAAGGAACATGAGACGTCCATAGAAAAGCGTCTTTCAAATTTTTTCAATTTTTTTTATTATATGTATACAATTTTATTTTTATTTTAAGAGGAAAAAACAAAAGGGCTTGAACAAATGTCTCGACCTGTGATGATTCTGTTGGTCGTCATGGAGGAGTGCCTGGCGCCCTGATTCGTTACCGATAGAGCGGCACGCCCCGGTCCGTCTCCACGTCAGGCTAGAGTGCCAGGGTGGCGTGTAGACGTATTCCAGCATGTCACGCCCGCATTAGCAACTAGTCATGTGGAACTACATAGAGAAGTGATGGGTAGACAGCACCGGGGCAAACGGAATGCGTGGCTTAGGCTAACTACTCCTCCAAAGACGGCAACCACCGACATGCTGAATAAAAGCTAGCCTAAAACTCGTAAATTGACCAACACAAACATCCACTCAGCCAACAATGTGGACCAACCCGCTGACCTTTGATAATGATCTCCCTGTAAGGCTTGTTCCCGCCGTATTCTGCAAGGTCATCAGAGGACTACTTGGCCCCATCAGACAGCTTGGGCACCTTGCTTGCCTGCAAAGCCCTCCTCATCCGTCTCACTTCAAATTCGCTTCTCAGGTCTTCCGCCACGGATTCATCACCGGCGTCGCAAATCTCAATGTTCTATTGCGGTTAGTTAGGTCCATGTAAGGAAGAGATAGGCGGCTACCTACTTCAAGGTCTGGCATCCAATGTGCGTCTACGCCTCTGTGAGTTGGTCTGAACAGCTTTTGCTGTTTTGTCTCCTTATCTCTAGTGATAATCATGATGTCGACATCGAATAAAAGAGAGTACTCAATCATTTTTCGGATCAAGGTCCTCTTCCGTTTTGAGCGCTCTTTGTTGCCCATGATGAAGTGGTCAGTGTCGGAGTTGATGAACTTGATACGCACACATGCATGGATGTATTCTTGTGGACGAAACTCTGTGACTTATATGCTTGGGATTAATCAAAGATCAACGACACTAAAACTATTCATGGATAAACAGGATTTGGCTTGGCTAAATCTAGTTGCCCAGCCCCAAATGACTGCTCTAAGCTATTGAGACCCAGGGGTGTGAGGTCTAGGGACACCAGGGGTGCGAGACCCAGAGGCACGAGACCCAGAGGCGCGAGACCCAGAGGTGCGAGACTTAGAGGCGCGAGGCCTAGAGGCGCGAGGCCTGGAGGTAAGAGGCCCCAGGGTGTGTGATCCCGAGGCGTGAGACCCAGAGGCGTCAGACCAAGAGGCCTGATTCTCAGTGCCGTGTAATCCAGAGGCAATATTCCGGGGATCCAGCTGGAATTCAGGCATCCCTAGGAGCATGTTCCAAGGATCAATTTTCCTCAATTCCGTCACCAAAAGAGCATTGAGTGCATCAGCGTTCCTCAAGTCTGAGTGCATGTTGGCAAATACCTCCTTGTATTGTGCCAACTCATGGAGAACCCACTTGAACTGCCGTCTTTCTAGGCTGATAAGAGACATCAGATGTCTCATCTCGTGAGTTTCATACATATAGTTTTGTCGCATGTGTGCGGAAATGGGATCGTAAGGTGTATCGTAAAGTCTGTCAACCACGAGGGCTGGCATATCCGGTGTCAAGTCCGATGGCATGTCTGGTGGTATAACCGTTGGCATGTTTGTTGGCATGTCGGATTGCATGTTTGTTGGCATGTCGGATAGCATGTTGGATGGCACGCTGGATGGCATGTCGGATGGCATACTTGGTGAAGGTGCTATCATCGGATCTACCTGCCAGTTGTTGGGTTGGAAAGACTGGTTCTCCGGAACAGGAGACAGCCCGGACGTGACCCTTGGAGTGTTCATTGTTGACAAAACAGGTGAAGGGGAAGTGCAAGAGACTGGGGAAGACTGAGGCGGGCTGAGGGGGGGGTGAGGAAGCTGGTCAGAGCTGGATGGAACTGGTCACAGCAGGGCTTTAAATAGATGAGATATTTCTGCATGCTAGGGTTGATTCAGGCGGATGCTGGTTGCATTCGTTGCATTGTTGGTTGTGTTGGTTGTGTTGGTGCTGTTGGTGCTGTTGGTGATGCGGTTGTATGTTTCAGGGATAGCATGCTAGGCAAACCCAGCCGCCTTGAGCCAAACCATTAGACCTTAGATGTACCCAATTCAGGTACCTTAATAATATAAATGACTTAAATTCTGGATTTCCCGTGCCCTGTACTCAACACTCCAGCATTCCTGATCATCGACACTCGCAACAATCTACACATCATGGCTCAAACACCCCCCCCACCACAGTTCCAGGCCCAAGAAATGTCTTTTCCTTCCTATCCAGGCAGAGATCAAAATGATATGGATGGAGCCATTACCCTTGCCCAATTGTTGGGGAATACAAGTCCTCAACTTGAAGGCGACGATGACTTACCATTCGCCGACACCACCCACTTCGTCAATATGACGAGCTGGGATCCTCCAGCTCTCTCAGAAGCCACTCCTCAAGGCTCTATGCCAGACCCTTTGTTGTCTGATGGGTTCTCTGTACTCGAGGATACTCTTAGCTCATGGAGTCCCGCGCTCGACACACCAGCAAGTAACAAAGATTTTCTTCAAACCTGTTTGGAGATGACAGTGAGTTCAGTTCAATCTTTGTTGACAAGGATTGAAAAATTAGAGGCTACTACTCTTGAATTGAAGGCCTCTAATGATCAATTGCGTCTACGGCTTGAGAAAATAGAGAATTCCAATGAAGCAACCTCGGTGTTCTGTCAAAGATTGGAGAAACACCAAGGAGAGTCTTCCCAAGTTTTGTTTGACGTTTTGACGTTGCTCAAGAAGAAGAAGCACACCGATGGTTAGTTCATATTGACAACGAGCTGCACCACACCAACTAACATCTTTTAGTTTCCTACATTCCTTCTGGCCAGGCAACAAGCTTCCCCAATTCGAATACCACATCCTCACAAACATGATGGATCCCCCAGTACCGTCCCCAAGCATGATCTTCATTGATCAGTTGGCCATCGAAGCCTTCGATAGCCGCCTTTATTGGCTTGATGATTTTCATAGTCGCTTCGAGGAGCAGGATTGACCTGGAGCATTGCTCTTTCTCGTTCTCTATGTTCCCCTTCAGAGTAGCTATTTCGTTTTCTAGCTGGTGAAGTCTCCAAATATATTCAAATTGTTCTGTCTCTTCAAATTCGTAAATCGCCTCAGTAATCATAGACTCGATAGATCTATTTGCCATGTTTGAGGATTGCGAGAGAATCTTGTAGAACTTTGCAGTTTGTCGGATTAGTTAAGTGGATGACGAGGATGCTTTGATAGACTTGATTTTATAATGAGACCGTTTCCACGAAAGCTGGCATTAGGGGGCTATTAAAAGCCCCTTGTCCTTCGCCTTCTTCTCCCCACATGTGCAGAAACGGTCTGATGCTACCCAAAAACAGACCCTGAGGAACAAATATAAGGCCGAAGGAAGGGTAGTACAGATTTGTCCTAATCGTAGAGTATGCACAACCACACAAGCTAGAAACGCAAGATGACACCCGGAAAGAAGCAGAGCAACATTGATCGGGCTGAGTGGAGAGCCAGATGTCGGGAAGTACTTCGCGACTACCTAGGTGAGACGTTGTTCTATTCCGCAGGACGCCTCTAATGTCGTACAGAGGAGAAGACGGGAATTAGCCTTGAGACCTCTGAGGTTAGGCTACGGCCTACGAATGACGACGCATATATTTGGAAACCACTACAGCCCGAGGCAGAGTATTTATTCCAAAAAAATCTTGCCGACCAATCTACCGGTGTATACAAAGAGCTATGTGCAGGAGTTGACTTGACCTTTGAGGCGATAAGAGCAACAGGTGGAATAGCAGAGACACAGTCAGGACAACACATCTTTGTCCGTGCATCCATCTTCTCCACAGGTCGTAGCTAATATGACTTTAGGATACAACCCCCCAGACAGCTACTTTCACCTCTCGTATAAGTGAACTTCAAATGAAAAATGACTCCTTATCTGAGCAACTCAAGTTCATCACGCACCAGTTAGATACTGAAGTCGAGTTGCGACTGGGCTTGGAAAGCCAACTGCAGATGGCTCAACTCAAAGCGGAGGAGTGCCAAGAGGTGGCCAAAAAAGCATCAGCACGAGAAGAATACTTTAGGCAGGTCGCTCTTCGATACTCCAAAGTTGTAGCCAGTGTGGCGCCGTTGTTGAGTGATTTGGAAAACAGCCCACCTATTACTACAGATGGATTTCTATGAATAATGTTGCATGTATCTAATATCCTTCTGAGGTGTGCGAGAAGCGTATTCGCAAAAGAAAGGTATCCTTTGCTTCTCTGACGGTTTGTTCGCAATTGAAACTAATTCTACTGTTTAATACTGATAATGAATTTACTTCTAACACTGGTATGAGCCTCAAATACTGCCTCTTCTGTAGTGGTCTATTTAAGGCTACTACATGTATCCTACGTCGTACTCCTGGTACAAGACTAGAGATAAAGCTACACAACATCGTCTACCGTATTTAGCAATGCACGGATGAGGGCACATAAAAAACCAATTGAATGTTCAGGTCGTATCAACGATGACTATCTAGAGGGACCTTTTACCGGGTTGGGCGGTTATAGTCACAGTGGTAGTAGCATAATGTGTGACTATGTGAGCTCCAATGATAGTGGAAGTGGGATGAGTGACGCTACTAACACCCCCTACCACTGGATTGTCCTCAAAATCCCAGTTAACCTCAAGACGACCAACAGAGAGATCCGCAATATCCTGAAAGACGCTGGGAGAGACATCAATAGAGCCACTGGGACATTCGATTCCAGGGCACTTATCCCACACCTGGGCCCGAGTTGTCCTACCCTTGGCGGTGATCTTGATCCAACGACCACAGACAGCAGCATGATTTGGGTTATCTTCGGTACCGTAGTCGTAAGCAGAGAGCGCGACGACAGCATTTGTGTCATAATGAGTCTTTCCGCAAGCGCCTAATCCCTGGTGGAAGTATGTCATGTTACCGGAGAAGGCGAAAGAAGAGGCAAAAGAAGCCACCAAAACAACAAGAATCCTATCAAAAAGCACCATTTTATAGATTGTGTCAACTATGATAGCAAGAAATGAAGAATCGAGGAAGAGATTAGAGGGGAGACTCTGGGTATTTAACCTTCCACCCTGTTCATCCGCCCTAACAGAAGTACTTGTTCAAGGGTCTCTTTAAGATAGAGAATATTAATAGCTGAGGGTCAGGGCGCCTTTGAACCTATATATATCTTAGATATCTAAGTTGTTGGTAGTCGTATACGGCAGGGGCGGCTGGATAAGTGTGGAGAATGGTTAGACAAATCGGATTGACGAAACATTATATATAGCATGTGAAACAAAGTATACTAAGAATAAAATCTCAATACCTCCTGATACAGAATTGATAAGATCTCCTAGGGTTCAGTGTAGGGGTGTCCAGCCCAGCCTCTCTGCTCGAAGAAGCTTCCTTCCGTCCATGGGGGTGAGGTCTCAACTTTGGCTTTCTTTTCAGTCTCGGGGGCTTGCATATACTCAAAAGCCATTTGTAACTTCCTTTTGTGACCTCCCTTTGTGCTTTTGTATCCTCCAGCCACATCATCCCGGGCCAAGAGCTCGGTTGGGACTCTATGAACGTCCTTCATATGGTCCTGGAAATCAGTTTCAGATTCGAAAGGCTCGTTGCATCTTGGGTCGTGGCAGTGATTGCTCAAGTCATGGCCCAAAATATGTCCTCTCCAGCCTTTCTCGGTAGGAAATGCACGTAATCGCTCTCCTGGGCTCAGAGTCTCGTCCCACCGACAGAAGGGACAATAACCTGGGATAAAAGCGCGCTCAACTTTTCCCCACGCAACCTCCTTATGTAAACTTCCATCGTGGAAATGTCTTTGACAATGTTGGTCCCATTCCTCTTTGCTAAAAACCCACTCATTGCAAGGAGAGAAGCAAAATTCGGCAAAATGGTGTTGATTCTTGACGCATTCGTAAACGTGAAGGTTACTATACTTTTGGTTAGTCTAGACCTCCTCTAACTCAAGAAATACTTACTCCTTCGTTTTCCTCTTCGGACAGGTGCACAGATTCGCATCAAGCCCCGAACGGTGGACTTCTGTCACTGCTTGGTGAAGCTGGATGAGCAAATCAATAGCCTTCCTACCTTCTGGTTCGCGCATTGTAATAGGCCGAACTAAAATGTCTGCGAGCTCGCTTCGGATTGGCAAAATTGGACGCAGTCGTTCAAAAGGTAAGTCCACCCCTACGGTGCTGTATGATTTGAAATCAAGCGTGTCAGGCTTGGGTTGATTCGACCAGTATGTTTTCAGTCTGCCTTCTTCCAGTTTCTTCAGTTGCTTCTTCGGTAATCTTTTATCTATCAATTCTGTTGTCGAAAGTTTCGCCTCGAGGCCGCTCGCCTCCAATTTCTGTAAGTCTCTCTTCACTTTCCGCGAATCTGTGAGCTCCGGATCTGTAACTGTGGAAGCCAGTTTCTTGTATTCTTCGTCCTCGCGAAGCTTCCGGAATTCGGCCGAAGGCAACTCCTGTGGAAGGTCTGGTCTCCAGTCTATCTCAAACTGTCGGAATTGATACGCAAGATCGATTTGCCGAGCTTTTTTGCCGAAGAGGGAGGCCTGGCCATCTATTCCTGGATTTCGGGCGGCATAACTTTGTTGATGTATTGTGTTACTTCGGTGACCGGCTGTTTGCAGCCGTTGCGTGTCGGAATAGTTTGGGTTGGTGTCTGCAAATGTTAGAGAAGAAAAAAACCTACAACTCACTTTTCTACTTACCGACCATCGTCAGAAACTCGGATCGCACAGCATGAAGCCCGTAAGGTTCGGCGGTCCCTCCTCGAATTTGGGACTCTCTAAAATCTTTCTGAAGCGAGTCCCCTGAAAGCATGTCCTCTCCGTTTGCGCCTCGAAACACAGGAGTGTCCATAATTTTTGGGTCGAAATGGACTCTAATGGCGTTCCCATTTTTTGGGGTCTTGTTCAATAAAGTTTCAAGCCCTTCAGCACCTTTGTAGTCCCTCAAAGCGTTCTCACAGAAGAAAATTACTAGATACATTAGTATCGGGTTTAAATAGAGCTGTAAGTAGTCCCCTGGGAATAGATTCTCGTGTAGGTCTGGCTGAGGTCTAAGATAAGTCAGCGACCAGTGAGTTATGTGAACTGCCCAACTTACAGTTTACTAGATTCTTCATAACGTCCTTTAAGTTTCTTTGTTAGCTGCAAAGCGAACTCCGGTTCTCCAGAGTCATTCTGTATTATGAGAAATTCCAGATCCTAAATCATTAGGTCATTCGCCCAGTAATGTCTGGTTGGAAAGCATACTTTGTATAAGAGGCCAATCTGCTTTGCCTTGCCACGAGCCTGAGAATGCATGTAACAGGACGATCTCGCGCCGGTAAACTGCGCGCTCTCGATGGCACCCCACAAGATGATTCGTCTCCTTGGTTGGGAAAAAATCTTGAAATCACGTCCCCAAAGGAACCTCCCGTGCCATATTATATGGTCTCGAGTGACATGTCTTGTTGGGCCACTGTCCGCTCTGATATCAAATTCCTTCCCATAAAGGCCGTTGGGTTTGATCAGCTTGCACAAGTTAGCAAAATAAAACACCGTGAATTTGCCGCAAGTGGACGAACCTCAGAAATGCTTCGAAGATACTCCGGGTCAATATCCCCCCGGTGTCTTCGGTATCCCCCAGTGAAAGAATTCCATCTCTGTTTGATATCACCGTAAACAAGCCACTTTCCTTTTGGCAATAACTGCCGCCTGGCTTGTAGATAAAGGTACATGAACAGCTTCAGATCTCCCAGTTTATCAACAGATTTTGGTGGTTTGGGATACTGAGCGCAGCTTTAAAGGTCAGTTCAAATTCGTGATGGGTAGCTAGGGGACTTACTAATCATCCCACAACTTCAGTGCTCGGCTGTGGGATGACTGTAGACTGGGACCGATATTTTTGCTAACTATGGCATCATTCACCATCTCCGGATCAGGCGGTGGACGAGATCCCGGTAGGTCGAATAAATTGATTTGTGGCATCTTGGTTTGGCTAGAACGATGTAGGCTATGAGAGGATCTGAAATCGAAAAGGGGGCCGGTGGGGAGGGCGTCAATGAGGAAGAGTGCGCCGGGAAGAACTTGCGGCTTTGGAGAAAGAGGGAGCCTTTGGGCGAGAAGACGAGACACGATTGCCCGTTCTTGCTAAAGCCACGAAATTAAGAAAGACCGACGGTAGGATGCGTAAACAAGACTGCTCGATCCGTACTTGTGTGAAGCTGATGGTAGGCACGGTGATATGGGGCGCTGGGCAAAGCTACGAGAGAAGTAAAGGAGAGAGATCTAAGACGAGGGAAGCGAGGCGGATGGCCCTTATATATGTGAAAGCTGAAGAAGGATCCATATATAGAATGGCTGTACTGGGCCAACTTCGTCACACTTCATGCTGAGGTTTTTGCCCTAGGCACTCTTTAAGATGATGCTTCATCACACACACAAACGATTTTTAACGATTGAAAAAGCTCTCCCGTCTCATAAACTGGCTCAGCCTCCATGTTTCCTTGCCCCTCCGCCTTTGTTGCTTACTCAATATCAATTTTCAGTGAATTCGCAGAGTAGCGGACCTTGCCTTTGGCTTCTGTCACTTGGGGATGGCCTTTGCAGCCCCTTTTAGTTCCGCTCATTGACTCTGTGGCTTGTATTCTGAATTCAAAAGATCTAAGGCCTTCTCTGCGTATTAGAAATGGGCTCTGTGGCCTAGTGTCCCTCATCTCGGCGTCAATAGAAGGCAGCGTCCTGTGCCTCCTAATCATCAAGCCTAACACCTTATTCGCCTTGTGTTGGAAAGCGGGTGTCCTCGTCCGATTTTTTCAGCTTCCATTCTTGGATCTGACGATGTTATGGCCTTCTGGAGTCCGGAACGAGGTCACTCTCCCTCAATCATTGGTTTCGTAGGTTCCTTCACTTGGCATTAACTGAGCTGCGGTCCTGGCCTGTTTCCATGAGCTTCCATGAGTAACTATATCAATCTTCGTCAGCTCTATGGTTCGGCCTGCACTTGGTGTGCCTTTCTATCCCTACCAGCCTCATCAACCCTCTGAGGTGGCTATCTTGATGAGCTTCAATCAATTTGCATTAGTGCCTAGGCCAGATGAAGGTCCTCCTCACTTGGGAACTAGAAACTTAGTATCTTTCATTCTCTAGCCGCTGCAGCTAAAAATTCAAACAATGATTTAATATGGATTGTATAAGTCTACATATTGAGATGCCATTGCTCTCCCTTATGAATATTGTAGATGGGCCGTAGAGCATAACTTCCCCGGAAGTTAGGTGGAGTATTACCAAAATGGACCTCTCTGCGTGAAACTGGCACGCCAGGGTTCGAAATTGACATTCTGCCGACTCCGCACCGTATTTTACGGTAGACGTTTAGAAAGCGGTATGTGCACGGTCGTTGCACAAATTTGTGCAAGTGACATGCTCAGTCGGCTCAGGCTTGGGCAGGGTGGAGCTCAGTCTAAAAGCGGCGCCGCTCAGGGAACCCACCGACACCAGGATGACTTTGTCACGGGTTGTTTCAGGCTAGTGCAGCCATCGTTTGTGCCTACCCTTTCCTGCCATCCAACCGCTGGTGTCAGTATGGATGTGTGAAGCCGAGCTTTCAATGGCGCCGACACACTCTGGGGAAGAAGAAAAAAACAAACAATAGACAGGCCATCGAATCACCCGCTCGGTGAGACAGCTAATTTCTCTTCTTGCGCGGCGCTTCGCTGAACTTTGAGACACGAAGAGATCTGAGCATCCCCAAGTGGATCACTAGCACCACGGCTCTCCTATCTCTGGCACTCAGGCACTCAACCAGTGCCGCAATCGTCTGATGGTCCTTGACATGCTTGACCCATGTATCTCCCTCCCTGGAGAGACGACGTTGCCAGCCGGAGCCGCTGCTGGTATTCTGCCCTGGCCATTTACAAAATAACAAGGTGTTCTAAAGCCTTACATCTTCGCGTCAACGAGAATGTAATCGCCTATTGATTGACGCCTTGGTTTACAGCCAAGCTTCTTACTTACCAGCTGTCTTGGTCTAGCTTGAAGAAGTGATAATGCATGGCGGAACTCAGCCAATAGGGCCTCGCTACCAGGGAGTTGGAAAGCTGTGAGCAAAACGATGTACACCGTCACATGAGCCCCCACGTTGGACCCTCTGGATTGTTTCGTTTATTCGTCAGAGAAAAAGGCCCAGAAAATTGGAGCGTACTTAATTACAGGGCCAAGGCAGTCCTAGGCTGAAAATTACTCATCTTGAGACTTTACATGTCATTTTTCTCCAGCTCTGGCTCTGCAGCTGAGACCTGCTATGCATTTGCGGCTCCGACCCCCCCTCTCGTTTTCACAGCACTCTCGATCGAATCTTCCATGCAGTACGGACCGGATTCGACCAAATCTCCGGCACTTGCCGCGATGGTACATTGGCCCTCCCCTTGAGCCGCCTCATCACGGTGGGCTAAAACCAAGCTTCTTTGCCAAAATGCTTCCGTGAATAAAGCATCCTGATACTGCCAGACCGAACTTTTTAGACAAGAATGCCAGAAACAGGGAGGCACTGAGAAATCAATTCAGAGGCACGAGAATCAAGGTTCCCGTGCCCAACTTTGGTTCTCACAGCCTTCCAACAACGGGTTAGGGGAGAAAATTGCAATGGTCTTACCCCAACCAATCGCAGGCATTTATCACCTTTAAAACACCTTTGCCAACTTCCTGGAACTCTCCTCACAGGCTAGAACATCTCATATATGATCAAACTTGGTGGTCCTTCATGGTTGCTTCTCAGGGGAGCCTGGTATATTGTAGGTTTCCCCCAAATATCTCGATCAACTTTGCCGCCATATGAGTCCGCCTCCCACACATAACTTACTATTCACGCAGGGATAATGCCACCACCAGTCTGCGTAATACGCGTATACTAGCCTGCAACAACCCTCTGCCTCTAGTCGTAAATCGTGTTAAGTGGTTTCCAAAACTTGGCCTCGCTATGCCAAGACTATGCTATGATGGATGTACTCAATCATACATTCCCCAAAAATTATGGCGAAGGCTCCCAGTGGCTGCAATTCGTGACATATCCTCTTCCAGTTTGCGATTTCAATCCCGAGAAGACTGACATCGATCAAGGCGGCTCCGTCTAGCGCACAGAACGGGGCAAGAACTTTACTGGAGCGACTTCAGGGGTCGTCGCACGTATACTACCCTTCTTTGTATGCGTGAATGATCTCCGGTTGGAATCTGGCCGGTCATCTCGCGATACTGGCTTGCTATATTTATTTCCCGAAAATTTACGGGGACCCCTGAGAAGTGATCTTGGACCCGGCTTGTTGGTTCAGTTGAGACAATAAAAAGGTCACGCCTATTGTCACAAAACCCTGCCTCATTGCGCCACTTTTCGTAGAATTACAAGAAGGGAGAGGTGATAAAGTCAAAAGCAACTGTATGCGAAGCCAACCAGATGACAGCATGCCCTCCTCCTGACTTTCGTGTCTTTGGTCGGTGGGCCCGGTGAAGGTGCTCGAGCAAATGGATTTGGCTGACATCAGGCACAGTGGCAGTTACGCATAGTGTTCCGAGGTTCATTTCTTCTGGACAAGGTAGCTCGCCGTTCTGAAGCTTCTTCAAGTTTTAACAGCTACTCACAGGTCTATGGTAGCAGGCACTACTTACTGTCTGTGCCGGCCTTTCTCCTTGGAAGAAGGGTGAGTAGCACAATGTGTCCCATTAAACTAACGGGTATACTAGCCATAGCACGTACGGGAGCGAGGGAAGCTGGCATCTCTGGGAGCTAAGATGAAGGTTAGATCTTGCTCGATAAGCTGACCCGAACCACAGAGATGCTTCAAAATCTTGGCACTGGACATTTGAGACCTTGGCACGGGGCGGCTGTACACCGCTCGGTATATCCCTCGGTGGTGGATGTCGTTGGTCAATGAGGTAGCATACCCTCTGGGGTTAATCAGATGCAACTGGGATCGTTGGCCTTGCATCTGATATACCTACCCCTGTATGTCCCACCCCACATAGTCACAGCTCAGGTAGGCATGCGACTCCGCGATTCCGATGTGAGGGGGTCAGCGACTGTCAGTTAGACTGACGGAAACATCTCACTTGGGGTGAAAAAGGGTAATGGGGATGAGCATCAGCATTACCTGTTATTACCGGAGGCAGAAATCAGCCCACTATGACGCTGGAGCAATGTACTCGGAAGTAAAGGAGCATTGGCAAAGGCAGCAAGGAGATGTTAGCACTGAATCTAGTCGCTTTCGAAGTAGGGGTGGTGAGTTAGCGGCATCGTAAGCATGACCCCCCTGCGAGCAAGAGAAGGAAGCAAACTGATTACCTATTTAGTTGCACACACCCATTCTCATTATTGATCAACATCAGACTCCAGCTGGACAGGCCAGAGAGCTCGCAATCCCAACAGTGACGACGGTGGATGGACGGCGGAATTATGGAAACCTGCCGGAAGAGGCAAGCCACCATCCAGGCTGCCGGGCTCCTCATGTTCCAGAGTTCCAGAAGCTCTCTCTCTCTGGCCGGCAGAGGCTCGAACAGGTGAGACCCCTCCGGCCCCCCTGTCAAGTGCTCGGAACCGCCAGGCTGGATGCATACACGCTGCGAGGCTTAACCTAACTGTTCCCACTAACATGGTGAATCAGTCTAGAGGAATGGCCAGCATATGTGACTAAGGAGGCCGCGGAGTGTATAGCGGGGCGGAAGAGCCTGTCTCTCGGGGCGGAAGAGCTTGTCTCTCTCCTTCGCCAGCTCTGGCAGCTCAACTTCCGGGCACCCGAAATCAGGCAAAGGCCATTAAGTGGCAAGTTGCCACCAACACTACTCCATCAAGTTGCCAGGCTTGGAATAGTCCAAAGTCCTTTGAATCATTAAGGGAGGATTTGATGTGGTTGTCATTGGCGGGCGTGTAACCACACCTGCGAGGTGGGCAATCAGCTATTGGCCCTATTCGTGCCACTTCCTGATACAATCGAGATGGGAAGCAAGGGCCAGTCGATAGCAGAATAACTTTCTTTTGCCAGATGGTCCCAAGCCTCAAGATACTTCCTATCTTGTCTACTGTCTTTGCCTGAAGCGACACTGCGTGGTCCGCTCACGGCCAATGACGCAACTCACCTCCTACACCCGCCCTTCTATTGGGCCCGTCTTGTCGAGCTAGAAAGCCGGCAGGCTAAGTTAATGTACCCGGATCAGTCACGGTGAGTCTTTAAGCTGCGACCGATATTATCCTGAGTCTAGTGCTATGCAAATCTATGCAGAGGCTCATGTGAGGCACCCGAAGGTGTGTCTGAGTGCGTGTGGCTATGAAGCAGGAGTGAGGATAGGCAAGCAACGGTCGGGCGGGGGAGGTAGATAACAGGACAGGTTTTGTTTTTCGGACCTGATGTTTGGCCGAGGGATGAGCGAGGAGGAACCCCATCATATCCAGAGAACGCAGCCGAGTCAGTGCATTCCGAGTTCGTCGAGGTGATGACGAGAGGTCTGGGCCTTTAAGTTAAGATGGGGTGCGTCTGCCCGTCTGCCTGCCACAACCTTCCCGTCCTTAACATAGAACTTGCCAGCTATCCTCCTCAGAGCATTTTCCAATTCAACGAGACCCGTGCCCCGTTTTGTTGTCAAGGGAGGAGCTGTCCGTTCCTCTTCTTTCAACCCTTATCGAGCTGCATAGCCTGGACCAAGATCCTTTCCCGCGCAAGCTCTCAGTCGAGCCCACCATCTTGGGACCATCGCGCTGCGACCCGCTGGGAGCTGTCATCGAGGCCTTCCTGGGAATAGTGACTGCGGCAGGCACTTGTATTTGCCGGTCATCTCAAGCCATCTCTCCAATACCGGGGGCTAACCCATGCCAAGTCCAGTACTAGTTGCTTCCTCTCTCTAACCTAGCATAGGGATCTGGGAGCTCAAGATACCCTTTTGTCCTACTGATTCGACCTGGCCTGCCGAGATTCCTTACCACCAATTTCACATCCTTGGTCCAGCAGGACTAGTTACCCAGCTGAACAGCTGTAGTTGGGGCATTGACCCATCTAGCCCATCCTAGGGTGGCTATAACCTGCATAGTGGGAGCCCTGACAGCATCTGGAAGAAAGATAGAAGACAATCCTTGCCGAAGCGTGATTCCAAATGATCAGGCTACCTTCCACTCCGCTCGTATCCCTCCCAGGGGCAGGGGCCGCAAGCTCCATGACCTGGAACGCCGGCCAAGTGCCGTCAAGCGGCCAGTCTGAATTCATGGCAACGCTGCCGTCGTCGTCGTCGTCGTCGTCTGCGTCTATGATCAGGCGTCGAGCTCCCATAGCTTGCCGAAGGTACGTGGCACCCGGTGTCTTCTGGGCCTCATGTCTTCAACTACATTGGCTTGGAATGGAACGAAGAGAGGATGCTCTATAGCCTCCACCATCTACAAGTTCTTCTCTAACTGATCTGTTATCCTAGATGTCGACGCATGAGGAGCAAGTGTGTCCATGACAATAACAATCCACATTGCCGAGCTTGCAAACAAGCTGGCGTTAGCCCGAGAGACTGGTAGGTGGACCTAACACTTCTAGATGCAGGGGAGATAAAAACTGACGGGTAGGCAGTGTCTACCCAGTCCGTGGCCAGCCAGACAATGATCGCGAATATCGTCACCCGCGAATCCGGGCCTCAAAACCCAAGCCTTCAGAGAGACGACGGTCTGGTGTCAAAGCCAGCGCCAAACAAGCCTCGCAAAACCTTGTCACAAACGCAGAATTGGCTGAATACTGGGACTTGCCCCCAGTAGAGGAATTGGTTGAGGCCGTGAGCCGCTTCTGTAGCCACTCGATTCAGCTCAGCTTCATATCCAAGGACGAGTTCTGCAGCAGGTTGCGCGACGACCCCGAGTCCGTTAGCTCGTTCCTCCTTGCTTGCATTCTCGCCATCTCCGCCAGAGTAAGCCCTTTGGCAGTCGAGCGCTACAAGAGCGGTTCAAAGGCCTCCCTTTACTGCTTGGAACGCGCGTCGGCGATGTCGCTTGATCAGATCCACCAGGAACCTACATTGGAGAGATGCCAGGCGTTCTGCCTGCTGAGCATAGCACAGGACTGCCAAGGGTTCCACAAGGAGAGTTACGTGAGTGAATCTTTTTCTTTTCCAACTCAATCTTGGCAAAGAGCTTAGCTAACAGTTGATAATAGATTAACCTTGGTATTGCTATCCGAATGGCCTCCTGGCTACAGCTTCATAAAGAGGAGATGTTCGAGTTGGATGACGATTCTCCTATTACGATTCGAAGAGCTGAATCGGCTAGAAGAACATTGGTACGACTGCACTGCTCGCCCGGTTTCCATTGATGTATTGATAATCTAACGATGGTAATTTCACAGTGGATGCTATTTTGTCATGAGAATCTCGTTTCCCGAAGCACATCTGTCATGTTTCTGTCACCCCCTGACATCACGACGTATCTCCCATGTAGCGAGCCCGACTTTAATCAAGGCCAGGAACCTCGGTCTCGTGCCACTCTCGCCGACACGCCTCCCGCCATTGAGCACCCAGCATCAGCTGAAGATCGGGGACGGTCATTGTTCGCATCTTTGATTCAGATTCACCACATATGGGGCATAGCGAGACGCACGGTGTCCAACCGGCATTCGAGGCCGGATGATACCGACAGTGATCTGGAGGAATTGAAGAAAAGGCTAAAACACTGGGAAGAGTCATTGCCGAAATACCACAACTGGAGTTTACCAATGCTAAGGAAACACCGAGCGAATGGGCACGAGCTGGTAGGTTTATCGCCTCGGGTATCTTTATCATATTGTGGCTGACAGCATGGTGATTTAGGCTTATCTCAAAGTTGCCATGATGCTGCGTCTTTGCAACATTATCATAAGGCAACCACGCGTTGAAAGGTGAGGAATATCATTTTCATAGAATCGTGACTTTGTTCTCTACTAACCGATTTCTCACTGGTTAGTGTGTTGGTCGACGTCACGAAATCCCAGCAGGAGCCGTATATGGAGACGACCCTTGAGCTCTACAACGATGTCTGCACGCTATATAACCAGATCGATAGTTTGTTCTCAGGAAAGTTGACGAACGAGGGCGGAGAGGACCAGATATTCGCTCTCTGTGTTTATCACTGTGGGCTGTTCGCAGCATACCTCTGTAAATATCCCTCAGGTGAGTGCTCTCCCAGGCTTGTACAGTCTTGAAGCCTTGGAAACTTGGAGGCACAATACGCTAACGGAGCCGTCCTGTTTCGTTAATTAGTTTGCCAAGACAGTGCCATCGTTGCGAAGGGGCCCAAGATGCTCAACAAAATATATACCATCATAGATGAGAAGATGGATATATGGCCACAGGCCGCAGGCTGGAGAATCGAGCTCACAAACATCCAGCCCTGCCTTACCGGCCCCGGAGACGAGAAGGCTCAGGCATATGAAGAAATGCAGCCATCGGTTCCACACATCCTGGCTGTCAGTGAGGCAGCGGTTAATCAAACCAGATCGGCCCCGGCCGTCCAGTTCGACAGATCGGTGGCCAACCACTCCCCACAAGCGCCGATATCCCAGGTCTCAACCGCACCTATCGGCGAGATGGCACCCTCGAGGCACTTCGCGGGCCACAGCAGCAACCCCGTCGCCGCGCAACCCCCGCCGAGGAATCCGCACGAGGAGAGCCCAACACCGCTGCCGCCACTGCCGCCTTACCAGACTATGCAGACGAGTGGTCCTCCAACCCTCCCGCCCAACGGCTTCCACCACTCTCTCACGCTTCTGAGTCAGGGCCCACGCCAGGCGATGAGCAACGCTTCCTTCTACTTCGAAAATCAAGCCGACGGCCCTCGGGTCCTCGAACACACCTACTCCCATCACCCTGTCCCGTCGACAGGCCCAGGGTATGATGTAGGCTTTGGCGAGACCCAGACCGCTATGCCCGGACCCCAGGGAGATGCTCTGTACTCCCGCCACCAAGAAGTTGCAGTGTCGAGAACCAGTAGTTTTGAGAGCGACGGTGGCGTTCAGCTCGTGCGTTCTCAAGAATGGATGCCTCAGCCGCCGTGCGGGCCTTGGATGGATGGGTACGTTGGGACTTGAGTTGAGAGTCAGGGGGGCAACTTCCCAACTATCGCGGGTGGTAGCTGTGCGGGGTAAGTAGTAATTAGGAGGAAAATATTCGGTATTAGGATGGTGGGACGGAGGATATTCTTTTGGGGGGTATTGGTAGCAAGTATAAGAAATGCTGTCTCAGGACTTTTTGGAATTTGGTAGAAGGAGTAAGAAAATGCCAGGACATCACGAGGAGTTATTAGATTAGGGAGGATAATCAAGATGGTCGAGGAAAATTGAGTTCAAGGGGGGAAAATATTCGCATTACTGACGAGTTCACTTGATACTCAAGCCGATCTAATGCGCCACGTAAAAAATTGTACCGTCTAATCACCACATTTCCTGCTCTCGTCCCCTACACGCTCCATGAAATAAATCTTTGACTTCATCCCGATGTGTGCCATGCCCGGCTGTGATCCGCCTTTCTGCCTCACAAGAACTCCCATTCACTTGAAGGGCATCCAAAAAAAAAAGAGAGGACCAAGAAGGATACACATACCACGCATGCACATACCCAGACACCGCCAAACAACAAAATGTGACCTCATCCATTGATAACGCGCCGAAAAATGCCAGCCGCCAGTACTCCCTGCTTGCTCCCTCTACATGACTTTTGGTTCGCTGCCACTTCTCCCTTATAGTTGATAAAGAGAGGGCATACATGACATAACTTCTATTCCACCATGGGCAAATCGGGGCATAAAAAAAAGCAAAAACTGAATGAGTATAGGACTAAAGGGAAATGTTGGGAAGTGTTCTTGCAGAATTCGAAACATGAATACATCTGATGGTATTTGTGAAGGGAAGTGACTAAGTGTAGTGTAGTGTAGTGTAGTGTAGTGTGTCATAACAGGGTATTGTGTAATTACTGATGTGTCGATGGGGTTTCTATATACACATGAGGCGTCGTGGGGATCGTGCTGAACGATATAACAAAAAAAACAAGGGGGGAAGGGATGCAGGGATCGGCTACTTTTTGTTTTTAGCGCCATGAGCACCGTAGAATCCATACAGAAGAGCTGAAGATAGGATAGGTGCTACATGAACGCCACCAAGGTGAGGCTACTGGAAAGAAAGATGACAATCTTGGCCTTAAGCCGCCATGACGTTCTGGGAACCGCCAATCTGACGCTTGACTTGCTCGCGGGCCCATCTGGCGGTCTCGATAGTGCGCGACGAGAAGTCCCGGTTCGTCTTGGTCTCCTTGATCAGAGTAGTCACCCAATCTTGGCGGAAGGCCTCGGCGAGCTCTCCGTTGGGGTAGGCATCAGCCAGGTCACTTTGAAAATTATGTTAGCGAACCACGATTGGATGATGAATGGAGGAAAGAATAAACCTACCCGATGACACCCATGGAAGCCCTCATAAGTGGCTCACTGCGGTTCAGGTCACTGGAAATCAATTGCAGGAGGTTGAAGACGAGAGGAACATATGGCTGCAGTGCTTGGGCTAGAAGGGACTGTTTAGCACAGGTCATTCATTTCGGATTAAAATCAGGAGTATGGGCTCAACTTACTCTTCGAGGAGACCTTCATGGCACCAATAATGCCACCCCAGGCGTCCATGATACCCTCGCGCAGAGAAACGACATAGTCGTACATTTCGTAAGGACCCTCAGGGGAAGCAGTAACACCAGAAGCCTGCTCCAAAACCTGTGCGACAACTGAAAGGTAAGTCTCAAAGTGGCCGCCGATGGCGCCAGCAATATCACCAAAACACTGGAGAATGGCAGGCTTGAACTGATTGCTGAGAGTGGAGCTCTGTACATGCAATGGTCAGTGATTGCTCCTCAAATCAGAGTTAGAAATGACGGGGCGAAACATACCCTCAAGTTGTTCAGCAAGTGGTTCATGAAAGTATCACAGTAAGGTTGGCTGCGCTCTCCGATGGATCGGGTGATGTCGCTGACCAGGCCAATAGCCATGGAGCAGAGACTGGGTTCCTCCTGGTTGGCGAGAGCATTGTAAAGGAAGTTGGAGAAGGCATCCATGTACTTGACGAAGTCCTCCTCCATAGCCTGAGACAAGGCACTGATGGTGGCAAAGACGGCCTCTGGAACGCTGGACTTGCCGCCAACCACGTTCAGAATGCCGAGAAGGGCCTGCATGATACGGTCTCCCTGGGAAACGATTTCCTTGTCGAGACGTGTGATGATGGCCTGAAGAACCGTGCACAAGCTGTTCTGCATCTCCTCGAGAGTGATCTTGTCCTCAACGCTGACAACCTGGGACTGCAGGGGGACGGTCTCCTCTAATCTCTTGATGATGACATTTGAGAGTTCAGCAACAGCCTGAAGGCTCTCACCTGCAGCACTCTGGACGAACACGTTCAGAACCTCGTACGCAGCAGTTCGGACAGAAAGATCAGCATCCTGGCGAGCAGTGACGTCGAGGAGGGTGGAGACAGCGTTGTTGAAATGAGGAGTCAGAGGGTTGGTGGGTGCACCATACTCGCCAGCGAAGCGCTCAGCAAGGTTCATCAGAGCCCAGCAGCAAGATGGCGCCATCTTGGCGCTGCTGAGGAGGCCCTTGAACAGAGCCTCGATGAGGGTGGGCAGGTGCTGCTGAGGATCGATGGCCTCTGAGCAAGCCTCAGTCACGCGTCCAAGGGTGTAGGCAGTAGAGTCCTTGACCTGAAGAGACGAGTCGTCCATCATGCTGATGAGAATAGGTAGGGCTTGCTTAACGATGGGCTCAAGGACCTTTTCCTCGGGGCCTTCCATAATGGCGCCGAAGGCAGAGACGGCCGCATCCCTGTTGTGCCAGTCCTCAGATCTGAGGTTGGCCTCAACGAACTGCAGCACGGGGTTGATGATGGTGGCGGTGATGGCCTGGGAATAGAGTTGCAAGCATTGGTAGGCGGCCCTCGCAAGGTTGTATTCATCGTCTGTGGCATCCTCATCCTGCTTGGTTAGGAGTGTCAGGAGGACGGGAACAACCTCGTTGGCGGCAACACGGGCGAAGTTGTAGAACGATCGCATCTGGTCGGAGCTCTCAACTGAAGCATTCTCGTCTTCGATAGCGATTTCCTCCTCGCACACGGTGCTCCAGAACTCAACGGCCAGCTTGGCAACATCTTCGTCAGGATTCTTCATGCCGAGAATGGTCAGGCCAAAGAGGGCCTTCTCCATGTAGAAGCGCATGTTATCATAGTAGATACCCATGATTCTGTTCAAGCAACCGAAAGCGCCCTGCTGGATTCGGGTGTCGTCGGCCTGTGTGGCCTCGCAAACGACCTGCATGATGTAGTTTCGCTCGCCCTCATTCTTGAAGTTGTTGGCAACGAACTCGAGCGAGTCGCCGAGAGCGGTGATGGCGGCCAGGCGAACCTCGTTGTTGGTTTCCTCCTTACGAGCACCCTGAACGACGGCGGTCAAAATAGCGTTGGAGTGGGCTATCAAGGCGAGGCGCAGCGCACTGTCTTGGCTCTCGCAGATGTATCCTATCGTGGTGAGCGAGGACTGCTTCTGGTGAGGTTGTCCTTCGCTGACGTTCTTGACGAGGACGGGCATGAGGTCATTCCATTGGTTAAGGGGAATTTCAATAGTGGCGATGGAGGAGATAACCTGGGCGGCAGCGTTGCCAGCCTGGACGTTAGCCGAGGCCAGAGTCTGCAGTGTCAACTCCTTGACCCTCGATTTTGTCTCCTCATCGGTTTGTTGCACCCATTTCGCCTGTAGCTCTTGCTGGCGAGCAAAATCGCGGGCTGTGAATGCGTTTTTCAGAGCGATACCAGCGGCGGCTCGGATAGAACCATCGGCTTGCTCATCTGCGAGGGCCTGGACAAGGGTGGCAAGGTACAGTGGCTAAAGGAGACGAAGCTGTTAGTTCTCTCTGTGCGGGTAAAGCTTCAAGCAGACAGACCGGTCGGTCGCGAGGGGAGAACGTACGAAGTTGTTTGAAGCCGCTTGTGTGAGCTGCTCCTCAGCAGCGTGTCGGAGGTTCGCGTCTGTTTTCCCATGACAATCAGTATGAGGCTTCCTTTTGGCAAGCCGGTGCGGCAAGCGCCTGGCAGAAAAGGGGACAAGAAATCTTACCTGGTGACAGCGAGTTAGCGAGCACCTGATTAATTTCGGAGCCCGACATATTTGCGGTAGGTTGAGCGTCTCGTCATGCGGTTGCAATGCCAGAAAAGAAGTGCACGTGTAGAAAGCACAAAGGGCGGAGTGATGCGGTAAGAGAGAGTGGGGGGTCCTCGAAAAAGCTTGGGGGGGGGAGGAGAGGTCGTGGAAACAAAAGGAAACGTAGTAAAACGGTCAAGAGTCAAGCCCGCTGCGAAGAGGGGGAAAGTTTCGATCGAAGGATGGAAAGGTCAAGGAGGCCCAAAGGAAGAAAAAATAGTGAGTGATTCCTCGGATCGACTGGTTGGATCGAGCAGGTGAGAAGTTGAAAAGTGTCAACGGGTGTTCCCAAGGGGTTCAAAAGGTGGAGGTACATGCTGTTTAGGGGGGGTAGGGCCCTGGTCAAGATGCTCTCAATCTTATTAGTGGGTGCCAGTCAAACTTTCAGCAGCCTCCTCTCCCTAAGCTGGGTACTAGCAGCAGCCCACAGGTGCTATTCACGCAGGCAAACCAGGCAAATCAAGCCAATTCCAGGCCCGATCTCGAGCACGGCCAGCTCCCGTAGGATAGACCACGCCAATAACCGCCTCTGTTTTGTCTCTGACCTGCATCTCTGTCTCTGCTCAGATTTTCCTCTCTGCGAAAAGTGGGGAGCGAGCTCGAGCAGCCTGGACACACCGGCTGGAATTGTTCCTACAGCAGGTGCGGTAAGGCTTCCATGTAGCCTGCTGGCGGCGGTGGCGGCGGTACATTGGGGCGAGGTAGCGACCGGCGAGTCAGTACCTGGCCTCCCACAGGGCAGTGCTGGGACCTTGCCGTGAGCGACGGTGCAGCACAAGGGCCCGATATCATCTGCACGGCAGTGTCTGGAAACGTTCGCCAGCTCTGCCGTCCTATCAGATGTACTGCTCTCCATTCTTCCGTAGGGGGAAACCCCCTCTCTACGAACTGCAAAGGCCGTGACACCAATTAGACTTTGCACCGCACCTTAGGGCTATGCTGGATGTCTGCCATGGGGGGACGCGTTGCATCCAGCGGCAGTCGGAAACAGGTTCCAGTTTTCACTGCTCCACAGCTGCAGCGGCCCAGGCGAATCACGTCCCACGCGATTTCAGAGTCGTGGCTCCCCATGTACCTTTTACCGTCCGCTACTCTGCAGCCAGGTACCCGTCCGTGCGGTGTGCGTGAAACCCCCCTCACTTGTCCGCTCACTGTTTGGCTGATGACGCAGATGGCCCATTCCGCCTGGTTGCCTTACTTGCATCTGCCTGAAGGGAGAAGGGGGGAGCATGAAAAAGCTCGCACTGTCACAGACAAAGTTAGTCGCGGCATGCCAGTAGCATATCGGCAGATATTATAGTTCCCTCCGATCGTTGGGTGAGCAGCTTCGGGCTCAGCCTTTCTATCATTCACCAAGCCCTCAAAAGGCCGGCGGGACTTGCTGCTTTTTTCTTTTATTTGTTTTCCACCTCTTGACCGAAGTAAATATTGCCTCGTCCAGTAACCCCACCTTCTTCCACAGCAACCATCCCGCCCTATTCCATTCTGGTTGGTTTGCCAATTTCACCGCACGTCTTTAGCCTGTTGCCAGCAACCCGAGGGCCTCAGCGCCTAGGTATCATTGTCTTGCTATGCGCGGCAGGTCATCTCCTCCTGGAAATGGCAAAGTAGCTTTCCAGCAATGATTCAAGGCTCCAAGTTGGACCAGTGAGTCAGCCTTCAGCCGCTCTCATACTCCGTCTCTGTCACGTGTCTTTTTCCATTCAGTTGCCTGCCTTGTACCGTCTAAATAACGCCTTAGGACACTGTGCCTGCCACCTCGAAGTTATGGACTCCGTGTTCTTTATAGCCTTTCCAATAAGAGAACCAATAACTTCTAAGCCGTGTCCTATCTTGGTTTTTTTTTTCACCACTTTTTACATTGATTCTTTTTCTTGGAATATGTAGTAACTCTGGTTTGACGACCAGTTTCCCCACATCTCCCATCCCGCCCACTACCACCATCAGCCAGGCATCACATGCTTGTGCATTCCACTCGCTTGCTACTCCCAGTGTCTGCCTTACAGCCCCTCATCCTGGCCTCCAGACGATAACTACGTAGTATGGCGGGGTCATTTTTTTCGGGCCGTCCAGAACAAAAATGTTGTGCGGATCCCCCGCCACTTCGTGATCGCTTTCGGAATGCATGGCTGTTCCCCATGGACGTGCATTGCAGATAGGTCACATATGAGCACTCTGACCTGTGTCGATTCTGTACTCCCTGTAGTATCTGGCATCCGTCGTGACGCCTAGGGACTTAAGGGTGTCTGCAAGCGCTGAGACGGGACCGTTGCCACTGTCGTCTGTGGAATTCTTAGCTATCTACCTTTTGAGTGCCATCGAAAATGGGGGGCATACCCGATATGATCCGTGTATACTTTCAGCAGTCGGCACCCCCAATGGGAGCGGGGAGTTGAATGAGATATGGTTCTCGATAGTCGGCTTCTTTGTCGCCTTGACTACCTCGCAAACCTGGCGAACAACCCCAGTCGCGATGTTATGGAATGATTACTCTGGGAGCTACTCTGACAAGGCTGCCTGTATCCCCAAATCCGGAGGGGAAAGGCGAATTCTCATGCATCGGCACCTTTACATGAAACTTTAGGGAAGTACAAAACGCTCTTTAAACACGAACGTCTCCCGTTTTTTTCTTCTTTTCCTTCTTGTTCTTCTTTTCTTCCTTTTTTTCTATCTGACAAGACAGGATACAGGCAGGTAAGCAGGAGAAGGTACTGTCTTTACAATATAACATAGATATTAGGAAGGGAACAATACGCGGACGTGAACCAAATGCAACCCAATCCGACCTCCTCAAGCTACCTTGTACAAATATACCTAAATCTAAATACCCAAGCGCAACCATAAAGCGGGAACGGAGAAGAAAAAAAGATTTCCATGCAAGGTTGAACTTGAACTTGGCTCCTCCACCCAGGCCAGTCTGGGCATGTATGTATGTAAAGAAAGACTAAAAAGAAGAGAAAACGTGGCAGACACGTAAACGCGTGGTATCAGGCTTCAGCTGAGAAACTGGCCCGATAGGTCCAAAAGGATGGTTACAATCTCGCATCTCTGCAAAGATTCAGCAAAGTAACCACCCTCCAAAATTACAATGCTGTGATACTGGTCACACGTTGCAACGCGGACCGTCCGCCACATTTCCCATTGTACCACAACACCAAAAGCAATGGCTCTTGCACCCGTGATGGCTTTGTGCTCAAAAATACGGAGATCGATCTATTAAATTAAACGAATACCTAAGAAAAAGAAGAAGAAGAACGGAAGAGGAAAAAAACAGAAACAGGAGATATCGAGCATTTCCAAAAACTATTTCTGTTCATAATTCGTAACTAATTCGTAGCTGTTGGTACAGACAGCTTCGCTCTCGAGATTCTATACACAAATTCAACATCCTCCCATCCTATAATAATGCCGTTGCTGTGCTCTGGTGTATCGTAACTCGTTACTCTGCATATGCTGGTATAACACATCATCAAAAGTGTATATCCATGTCCGCATGCATGCAGACCCCATGAGCTGGATGCCATGCCCAAATAGCCCCTCTTGATCAAAAATTCACTACCCCGACAGATTAGGTCCCTCATCGGATGATCTCACGGACTGGACGCCCGTTTTCATAAATAATCTCGCGTTCTCTGACATGCTCTTCATCCCACTGCTCGTAGGGATGGGTGTGGTAGTGATGGGCATGGTGTTGGTGGTGATGTTGACGGCGAGACTCGCGGTCCCATTCGAGCTCACGAACCCGGTCTTCTCGGTGTCGACGGATGTCCTCCGTCAACTCTGTGAGCTGAAGCACATCGTCCTAGAGCGCTGTCAGCATACATCCAAGCCCCGAGAGAGGCGGGATGGGGAAAGCACTTACATATTTGAGGTAGTCCATAATGTAGAAAAATCCAGGGCTGTCTTCGTACTCGTAGCCCATGTACTCGATAGCACTCCTGGAAACCAGGTCTTTGCTGATCTCAGTCCACATCTCCCTCTTGGGCTGAGGCGTCTTGGTTCTGACGACGTCAACGGTGCGCTCGAAATCAACCTCTCGCTCACGCTCGTAGACCTTGTCCTTCTTCTCCGGCGACGGCTTGCGAGGAACGGGGTCGCCGTCCCTTTCTGGGATGAATTGCGTTCGCCTGACGCCGCTGTACTTGGACCACTGAGTATCAGTGGATCCGCCACCGACGCCGTCCATGCGCACGCGCTCGGTGCCAGGAGGGACGTCGACAATCGTCCAATCCTTTGTGGCGCCATGCCATGCCTCGCCCATGCGTCCCCGCGAGTCAATCTTGGACGACAAGAACTCGCCCTCCTCGTCGATTGGGGTGTGGAGAGGGCCAGCCGAGTGGGCGCGAGGCCGGGCTTTTTCCTTGTACACTACAAGCTCGTCCTTGCCCGATCGGCGCTCGCGGCTCCTGGATCGATTGCGGTCTCTGGTGGTCACGTCGACGGCTGTTCGGTTCTTTGATAATGAAATGTCGATATCAGTCTCCCGTTCCCGGACGAATGAGCGGCGGCGAGGAAGAGGAATGGGGCTTGGGGGAGCCGCTTTGACAACACCTACATCATGTTAGTCGAACTGGCTAGCGATATCTCAGGACAGCAAGAACATACCATGGTCGATTCCTCGGTAGTGCGTGATAACATCTCTCTCAATGGTAGGCGCACGGATCTTGGAAGGCGGGGCGTCCTCAGATGAGCTGCTGCTGGACGAGGACGACGAGGCCTCGCGCCTCTTGTCGACTATGCGGATGCGGTCTCGCTGGACCGGGGAAGGCGACCTGGGGCGCCGCTCGACATAGCGAACCATCTGGGGCTTGGGGGCGGGGGAAGGTGAGACCTTTCGCACCCGCTCCTTTTCAACGTATCTGGTGCGAGACTTGGTGCGCTCGTGCTCGTGTGCGTGCGTCGACTGACTTCGCGGGCGGCGGACGAGCACCTCTTCGTATCTAGGGCTCGGGCTCCGGCGATGTCTGTCGATGGTTTCAACTTCACGGCTTCTAAGAACTACAGGGCCTGCCTCGGGGCGACGAGCCTCCTCTCGCAGGAAGGACACGCCCCGCTCTCTGGGCGGGCTTCGGGTCACGACCCGACGGCGAAACTCCTCCTCGAACTCGGGAGCCGAGCGGCGAGGACTGGGGTAGTAATCATGTTCCTCGAAATCATTGTTGCGACCCATCTTGATAGCGTTTGGGGAGGTGAAGTTGCGGGAAGAGCAAAGGCTGGCTGCTCGGATGTGGGTGTACAACAGGTACAACAGTGTGTGTGTGATGCGCCAGCCGGGATGACGTCAAGGCCCGGGCGGAAGATCGCAGCGACTGATCAATGCAGTAAAACGCTGAATGTGCCAGACGCTGGCTTTGAAACTCACAGAATACCGCAATGTGAGGATAAAAAAAAGACAAGTTTCAAATGATGCGCAGAATTAAAATCTCCTGCGATATCTGGTCTGCACCAGCGTTTCGGGCTGAAGTGCTGGAGGCTGGTAACACAGCTGAGGTGAGGGGTAGTGACGGCTGGATATGGCGGTCTTGGTGTGTGTGACCGTGATCTCGAGTTTGCAGATGACTGAAGCCCTGCTCCTGCACCTGACTCGGAAGAAAGGCGCACGTGTACCTGGGAACACCTACTCTCGACTCTTGCTCAAAATGACCAGACGGGAACTGAAAACCGATCTGTGGGCGGAACGGAGGGCGGCGGGTAGGAGGATGCGGGATCCAGGCTGAGAGGGGAGAGTTGCAGGAAGAAATCAAACGCTACAGCACAGGGAGGAAACTGGCGAGAAATATGATATGGGAGGGCGGAAGGGGACTGGATCCAGGGATGTTCTCATCAAGCAAGCTTTTACCTGATTGACGGCCTTATGTGGGAAACCTCGGGCAGAGTGGGAAGGCGATGACAGCCCAATGCAATCACCAGACCCTTGTCAGCAAGCACCCGTTGGTCTCAGGAGTCAGGCGTCAGCGGTCTGGAATCCAATCAGAGGGGCGGCAGCAGCGTGCGGCGCGGGCTAGGGAATACGTAGGCGAGAGCAGCAAATGGAGCAGCATGGGGCAGTTCAATGCTAGCAGACGAGGACTGGCGCATGCTAAAATAGATAGCAGACCAGGCGAGCGAGAGGCAGACCCCGGAACCTCGAGCGAGACACCTATCAGACTCCATGACGACGATGCAAGTAAGCGCGCGTGTCTGTCTGTCTCACTGCAGCAGCGTGGGCCAACGGCCTGCAGCTCATTCTGCCAGCCGGCGGTCTGGTCTGCAGCCCGTCTCGTCTGTCCCATCGGCACCGCTCTGCCAATGCCTTGATTCGATTCTGGGGAGAGTGGCAGTTGACGCAATGCTGCAGCCCGCAGTCGCAGCAGCCCAACCAGCCTCCCGCCCGCCGAGTTTTTCGATGGATTCGAGCGGGTATCACTGGGCAGCTAGACTAAGCTGAACTGAACCCCCACCTACCCGACCAGGCATGGCGCAGGCGCTGCTTGGGCACGCATTGTTGCTTTGCCTGGTGGTGCTGGTGGGAATCGTCGGTCGGTACGGTGGGCGGAGGGCGGGATTGTCTCACGGCGATCCCCAGAACACGACGTTGCCTGGATGACGGGCATAGCTACGGGGGAGCCATACATATGCGATTGCTCTCTTTCCCCAGAGACAGAAACCACAGGAATGGGCCTGTCGTGGCCTGTGCTGCTTTCGACGCCCAAGGCAACTAGCTGACAACCACCCCAGCAAGCAACAATGTGCTCCCACCGCTAGGCAAAGTCTAACCGCCGCTGACACCCAGATACAGTTCACCGGGTTTCCCCTTCAACCCGCTCCGAAACTCAACTTTAATATCAAGTGCCTTACGAATTGGAGGGGACGGGTTCAGCCAGCATATGCAAGCAAGGCCTTACAGCTGCCCTCACATCACGGAACACCACATGTACGTCATTTTTCAACCCTCCTCCGTCTTGGGTGGCGGGTTAAAAGCAGCGCTGTAAGGTTCCCTGCCTGCAACACGAGCACCAGCTTGAAGTGGGCTGGGGGGCATTGGAGGCCCTTTCGAAGCATTTTCATTCATGTAATGCCTAAAAGCTGCAGCTGCCGGATCCATGTAAACCTAAGCAGCCTCCTATGACGCAGAGAGTGTGCTAGCATGTGATGCTGAGCGCATGAAAATCAAGATACCTCGACGCAATCCACCACGTAATACACAACCTTCAGACGGTAGAGGCCCTTTGATATAGAACACGGATATCTTAACCGAGGAAATTAATTCTAGAAGCCTCCTAGAAAGCTGTGGTGCTAAACGTCCAAGTGCGTCTAGGCCATGTCCTGAATCCGAACAGGTGGGCACGATGGTATTAAAAGGACACAACATTTGCACCACTAGAGATCTAGAGATCTGAGAAAAGATGTATGATTTCTAGGAATGGGCATTTGAAAACTCCTGCCAGCTATACATGAACTCCCCCTATACCTAATACCCAATGAAACAACATAAACGTCATGAGTAGAATGATTGCAACTAGCTGTGCATGTCCAATTATTGCCAGTGAAGCCCCCGTTTCGTGTCCTTGGCTGCCAGGCCGGTCAATCTTTCTCCTGGCTTCGGATACTCAGGTCGACCTCCCAGCATATCGACAGTGCTTCGCATATCAAGCCAGTACGCGCTCTTGGGTCGCCGGTTGGGCCAGTCGGTGTCATTCTCCTCCAAATCAACCATCGGAGTGAATGCGACCTCGGAGCCCTTGATGCCAATCACGAATGTACTGTCTGGGTCCTTCTTGATGTGGTTGGGGCTGTTCTTACCAAAAGTTTCCAGGCGCTGGATGCACTTGATTGCAAGTCTGACAGCTCGGCAGCGATCCATAGGAGAAGGAACACCGCCCTGCTGCACATGGCCAGGAATACTTTCTCGGCTCTCAAACCTATCATGGGCTTCTTCGCGGATAATGTCCGCGATGAGCTTGGCATGGTACACCTTACTGGCCTTCTCGTTGACTAGGATGAGACGTCCTGCACGGGACTGGCCCTTGTCATGTTCGAACACGTGTTTCAGGTGGTTCACATCAGCATTCAGCATCTCAAGACTGATTCCTTCCTCAGGGGTGTACACGGCTGAGGCGCCGACACCCAACCCGCTGAGTGTAGCAACGTAGCCTGAACGACCGCCTTGCGTCTCAATAACGAACACTCGTCGGCGCGTTGCAGACGCAGATTGCTTAATCTTGTCACAGTAGTTGACCAGCTCATTGAGGCAGGTGTCTGACCCAAGGGAGTATTCCGTTCCGGGGACATTGTTAGAAATAGTGGCAGGGAGGAGCGCCATGGGGATGCACAGAGAGGGGAACTCATCTCTGGCTTTCCGGAGCTGAGAGATGGAGTGGAACGCCTCGAAACCACCGATCAGGAAGAGTGCATCAAATCGGTACTGTTCAATCAGGTTTGCAATCAGCTCCATGCCGGATTCTGAGGGGAGTTCTCGGTTGGTTCCGATCTCAGAACCTCCCTTGCTTGCCCAGCCATCAACCTCCAGCCAGTTGAAAGGTCGAACTGCTCCCACGGGCTTGTCTCCGTGGTGTCGAGCGAAGCCAGCGAAACCGTTGTGGATGGCAATCGGTTCATGGCCCCGGGAGGTACAGTAAGCAACTGCTGCACGAACAGCAGCATTCATACCACCAGCAGGTGCACCGACATTGATAAAGCCGATTTTCATTCTCTATCATCAGGTCAGCAAAATCCCTCTCGGCCTCTTTCCAGTTCCTCGGGGTTTACAAACCTTGTCCTGAGGCAGTTTGTTATCTTCCACCAACACGTTAGTGGTGGTCAAGTATGACCTGTACTGGTCAGCAAATTCGGTGTCTCTCAGGCCCATTGCCTTCTCAAAGTCTTTGGCATCGACAGCTTTGGAGAGTTCCTTTGTTTCAGCCACAGCCTTCATTAAAGGCTTTCGAACAATCTTGTTTTCGTTGATAGCGATAAAAGGCGTCTCTGTCTCAGGGGTAGCTTCAAGGACAGCACGGACAGCTTCCACACCCTGGAGGGTACCGAGTGTTCGGTCGTAGGAAACGGCGGTACCACCGCGCTGGACATGGCCAAGCGTGGTGATACGGGTGTCAAGAGCAAGTCCACCCTCGCTCTTGTCTGCCAACAAATCCTTGATTTCCTCTGGTGTGATCTTGGTACCATCCTTGTCGCGAGCACCCTCTGCGACAATGACAATTGTCTTTCGCTTGCCGAGCTCGCGATGCTTTTCAATGTATGATTTTAGCCGTCGTTCCACGAGCATTCCAAATTACGGGGTTTGAATCTTACCCTTCTAACAACGGTGGACATGTCTGCCTTCCAGTCACGGTCTCTGGGTCGTTCTGGAATGAAGACAAAGTCTGCGCCTGTAGCCACACCCGCCATCAAAGCCAACCACCCACAATGACGTCCCATCACCTCGATAACGAAAGCTCGAGAATGCGACGAGGCAGTGGCTTCGATGTAATCAACCATCTCGCAGATTCGGGCAAGGGCTGAGTAACATCCAATGGTTGCATCGGTTCCTGAAAGGTCGTTGTCGATTGATCCGACCAATCCGACAATATTGAGGTGTTGGTAGGGGCCAGTCTGCTCCTTGGTCAGCTGCCCATTGGCAACCAGCTCCTCCAGCAGAGAAGGCCACTCGGCACGGAACCTGTCGGCACCAGTGAGGGACCCGTCACCACCGCAGATGATCAGGGCGTCGATTCCGTGGAGGATCATGTTTTTGGCAGCAACCAATCGGCCAGGGCGTTCGTAGAAGGCCATGCATCGTGCTGTGCCGATTAGAGTGCCACCTTCAGAGAGCCAGCCACGGACATCGTTCCATTGCATCTTCTTGATGAGGTCTCCACCCTGGACCAACCCTTCGTAGCCTTCGTAGACACAGTAGGCGTCGCAGCCCATGTGGATGGCCATGCGCACGACAGCACGCACGACAGCGTTCATGCCTGGGGAGTCGCCTCCCGAGGTCATGACGGCAATCTTCTTCTTCGGCGCCGCCATCGTCACGGTTGATAGCGAGCTCGGTCGTGGAGTATGGGGTTCACCCGTCTAGATGCTCGAATGCCAAGGCGGAGGGTGAGGAGAGGTTCGGTAGAGGTCGGTAAAGATACGCGCGTAGGGATCCTGATACGCAGGGAGGGGGGAGGATATTGGTCGGCTGGGCGAACGGAAGGGAGAGAAAAGGCAATGCCTCAGCAGGAGGGCAGAGGTATTTAAACGTTAATGGATGTTGCCTAGAGGAGCCCTCACAGGTGGGAAGTTACAGACGGCAGGGCCAAAATTAGGTACCTTACTGCGCAAGGCAGGGAATGTGCAAGAAATGAGCTGAGCCCAGAGTCAGGTATACACAAGTACGGTCCACGATGAGATACACGATGCTTTGCAGCTCCCGCACATGCTAGACTACGGCACGGGGTCTCTGCAACACTCACAAGCAAGGGTTAGAGCAAGGAAGTCAGGCATCCAGGTGCAGGCCAATAACGATACCTATATCTCCCTCTGCCAGTAATAATTTGATGTCCTGGACATGTGCAGCGACCTACGTAATGAGGGGGGAGCTCTTATCGCTTATCGAGGGGCGGGGATGCCCCAATTAACAAAACTTTTTACACTGCACTATTGGAATCCGCAAAGTCTTAGCAATGGGATGAATTAATTAGACCGAGGGCAACAGTTGACCGTGACCTTATCAACGAGCCTCCAGAAGCTGCACAACGTAATAGTGTAGGCACTAGGGCTCTGTCGAAGCAGCAGCAGCAACGCCTCACCTCCTTTCAGAATCATTGAACCACCCAATGTCTCTCCAAAAAGCTCAGCACTAGGTACATGGGCATGTAGGAGCCAATTAGGTTCACGGGGAAGGATCAGCCCATTCCCGCCTATGCCGTCGGTGGGGGATCAGACAACGAGGCGGGCATTGCCCACATGGATTGTGTGCTTGCACCATGGCTTGCCGCCGAGATGATGGAAACAAGCATCGATCGAGCAGACCATAATATAGGGGCCAATATTAACCGGAGAGAAACAGACGGGTTTCCGGTCGCTAAATTGATCCCATCGTTATGCAAGATCACCCTACAACCTTGACCTTGTGCCCATGAAGCTCCCTGTCATGACCCATGGATGGGTGGTGTGAGAAGTGACACCAGTAGAAGCACGCACCCCCTATAAGAGACAGCCCGTGATCCCTTTTGCCCGGTCAGCCTGTCTCAGCTGCGTGGCAGGCCACAACCTCGAAATCGGACCATGTAATCAAAACACGATTTAATTACGATGTTTTCGAGTCACTCTGTGCGAGAAAGGAATTGGGGAGTCCGGTGCATAGTGTCAAGGCTAACGTTAGCGTTAACAAGACCGAGTGAGTTATGTTATCGGTATTAGCAATTATTCAGCAGACTGGGCTTCTCTGCCACTATTGGGCACATTGATTGCCTTAAGTAATGGATAGGAGTACGTTTTCCATCTCGCAATATTTCCAACAATAATCCAACAATAACATAGAGCCGAAGCTTTGCTTAATCGAGTGACAATTGCAGAAAGAGTGTTAGGACTGGAGTATGCACGGAAGTCACTACAATTCAGCTATAGCGGGGAATGGATTTCGAACGGCCGAACTTCAACAGCTGGAGAACAAACGGAGAGAAACTTGAGTTGGAGAGAACTGTGGCTTGTTCTCCGCCACAGCTTGGCTTGGCCATATTATGTAATCTCAGATCGCGGCTGGCTCCACCACGATTGACAGCTGTGAAGGTGCGACAGCGCTGCTCCGTACACGAGCTTATTGACAAGCTTCCAAGCTCCAATTCCTGTCGCGTGACTGCATTCTCAAACTTATGCCAGGCTGACAGACGTCGGCTGCAGAGGCTCGCCCATCATGGCCTCTGAAGAGAGCACCCCATTGTCTCTGCGGCCTGTACCAGTAGCCGACCGAAAGCCCAAGAACCTCGCCGAGTTCATTGCCCGGATAAACGCCCAGCCTGGGGGATTCCGGGGTCTCACAGAGACCAAGCTTCGAGAGGAGGCCGTCGAACTAGAAAATGGAAACAGCACCGCTGAGGATGACGATGTGGATATGTCCGACGGTGAGGGCGAGGACGAGGCTGAGGAACAGGAAGCACAGACGATAGATCCGGTGCAGGTGCGCAACGAGGTGCTAACAGAAATCGAGTATGTGCCAATTCCAATATGGAATCCCATAGCTATCTGTCCAGGCTGGCCACTGACTTTCCGTTTACGAGTAGACAGGCATCTAGGTGGGCCGGCACAATTCTGGAGACTCTATCCCTCCTCCTCTCTAAACAGAATCCTACGCTTGCCAGCATGACGCTCTCGAAACAACTGCGTGAGATGACCGGCATCGGAACTTTAGGAGCCAGTCGCTTGGATGAGCCCAATATCACACCAGCACAGGAAAAGGAACAAGAAGAGATCGCGCAAGGCTGGACATTGATGGAAATCCAAAAGACTAGCGACGCTGCGGAAGCCGCATGCTCCTTCCTTTCCAAGGAGGTCGATGTAGAAAGCAAATACTGGGAAGAGGCTGTCAAAGTACAGAAGAGCGGCTGGTCTCTCTGCAAGATGCCACAAGAGAGGCACACACTGGGCGTACGGTTTGGCTTTTCGGAGTGTAGGTTTAGTCAAGCATATGCGTTACTGTCGAGTTGTTGGCTAACTTGTGGATTTTACAGCGGCTCCAGAATTCAAAAACAATGGTCTAGCGCCCATGCGAAGGGGAGATGACGGATCTGTGCAGCTGGACTGCGGTCGGTTAGGAGGAGTTTCAGAGAGAATCGTTGTCACTTATGAGAGGGACGGTGAAGCGGTTGGGCGCTCGTCTGTCCCAGCCCAAACGGATCAAAGCGCGCCCCTTGAGAAAAGGGTCCTAGAGGCTCGCAATACCCTTTTCTCTCAGGAGCTATGGCACGAACTGAACCGCGAAGCTCGCAACCTGGCAGCATACGATGTCCGGCCGGAGGGCTCAAGTCTCACCTGTAAATTAGACGAGTCAACCAAGCTGAGGATCGATCTTGTCACTCTGGATTCGGCCCCTTCGACCAGCGACTCCTCGCCGGACCAGCATGTTGCCGAAACGATCTCTCAAGTCCTTCATCTTTTGCTGTGCTATTCCCATACACAGAACGAGCTTGCGAGAACCAGGCCAATTCCTCCACATCTAGCTCGATCTCGGGGTCAGCAGATCTACGCACTTCTGCGACCCATCATTGCTCGTGCTTCGCACCTTCAGGGTGTCAAGTCTTCCTCAAAGTACATTGGAACCCTGGTCCAGTGTTTGAAAAACGCAGGCATCAATGCGTCGTTCAGCTTACACACACCACCACCATTCACACTCCAGTCACAGCCAAACCTCGCCAACCAGCCATCTGCTCCCAACCTCCTCGTCCGCCACTTGCTGAACTCTACCAACTTCACATTCAAGGTAGCTCTACTCCCAGATGTACCATTCACTATCCGCTCCAGAACAACCTTCTACCCCTTCACAAGCACCTACTTCTACGTCATCCTCCCCCCTTCATCCCCACTGGAGAGAATCTGCCCCCCGTTCAGGGAAGGCTATCCAGACGTGAACTCCCTGTCAGAATACATCCGAACCGCCACCTGCCGCCTTCTCGCCGAGCAGTTCCTCGCCGAAATCCCAGACGGCCTGTGGGTCCCCAACATCAAGGGCGACTCCCTCCGCCCCGCCGACAACGATGAGTCTGAGCTACGATTCGTCATCCTAGAGGATGAGCCCAGCTCCCCCACCCTCGTCGTCAAGAGCACCAAGGTCACAGGGCAAAGCTCTAATACAGAAAAATGGGAGTGGCGATCATCGAGTACTGAGAGCGAGAGTACATCGCTTGTCGATATTGTCAACCGTGTAATTGGGAAGAAAGCTTCCTAGCTGAGAGGCAACACTGAGTCTGCCCTCCTTATCATGCTCCCGTAATCTCGTTAGTGGTAGACATTTAAAAGATTTAAAATATACCCCAAGACATGGCTCGATCAGTTAATGCTTAACGAAGGTGCTTTCTTCATTGAAACAAGGCGGGTATCTTGACTCTATAGCCAGCAGGCTTCTCCTCCATCAAACATGCCGTTGACTGTTGTCCATTAGCCATCATTTCCCCATTTATACCTTTTCCGAATTGATTTGCGCTCTCCGAACGCCGAGAAACATCCTTGAATACAAATAACCTCTTCTTCCTGCCGTCCTAGTGTCCCCCACGTCTGCCAATAGAACTAAGAGGGTATCATCGTGTACATCATCAGGAACAATAACAAAATAAGACTGGAAAACAAAGCATCTCGCTCACAGTATCCTAGCATAATACTGAAGAGACAAGCTCCCCGATCTTCGTCACATATGCCCCACAACTCCCAACACGATATTCTAACGCCTACCGTTGAAGAGGTACTTGAGCTCACTAGTACTAAGGCGGCTGATGCTCTTTCCGGCAGCTTCGTCTAACGCGGCCTCCACCATCTCCTTCTTTCTCTCCTGTAGCTCCATGATACGGTCCTCGACCGTTTCCTGAGTCAGGATGCGGTAAACTTTGACTTCTCTCTGCTGGCCAATTCGGTAAGCTCGGTCAACTGCCTGCATTTCAATGTAGGGGTTCCAGAAAGGATCCAAGATGATAACGCGGGATGCATCCGCAAGGTTCAACCCAGCATTGCCTGCTTTCAGAGACACGAGGATGACTTTGACATCCTCCTTTGTCCGGAACTCGTGAGCGGCGTTGTTACGCTCGTTCGCCGACATTCCACCGTCGTATCTCACAGGCTTTTTGGCAAACCCTTCGTGCTTCATGCCGACCTCAACCAGATCAAGAAGCAGGGTCCATTGCGAGAAGATAATTGTCTTCTCGCCCGTCTCCTGGATCGCCGTCAAAAGCTTCATGCACTCCGCAACCTTTGCAGATGGAAGCCATGTCTTGTGTAAGTAGGCCATGTACTTTTTATAGGCGACGTGGTTCTTGTTGGCCTCCATACGGAGAGCTTTGAGCATTGAAGGCTTCACATCAGAAGCTCGATCTTTGCCTTTGCCCTTCGATCTCTTCTTCTTTTTCCTCTTCTGATCCTTCTTGTCCTCGTCTTCCTGCTTGGCCCCGAACAATTCGTCCTTTGAGTCCTCATCATCCACAATAAAGCCTTTAAGGTTTCCCTTTGCATCAACGTCATCAGCGTCTTCATCTTCGGTTTCATCATCAAGATCCGAATCAGAGACGCCATCGGTCTCGTCAAGATCCTCCTTGTCTTCGGCTTTCACATCGCTGGGCATATGGATCTTCTGGAACGTTTGAAGGCTGAAACACTTGGCAGGCTCAAAGGTGCCCCGACACACCGGACATCTAGCATTAACACCTGTGGTCTCGTTGCCTTCCCGTATACTGTTTGTTGCTGCACTGTCGACTATGCGGGCCAAACACTGCTGACAGCTGTCGTGACCGCAGGGGACGAAGAACTGCGGTTCAATCACCGCATCATAACATACGGGGCACTCAAATGCCTTGATTGCCTTGATACGCTCAACGGTTGCAGGATCGAGTTTGCGAACGATTTCTTCCACGTTAGCGGCCGAGGTCGGGGCCGCGTCATCGACGTCGAGGTTCAAGTGAGGGTGGCAACAAGCCTGTCGCAAGCGGAGAAGCAAGACCAGAATGTGGGAGTAGTTTTTGCCAATGCTGCCGTCTCGAAGGTACTTATTGAAAATCACCTGTGACTTCTCCTCCAGCTGCTTGTAGAAATCAAGCTCGTCTTGCGTAAGTTTGACATGGACCGTCTCTTCGGTTTTCGGTGGCAGTCGCAAGATTGGTCTACCATCTATTGTAGAGTTCTTTTTTCGACGTAGCATAATGGCCTTCAGCAAGACCCTCAGCCTCGACATCGCCTCGCTTGTCGGATCGCCTTTTTTTCCAAACAAAGAACCAAAAGCCTGTAGTATCTAAATTAGCCTCCTCTGCCTCTGGGGTTCTTCAAGCAATGACAAAACAAACCTGTCTGAATTTGTCCCAAGCGCAATATGGCTTGATTCTTAAGAATGCCAGTAAGGAGAACAATTCGTCCACACCATTCATCATTGGCGTGCCAGAGAGACACCATCGATGAACTCCATTCAATTTGTGACAAGCCTTTGCTGACTGGGTGTTCTTGTTTTTGATGCACTGGGCTTCATCCAATATGATTCGGTAAAACTTTGTCCTGGGATGAAGCAGAGGAAACTTTTTGATGATGTTTCTATCATTGTAATCAATTTGCCGTCGCTGTACTTCATACTCATCTTTCAATTTCTCTAAACGCTTGCTCTCGGCAGCTAGAGTCATATAGGTAGTAAGAACAACATCGTATCTGGCCAAGTCATCCGAGGTTACAGATAATTTCTTGTTGCCATGATGTACAAAAACCGACATCCGGTGGGATGGCTGCACCTTGTCTCTAATCTCTTCTTCCCACTGCCGGAGAAGCGCGACAGGTCCGATGATGAGATTTGTCTATTCGATTAGAAATATGTCAGCAAGTTCGTATCCTTTCCGGGGCCAAAGCCATCCTTTTCCATCACGAATGGTTAATCCAAGTTACAAAGAGGGAGAATCTCACCTTGGGTCTTGTAGTCGGCGGACGGGCCAACATCAGTGAGATCATTGAGATAGTCTTGCCAAGACCCATGTCATCAGCAAGAATACCTCCTTTGTTCGTCCCTTCCTCCATCTTCTTCAACCATGTCAGTGCAATTTCCTGGTGATGATACAGGGTGCCTTTGAGGCCTTCAGGTGTGCCAACGCGATCACGCTCGGGGATCTCCATGTCAGGCCGAATATTTTGTAGAAGATCATCCAGTTCTTTTTCTGTCACTCGCGTATCGTGTACCATATCATTGATGTAACTCGTCAATCGCTCTGGTAAGGGATTTCCAAAAGGATCCAAGTTATTCGTATAGTCGTAACCAGAAGTCAGGCTAATTATATCACTTAGGGTGTTTCCGCGACCCTGAATCATTGGATGGCGAGGGATAGGCTGCTGAGAATATGATGAGGATTCACCTATGATGATAGGGTTGTCGGCTCGGAGCCCCGCCGTGGATGCAGGAGGGTGCCTCGCTGGGACTTGGTACTGTCCAGGCTGAGGAACTATTTCAGATTTGTATGGTGACTGGTTCGGGGTCTGGTTTAAGCCGGGGCCTACCGGGCCGTCCCAGGCAGGGTCATATGCGCCTGGCATTGCACCAGTCATTAGATTCATTGAGGAACCTGGCTCCCTTTTCACGGAGGGCCCATTCCGACCTTGGCTAGCAGAGGGCATTCCGTTCAGTCTCTGTGTATCCATGATCTTCTTAAAAGCACTGTTCGGGTTGGATGGGGAGGCTTGGGAAGCTCGAGGGGCGGACTTTGCCGAAAGTTTTGGCGTAGAAGCAGCCCCTTCGCCTTGACTTGACAACAGGCGGGCAAACTCTTGATCGGCTTTCTCCTGCTCTAGAATCTTCTCTTGGCGTACTTGCTCAGCCATGAACTCAGGGTCGATATCCCTAATATTGCGATTTGTTAGCCATCAAATCTCATTACCGTCATAGTGATCGTGGTCGAGACTTACCCAGTGAGATCGATCACTTCTAGGTTATCAAAATCAAAAGACGAACTTAAACTTGTGGCAGGGTGTGGAGATGGTGTCGTACGACGCGACTTGTTTGCCTGGTAAGAAGAGTTGTCTCGATCTCGTTTTCTAGATGGAAGAGAATATTGCGAAACATTATGTTGGTCGCGTGTAGCCCCATGGGACGTGGATTCGGGGATGGATAGTGATGAGCCAGCAGGAGAATAATGCTGGGCCTCTGGGGTTGCTTCAACATTTGGCGTCAGTACCGGGTAAAAAGGCAGCTGGTCGTAGGGGTACTGGGGCATAGGTGACGAGAATGTGAACGACGGCATCTTTATTGATAGTTGAGTATCAAAAAGTTGAGGAGGGTGGTGGGTGCGCCGAGAGATAGTCTGGCGGCTTCTATCAAGAGATAGTCTCACTCAAGACTGAGGGAATTGGACGAGGGAATTGGACGATATCAAAGCACCAGATGGAAACAGGTTCGAAACAGTACAAATTGCAGTGCAGAGGTACCGTCCAACTTTTTCTGTGCGGGATAGGGAGCCCAAGTCAACTGAACAAGCAGTGGCTCATCTGTGGTGAGGACGGGGAATCTTTTAAATAGGCGAAGCTGACGGCAGGCAGCTTGTGGGGAAAGGCTCAGGGAAAGAATAGGCACCAAAGAGCAGGTTTAAGGAAAGGCGCCAGCTTTCAGGTTGCCTGCCTGTGCTCACATGCACATCAGTGGCCCATCAGTCTCGGCTGAGTACAGGAGGCTTTGGCCGAGACAAGGGGGTGATTGGATGTTGAACAGCGACTGCACGGAGCTCACAAAATGAAAAAAAGAAAGGTCAAGGGACAAGGCAAATTGTAAAGAGAAAATTAAGGTATGTGAAAGGGGACAAAGGGCGGGAGAACAAGGTTCATATCGAACTCGTGCTGCATTCGACACACGTGCAATATCCACAACACAAGAATAAGAGCACACATACCTGGCCTCTGGTGGGAAGATGGTCCGGCTCCGTGGGAATTGCCCGGCTTCTTCGCTTCTTCCAAAAGAGCCGTAAGCCTGGCAATCTCGGCCATGATCTCCTCCCTCTCCTGCTCAACGCCGTCAAAAGTCTCTTCCTCTATGGAGTCCAGCATGACCTGCTGGATGGTCAGGTCATCCGAAATAGCGTCCACATCCATGGTTGTTGATGCCCGAGATCACAACCGGCATAAGAACAGTGTGGCGCAACGCGAGACATCAGAAGGTGAGGCGAAGGGAAAACAAGCTGGTGTCCCTTGGTGCGAGGGCATACGCAGCCTTGAAACCAGTCGGCTGGGCGCGTCGGTGATGCAGAGCCCTTGGGCCGGGGGGTTCATACAACGCTCAGGACGGTGGGTTGGATGGCCTGCTGCAGATTGAGTCAAGCACGGCCGAAGTAGGGACGAGATTGGCCAGCTGATGGCTTACGGCCAACACAACACGCACGGCGACTTTGCTGCCAGCCCAGCTTATGGTTGCATAAGGGCACACACAGCAGGCAGTGGGCGTGAACACAGGTTTCGACGGAGCGAACTGAGGTGACCCATGCGAGGTTACAGATTTAGGTAGATTGGATGAAGGTGCTGAGCGAACCGCGTGTCTCGATGGTCCGCCTTATTACGTTAATCGGAAAGAGCAACCATGGATTTTGTCCAGGGGTGCGGGTAGCACAGCCCGTAGGAACGTCCTTTGCAGTGGGGTCCTCTCTACAGTCTGCTGCCTCTAGGTGCCTCTCTCCACTGCGCAGAGCCGCCATGCGTCCATCCCCGCCCACTGAGAGGGCGACAGCAGGGCCTGGAGAGGCATCCGCCCACTGCGCCCGGTGCTGCGGGAGCGCTGGCAGGGGAGCCGTCCCACAATGACACCCCACCTTTAAGCCCTTGCCAAAGTACCACCCGTGAATGGGTGCAGCTCCCCACAGCACACCCATTCACGACAGATCCATTCACGATTGGTTGCCTGATGAATACACCGATTGCAAAGAAAGCAATGTCTCGAGGTACTCGCGGGTAATATTGATGCGGACAAAGGCAATTTCTCGATATTTCTCGGGTTTGGCCCCTGCCAACATGGCACAGCTAGGCTATGGCGCTGCACCCACCAACTCAGGCATATGGACCGACCGGAAGGCTATCAATAAACGAGGTTCCGTTCAGCTGCCAGCAGATCGTAGAGCATTAATCCAAAAGTCAAAATCACGCCGAGTTTTTAAACCAAAAGGCAAATGACTTGGAATATCAAGCCCAATACGGGAACATGCCTAGCTCCATCGACGCAAGAGCGTCGCAGCGATCCTCTATTGTGCATATTAGTGTGATAAGTGCAGAGCAAGATTTTTGCGGTAAATATCACAGCCGTAAGTAAGGCGTCCGAAGATGAGGCTACCGCCAGAGCGATATCGCTTGTCAGCTGAGTACACAGCAACCCTGTTTGTGTAACAATTTATACCCTTTGTAAGTTGATCATGCTGAACAATGCACGCCATCTACTGGTAGAAAGATGGCACTTGATTACATATTCCCGATATATGATAGAAGATCCAATCCCAAAAACGCCATGCTGATGACAATACCCAGTGAGCCTGACAAAAAAGAAAAGAAAAGAATGAGGGTCCAAGCAACTCTCAACAATGACCATGTGCGGGGAATCGAGAAAGCAAAACAAGGGATAAGAGAGGGGGGAAGAAAAGGACAGTCACGACAGTCTAGCCAGATCCCGTGATTTTATGCCAGATACTTCCCACCTTGTGCTTTATCCAGGACCATAACCCGTTCCCGCCAGATTCCTCATCCCCCTCACCCTTGTCTCCACCATCATCATGCGACGGCTTGTCGCCTCCTCCCTCTCCGGGATGATCTGGCTTCTCCGAATCCTCCTTGCTGCCTGACGCCGTTGTAGTTGTTGGCTGTGGCTTCGCCGAGGTTGTTGGCTTCTCAGGAGCCTTGGTGGTCGTGACTGGGTCTTGGGGCACCTCGGGCGTGTCCTCGGGCTTGTGAATGCCAACAGTTTTCAAAGGCAACCGTAGTGTTCCATTGTTGGGCGCAGGTTCGAGGCCCAACGAATCGCACAGCATGTTGTAGACTTCAATGTTTTCTAATATCCAATTGTTAGTATCGAGAGGTTTCCAATGCGGCTAGCGGAACTTACGGAATACTTCAATCTCGCTATTCGAGGGGTGGGGGAATGCAGGACCACGGGCGATAAAGATTGCTCGCATCAGAGGATGCTCGTGGTCGTAGCCGTGCAGACCATGGGGTTGGTAAGCGAGCCCCTTCGCCTTAGCTTCTGCAACGTTGAACTCCTTCTTGTGCACAATAGCCCACCCAGTCTCGGGGATAATCCACACGGGTGCAATGCGATGGTTCTTAGAAAAGTGATATCGCTCAGGCATATCCTTATCCCGGGAATACACTTCGAAAGGCGCACCAACTGCCTTTTTCTTGAGCTGCGCATAGAGCTGTTCTTCGTCACTGGGGTTTTTAGGTCGGAGGCCGACCAGGGGCCACCCATCGGTATGTTCAATCTCAATAGGCCCAACGAGATCCTCCAACTGCAGCACTCGTGACGTGTCCGTGGTTGCCATGCCATGGTCCGACACAACCATGACGTTGACAATGTGTGTCAGATTTCGTTGTTCGAGACCCTTGAAAATACCGTCAAGCATGTTGTCAACGCCTGAAATGGCTTCAAGAATCTCCGTGCTATTTGGACCGTAGCGGTGGCCATAGGCATCCACGTTGGGCACGTATGCTGCAATCAGCTGGGGCCTTGTGTCTTCAACCCGAGCCGTCTTGTCATCCTTGCCAGGCATGTCCAGATATTCCATGATTCTGGATACTTTATTTCCGAGAAGCTCTTGACCATTGTACTTGTCAATGAAGCTCGGCTTGGCATGCATTACGTGTGCCTCACTTCCAGGCCACATGTGAATGGCAGCACGGGCGCCCTGTTGCTCAGCTGTTGTCCAAAAGGCCTCTCCGCCCCACCACTTCGGGTCCAGACTTTGGCTCGGATGTGTATAATAAAACTCCTCCTTCAGATCAGGGTCCCAAAAGGTATTGCCCACAATCCCGTGGCTCTCAGGGTAGAGACCAGTCGCGAGAGTATAATGGTTAGGGAATGTGACGGAAGGGAACGACGGAAGCATGTACTTGGGCGACACTCCTTCTTTGACGAATGCGTTGAGTCTCGGTGTGATCCCCCGTTGTAAGAAATCCGCTCTGAAACCGTCAAGACTAATGATAATTGTTGTAGGCGCAAAGAGCGCGGTTCCATTGCTAACAAGATGATCCTTGTTCACGAATAGTGCAACGGGAGGTCCTGGCGGCGCACGCTTTGATAGATTCCACGCAAGAAGGGCAAGAATTATGAAGCCAGCCGCAATCGAGCCATGAATGAATATCCATCTCGACCAACTCATGTGCGGTCGTCTGAATTTCTCATGCGACATCATACCGGCCATATCGTCGCTGTCATCCCGGTCACTGCTCTCACCAGTAGAACTGCCCTCCTTGAGGCCACCTTCCTCGATCTCGTACATCAGATGCCCGTCTTCGCCATGGCTGGCTGCCTCGATAAGTCTGTCCTTCTTGGCCTTCCGACGGGCCTTTCGACGCTTCCGTTTCTCTGCCAGCAGATCCGCGGTCGAGCTGTTGGGGGACAAGGGCGAGGGAGAGAAGGGCGAAGTCATGCTTCCTCGACGGCCAAGCAAGCTCAACGGGTTTGGGACGTTGAGTCCCGAGCCCCTTCGTCGTTTCTCTTCCTTCTTCCGCGTATCGGTGACGAGCTTGTCAGTCTCCTCCTCCTCCATCAGAACGAGCCTGTCAGCATTCCGAAGCTCATGGCTGTTCCGCGCTCGAAGCTGAAGTTGATCATCGTCGCTATCGCTGTCTTGGTCGCTTCGGGAGTGGATGGAGGATGCATCGTCGTCGTATGCGATGGGTGAGAGGAGGTTGTCTGTCGCTTTGCGCTCTACCTTCGAGCCGCGCGCCTGCAACGGCATGGTGTCGGCTCCTCGCAGGTGATGGTCTGGAGGTGGGTATTGCGTATCGAGGGTTGAAGTTACCGCGACTCGGCACGTAAGGGGCGTTTCTTAGTGAATGGCCATCCAGGGGTTGATTGGTAGGTGGCAGGATGTGAGGCACAGCGTAATATGAATCGAGGAAAAGAGATACATGCAGGTGATCAAGTGCGAAACCTAGCCTCAACAGCCTGGATGGAGTCGACGGAGAACAGGACAAAAATGGTCGATTTCAGGACTGGACCCCAGCAAATAGATGATGGATCACTTATCAATCCAATTCCAAACCTTAGGCGGGAGATCCACTTGCCTCTCCACAGGGTCTGTGGTGTCACTTAATGGTTTGGTTTCAGCTGCCAATTCGCTCATTTGCTGCTAAATTGAGAAACGCACACACTGGCAACCCCACAATCACCGGTTACCCTATATCAATTCCACCATCTTGATGAGAGGAGGGACCAACTACGATGAGAACATTAAATGCTTGAACTTTAATAGACAATCGACTTCCGAATATATATCCCAACCAAAGTGAATAGATGGTCCAGGTACAAGAAACTTGTGGTGATCAATTAGTGTTCTATGTTGTCTTGTAAAAATATCAACCAGTCATCCCATGCCTGCTAAGAGCAAAATAAAAGAACTCCCCGACAAGAAAAAGAAGAGAAGAAAGGTAAAGTTCACTGACCACACCTCGCATCCCTAGGCTGCTATCAAAGCTGGTATCTGCAACGAACCACCCCTCGAAGCCAGAAAAGATTCCGTATCCTCCTTCCCCAGTATCGTGGTCAAGAGGAGGCGCCCAAACTCGTCTATCTCGTCAGCCCGAGCCTCCCTGAACACAGCCTGGAAATCCGCATTCGATATGACAAGATGCCTCCTCTCCTTCCACGCCCTGGCGAAGGTCAGGGGCCCGTCCGCGTGCCACAGGTACGAGGACAGGGTGAACGTGTGGCACAGCCCCAGTCTCCCATCGCACTCGGTGACGGGCCCCGACAGCACCCGGTATATCTGCAGGAAGAAGAAAGTGAACAGGAGCGTCCGCCGAGCCGACTCGTCAAAGACCCAGTCCTGCCAGAACTTGTTCACCTGCCCGATCGGCTCCAATGATAGGTTTGCCCCGGCCGGTTTCTGAGGGTCGCAGTCGAAGCTGACCAGCGGAATAAGAGCCATGGCGCAGTCTTCGAGTGCCGACTGGGTGCGTTCTGCGGCAGCACGGGCGGCAATATCGCCGTCAAAGACACGGATGATGTGGTAGAGCAGTAAGGCTTGCGTACGGGCCAGTAATCCCAGGGTATCGGAGGGCTCAGGCGTCGCAATAAGCTCGTTCACCTTGACTTCAATGGACCGCATGATGAAGGGACCATTAACCTTATTTTTAGCCAGGTAAAGAGCGCAGCATGCAACAGCGTCTGCCGTATCAATGTAAGCATCTGCTAGGCTAGGACACCGGGAGAGGTCAAGTGTTTCGACACGTACCTTGCATTGGGCGAGGCATGCCGCTTTTGTATAGCCTGAAATGACACCAAGGGGTCTTCATCTCGCGTACCATCGATGCTGGCATCTTCTTGATCTCATCCAGGGCATACTGAAGTTTGTCTTGAAACAGGACGATTGGATCTATGTCTCTGTGTATGGGGGCTGCTAGCACGGATGGCTGATGGACTAGTCCCAGGTTCGTGTCTTCCATAGTGTCAAACATGGATAGGAAACTTGGATCCTGGTCAAAGTCCGTTGTATCAACCATGGGCATCAGCGGGTCGATACTAGAGGGAAACAAGCTCTCCCCAGAAGCGAACCCCGCACATAGAGATTCCGCCGCCACTGGGGGGGACGGGATCCCGCCCGACAGATAATTAAGGTCGGCCAAGCCAGTCGACGACGGGGGGGTAGGAATGGGCGCGACGGAGGTTGGGGCCTTGCGGCGTTTGCGCGCCAGATACTCGCATTCAATACCACGCTGCGCGCAGCGCTGGCAGGTGGGATACATTGCATCGCATCTGCGCTTTGCTTTGATACATGCTGCGCAAGACTTCTGTCTGGGCGGAGGGTTATGGCGCTCCCGAGCAGTCTGGGACATGGTGGGTAGTGGGTGGCCAGCGTCAATGACCGGCCTCTGTCCCTGTGATGAGGAGACCCTTGGGGCGGAAGGTTTTATGATACTGCCACGACACATGTAAAGATGGTTGAGCGAGAGTGAGCATAGGAGGAATTGGCACAAGATGGTCGGACGTAAGACAGTGGAGACGACGCATCTCTTCTGCGGTCGAGGCGGAACTCCGCCTTCCCGCTCCACAATTGCCGATTACGCCGGCGGAGCGAGAGACTCGGAGTGCCGCCTTTCTCCCCTCTCATGACCCGCCGCGATGGGGAATTGGCGGCATGGAAGACCTCCCGTGTAGAACCGATCTGTCGACGGAGTTCCGGCAGGTTCGTCCGCCTATGTTGGCGAATTTCTGTCGGTAGTATAAAGAACATGAAGAGTGCTGTTTGGAATAATTGCGAGATATCACAACATCGCTTTACAAGCTTAAAACTTGCCTTGATAACTCGATACAAGATACAGACAACTTATAATTCCCTTCAATTTAAAATGGCTTCCCAAGCTGTTTTCGTGTGTGGAGCAACTGGCACTCAAGGTGGCGCCTTGGCCAGACAACTTCTCTCAAAAGGAATCGCCGTCCATGCCGTCGCCCGGGACCCGACCTCCCCCAAGGCCAAGGCCATTGAATCACTGGGCGCCAAGCTCTGGCACGGCGACTTTGACAACGAGGATGCCCTGCGAGACGCTCTGGCGGGTACCGCAGCCGTCTTCCTCAACTTCATGCCTGACTTCAACGACGCATCCGCCAACCTCCGCCAGGCAAAGCTCATCATCCGTCTTGCCCAAGCCGCCGGAGTCACTCATGCCGTATGCAGCAGTGGCATGAAGCCCGATCGGCTGAAGGAGCTGCTGGACGATGTGCCAGAGGACACCTTCTTCTCCCAGATAATGCGTGTCAAACTCGACATCGAGAAGGAGGTCCGCCTCGGCTTCCAGACCTCCACCATCCTCCGACCGGGATTCTTCATGGCCAACTTCATGCAGCCCCTGGTCATGATGTATCCCGATCTCACCTCGACCGGAAAATGGACCACTGCCTTGTTCGCCGATACCCAGCTCACCCTGACCGACACGGAGACGATTGGCGTCTTCGCCGCAGCCGCCGTGCTCGATCCCGAGCGCTTCAACGGAAAGGACATACATTTTTGTGATGAGCTCCTGACGACGGACCAAATCGCCCAAAAGTTGAGGGCGGCCACAGGAAAGGATATCGAGAGGATCACTCTACCAGAAGAAGACGTCCAGGCGCAAAAGGAAGCAAACCCTTTTATTCGCGGACAGCTGGCGATGAGAACCATGGCACGCGACGTGAGTATGGAGGAGATCAGAGGCTTCAACCTCCCCCTTAGCACATTTGATGCCTTTTTGGCAAGGGAAAAGGAAACCCTTGATATCACTTTCGCCAATGTCCCCAAGGCTTAGATACCCCAGATTTTCCCCGTTCATTATAACCCATGTTGGTGATGGGCGGGCTTCGATGCCGGCGTTGAAATTGAGCAATGTCTCAAGTATTTGGATTAAGAGCATGGCATAGAAAGCACCTCAGATAGAAACGTGTCACGCCGATAACACCCTGGGAATTATTTGCTAGGTTTCAAAGGATTTCTTATTTTGAAGTCACAACATGCGATTTGTAAAAGGATAGTGATATGATTACTTTTGAAGTATTTTCAAAACGGACAGGGATTGCCATTTTAATACATAAAGATGAGCCTGATACCAAGAAGTCATCACTAATAGAGGTATTGCGGTCAAGTCAAACCCCTAAGAATCTCGTTTATTCCATTCATTTATGTCATGATCGCGATAACGCCAAAAAAAAATTAACCCAGTTGAAGAGATATTTTCCCCACCCATTATTCTCCAAGAAGCTTGAACCCCAAGCCCATGCTAAAATATTAAAAAATTCAAGTCGTACACGGTCGTTACTTAATTTCGTGGTTAGGCTGGATGGATTTCATCATCCTGTTTCGTTTGTTGGTTTTGGGTCTGAGGTTGCGGTTGCAGTGGCTCCTTCGGCGGCGTAGTTTCTTCAGCACCTGCCAAGTCGTTACTATTGGTGGCAGCTTTCACACCGTCTTTGAGCTGCGGTTGCGCTGACCCGTGTGACGGTGTGGTTTCTTGGACAGCCTCTGAGCCGTCCTTGGTTGTATCAACAGTCACCTCGGACTGAGGCTGAGGCTGAGGCTGGGATGGCTCTTGTGATGTCGTAGTTTCTGGACCAACTTCGAGTTTCTCGTCGGTAGTCGCGTCAGTCTTGGCATCGAGTCGAGTTTCAGGCTGCGATGACGCATTTTGTGGGCTGGCCTCCTGGTCGTTGGTAAATGCCACAGCATTCGAGTCGTGCTCGGGTTGAGCTTGAGTCTCCCTTTGGCCTTTGGTTTCGGCCGCTGTATGAGGCACAGCTTGCTCTTGGACCCCTTCTCTAGCTCCCCCTTCGACATGTGTCGGTTCTACTGCTGCTGTTGACGAGGTATCCTGAACCGCGCCTTCGACTCGAGTATTTGACGTCTGTTGCGCCGTCACATCTTCCAGCGTCGTTCCGGCCGTTTTCTCAATGTCAGCCAAGGCACCGCTAGCCCTCACAGACGAAATATTGGGCCATCCAATAGGCATATTTGACGCTCTACGTACGTGCCCGCCAGTCCTGTTGGTCACACGAGAAATTTGGAGGGGCGTCTCGCGGCCATTCTGTTCAAAGGAACTCGAACCCGGACTCGACGATTTCTGCCCAGCCTTCTCATTTCCATCTTCCGAACCACGCTTCTTGGCAACCACTGCGCCTGCCGTAAGGAAAGCAAGTATAGCCGCGATAGAAAAGTTGATGCCCTTGACCTGTTCAAGGAATGAAGCATCTGACGTTTCATCGACGAAGAGCCACACGGCCCCTGCCAGCATGGCAGCAATGACGATGATTGTGAGTATGATCGCACCTGCACGATCAGCAGTCGTGACAGGCTTATCCACCCATGCAGGCTTTTTTCTCCCTATGTCCTCGCTGCCTGCTCCGGGATCGCTTTCGCTGGTACCGCCGGTGTGCGAGGTCAAGATCGGGTCTCGCTCCCTGACCATGCACGCCAGAGTAACCTCCAACGCCGCCATCTGCTGACCGACGCCGGAAGAGCCGTCGTACTTCCCAGTGCTCCACTTGAGACCACACATGCGCCCGTTACTTCCACCAGTACATTGCTTCGCTGCAGCAACTGCCGAGGCTCGTATATAAGGCATGACGAAATCGTATGTATCTGGAACCCATTGCGTGATACCTGCCAGCCAACGGCTCAGGTAAGCCTTGAACGATTGTTGATCAACGTTGCAATGGTCAACTGGTTCGCATGCGACCTCCTCCATAATATTCTTGTCATCGCCGGTGAAGAAGACCTTGGAACCCTGCAGTAACAAGTCGAGTCTTTCTTTCCACATCTTATTCTCCGTGAAATTATACATGGCTGCCGCCCCGTTGATGAAAATGCCGGCATTGTAGGTGAACTGATACGGGACGATGTTCGTGCAGTTGTATGGGATATGCCCACCGTCATAGACGTATCCCTTCTCGTCGATGAAATCCACCCCCTCCATCCAGTCCCATGTCTTCACTGCCCAGTCGGCGTATGACTGATTCCCGGTGAAGAGTGCAAGGCGAGAGCCCAGCGCGAAGAAGGTCCCCTGCGAAATCGAATTCTTGTAATCGTATCCCTTGTTCCATGTGTAAATCTGCCATCGCAAGCCACCTCCGCAACTCGTATCGTCCCAGCGGGGAGCCTGTGTGTTGAAGACGGCCTGCGCGAGCGCAAGCCAGGATGGGTTGTCCCCTCCGGGATGGGGAAAGTTATATTCGGCAGCAGCCATGACTGCTAATGCCCAGAAACCCTGGTCGTCGTTGCCCTCGGTCAAGGTCTGGTTCTCGGGCATGTAGTCCTTTTGCTTGCCAATCTGGAAAAGCAGAGCCTTTTGTGTCATGTCCACGTAGGTCTCGTCCTTGGTATAATACCAGTACTCGATCAGAGCACCAAACATGGCGCCGGCCTCCCACCAGTAATATGGATCGGGCAGAAGTCCTGGAGTCCCACCAGGCTTATCACCATTGTAGTAGCTCAGCATGTCGCTTGCCATCTTCTTCGCTGTGGCTGTGACTGATTCTGTCGAGTTTGGGTCCAGATCGTAAGCCAGAGTCAGCTGGATCGGACATGTCGTCAGAAGAAGGAGGCCAACGAGGCCTCGAAAGGCAGAGGCAACCTTGATGGGGGTTCTCATTTTGGCAGGAAGCACAAGGTAAATGGCGAATAGCAGACTCGAGGGGCTAATCAACAACGGTGATGCGCCATGTGTCACTTATAGAGAGGAATGGTGCTGAACTGTTTCCAACGAATGTCTGGGCTTCTTGTCCTCCTCTGCTGAAAGTAAGCTTAGCTGCCCACTCGATTGTGCCGAGTTCGCTTGTATGATCAATGCCGGGCACGCAATGGCACTGGCTTTGATCAGATCCGCCGCAGAAATGACCGAGTGATCATCAGCACTGAGTGTCGGGGATAGATAGCGATGTAAGACAGAGCTGAAGCTTATTAAACTAGGCAGTCCTGCTTGCTTTTTTTTTGTCTTGGGAGGTGCTGCGACTGCAACCAAGAGTGGGAAATAAAAATGATCAATTAGACGGGAGCGAGACCATGCTGAAACCCCCCAAGAAAGAAAACCGAGAACCCATGGAGAGCAAGCACAGAATTGAAAAACAATAGGTAATAAAGAAAGGAAGAAGCAGAGGAGGAAAAATGTTGGGCAAGCCAGAACGATTCAATCAAACTCCGCACTCGATACGAGCTGGAACCATCCAGGACTGACAGACCCCGGCGACTTGCGCTTGCCCTGGAGCTAATGGGCCGCATAACGCAAACAGCCAAGAGTTGCAGGCAGGGTACCTCGCAGTACAGAGACAGAGACAGCAGAGTGTTTGCGCCGCTAGCTCGATCCTGCCGGGAACAGTCTAGCACGGCTGTCCATGTGTGTGTTGGTTGCAATCCCTCCCCAGTGGTCCATCAAATCAATGGGGAGCTGTCTTCAAGCTGCAGTTTGTCTCCAGCAGCGCCCCAGACGGATTCACGGCGCACCAGGGACAGCCTCCCTCCACCAGACTAGGTGCTCTAATCATTTACTCCAAATTGCTGTACCGACTTAGGTAGGTCGGAGCACAAGACGGGTTGGATCGCCCTCCTACCCGCCAGCCACGACCGGGTTTCTGGGGAAAAATACTACGTCGACTCGAGTCGCTGTTGGCACCAGATGAATGGAGAGAGAACCGACGAGCCAGGCAATCAGACAGACTGGTCCTGAGTGGTCCGGGCCGAAATTTGGAACCGCACCCTTGCTTCTCCATAGAGCCCACCCACGCATTCCCTGGGAAACTATCCATGTGACGCTAGAACGTGTCCAGAGGCGAGGTAGTCAGGACAAGTAGGTACAAAGACAGGTGCTAGGCTAATGCAAACCCGTATTTTTGGGTAGAGAGTCCCTCAGGGTCCTTGCTGGCAGCGGAATGGTAGGACGTGGTGCGTGGGTGACGTCCGCATGCATGCATGTACGACTTACTTTTCGCTGGGGCCTGAATCGTCATCATCAGTGTACCTCAGATTTGAATAAAGGCCAAGCAAAATGTCTCGCGAGATGGAAAAGTGGGCGGAACAGTCCACTCCTGGCTCTGCTTAAATCCGGAGGCTGTTTACTCCTCATCCTCATCCTCCCTCTTGCTGGCCGTGAGATCAACAAGCGTACCACCAACGCCCAATTGGTCCTGGCCCGTCAGCCGCACTGGGGGAAGTTTGTCAAAGTCCTCTCCACTGTGTGGGCTGGCACTAGTAGTCACCAGTCTCCGCTGTCAGCCCTCTAGGGCCAAGTTAAAGCAGTCGGACATGGCCTACAACAGCTTCCTCTTGATTGATAACTGTTGTGTAATGAATTGGAACGACGGGATGAACTGGATGCTGTGTTCCCTCACTAGATGCCCAGGCTGGGCGGCTACTATGTAGCCGGCAATAACATGACTCCCTTCGACTCCCTTCGTCAAATTACCCTGCAAATCTCGATCGGGAATACGACTCTGGTACCTAGCAGACCTGCAGACAGCCTTGTTGACATGTCTAAATGCCAATAACCTCGACGGACGTCCCGCGAAGAGAGTTAGAACTGCTAGCGTCCATGCCAAAAGGCCACATCTCACCCGCCTCCATTGGCACCGCCCGTGGGCCTTTTGAATATTGTTCTCGTCCGAATGCACGTTTGCTCGTGTGGGAGAGGTGGGTGGTGCTATGTTGCCGTACAGAGAGGTGCACACATCGGAGCTTGTCTTGGCATTCGTATTTGCCGCCCTTGTCCTGGCCTTTGAGGAAGTTTCGGCTAGATTGGAATCTCGGATTCGGTGTAAGGTAAATCCGGAATCCGGGTGAATGGCTGGAACACATGACGTCGGTTTGGCTGGAGCCTGTACTGAGCCACAGTCACTAATTCACCCGCCACACCTGAGTCAGATCTCGTCGAACCAGCGAATGGAACAGCTCCTCATACCCAGGGGGTCGATCCTGATTTTGCTACAGGGAGGGAGAGATGGTTGGCACTGAGAACTCCCTAGCGAAACAGCTTAGGTAGCCAGCTACATATTAGAGGGGGCGAGAACTATGCTCTCCTAGGCCTCCAGCCTGCTTCAGCCTGAATTCCACGCAATTCGCCCTTCACCTGCCAAAGGTGGGCGGGCAGGAGACTAGCCGTGGACAAAATAGCTCTCTTAACACAATTGCTTGGTGCACTAGGGGCACGATACCAGATTTGACTACTCGTACTGTATCGGAATTCTAGTAGTAATATGACACGGACTCCAGAGGATGCTCTAAATTTCCTTGCAGCAGGAGTATTTTTAGCCAGTGGTCCTTGTCGCAGGGTTGATGTGAGATGCTGGCGCTTTTATTTTGTCCACCTGCCTACCGTACCCAGCCGCTTGCTTTCGTCACCCCGTGCAGCGCCTCTTTTGGCGCCCCCCAGCGAATCAGTTTTCGCCTCCACTGCGGTCATCCTCTCCTGCCACCAGCTGCTCAATTGTCATCCTCCAACCTCCTGATCATCCACATCCAACAACACTCCATCACCACGCTCAAGTTATCGAACAAGCACGTATCAGAGTATCCAGATTCGGCCTCTGCATCCGACAATCTTTTCAAATCCGAATAATCACCCGTCCAACACCGTCAACATGGCCGAAGCCCCTTACGATCCCTACCGCCCCAGGAATGAGGAAGCTGGTGGTGGTGGTGACTCCAGGACCCAGGCGTTGCAAGCGGTAGGTCAATAACCAGAGCCTCGCGATCCCCGTGGGATCATGTTTGCCCCAGAGCCCCTGGATTCCGATCCGATGAGCTGGCGCCAACGGCCGACGTCACCGAACTCCAATGCGACCGGTTCACGGCAGTTAGGCTGCTGGAGCACACCCCTCCAAGTTTAGGCAACAAGCCTGACCTGGATGTTGACCTTGGGATCATTGTTCCGCGAACATGATGGATCGTTTTGTATACACATGTCAAAAGGCGCATCGTCAGCTGGAATTCAGCCGCTAGCCAATTGATCTACGTGTTCGTCGACGATGGATCACAAGCTGCTCATCATCGGGATACGGTTGCTTGGGGCAGACTCTCATCATCGCGCACAACACCAAGTCGCAGAACACGGGCTAATTTCCTTTCGCAGCAAATCGATGACACCGTAGGTGTTATGCGTGACAACATCAACAAGGTCTCCCAGCGTGGCGAGCGCCTCGACACCCTTCAGAACAAGACCAACGATCTGGCTACATCGGCTCAAGGTTTCCGCCGGGGCGCCAACCGGGTCCGCAAGCAGATGTGGTGGAAGGATATGAAGATGCGTGTCTGTCTGATCGTTGGTATTATCGTGTTGCTGCTGGTTATCATTATCCCAACAGGTAAAGGCGACTTCTGCTCTCTCTATGTGATCTGTGTTGTACTGACATTCCTCTTCAGTCATTGCGACGAGGAAATAATTTCCTTTCCTTGGGTATCTGCTTATGGAGCAATGGACATGATGACGCCGACCACGGGCTTAGAGGCCACGACAGATGGGTTATTGAGCGATGCATCGTCCTTTCGCTATGAATTGGAACTTGATGTGATGGAGTTTGTTCGCGATGGCAATAGGTTTATGCGTTTCAACTAGTTCCAGCGTGCTCGTGTTGATGGGGAGCGGCTGGGCAAGGCCATGCTGTTGCTGTCCCGTCGAGGGCGGCCAGCTTGTCAAGCTATATGTATGAGTGAAAACCTAGGCGTTTTTTCCTCCTTGTTTATAATGGAAATGAATTTTTGTCCTACCTACCTAAAGATATCTCAAGCTGGCCCCGTACCCTTCATCGCTCATCGCTCATACTGGATCGGTTAAATAATTTGGCCTGATTCTCACCTTTGAGTTTACGCTGATCGCCAGAATGATGTCATATGATTGTGAAGATCAGGTACGCGTAGTCTGAAAGCACTCGATTGATAACAACAAATGAAATTGTTGAGATATACTTCCTGAGCGAAAAGCTCGTCGAGCCAACCCAGCGAGGCATATAAGTAAGTGTTTAGAGCGCTGCGAGATGTCACTTCCAACTTTGATCGGCATTATGCGGACCGCCAGTACCGTCACCTGGGGGGTTCTCTGGCACAGCCAAGGCCTGATGGCTAGGATTACTTTGATGAGCTTTACTGCAGTCTTTTGTTCCTTCACCAACTGGGGCTCTCTACCTACCCAAGTGAAATAAAGCATGGCACACCAAAGCTCTTTTCGCGTGCGGCGGGGACCTCGTTTCCAATAAATACGACAACAAGAGAATAATAAGAAAATATCAAATTATTGTACAATATTTAGCTTGATATGGTATTATTTCTAGGTCAATTATTCTGATATTGTGTTGAAATTCAAGGCTGGACTGTCTGGATGTGCTATATTATGTTAGTCGCTTGCCACTGATAGCCTTAGTACATCCGGGACGCAGCTCAATCAGTTGCTTCTACATCACGAGAAGGATATTTGAGGAATCGCTTGACAGACTCTTCTGTAAAGCGTCGAGGGAAACTCATTTTTTAATGGAAACATACAATCACGTACGGGCTCAACGAGTTTGGCGTTCCACTCAAACCCTCAGCGGGGTCTTTATCGCCGGCTACTTTGACAAGGAAAAGTAGAAGCATATCAGCAAGGTCACATAGAAGGAAGCATGAAGATTTATAGAGGCTAGCCATTCTCAACTCATGGCTTCTATGTGAGCCAAAGGATGGAAAGCTCCTAATGTTCATTGCTGATGTCGTCGGGACCGAACTTGTGAACCGTAAAAAGCGGAGTGTTTGAGTGAAGAAGGGGGACTGACTCTTTGACGGCCATGATGAGAAGATCTAGCTCGCCAACATGGACGAGGAGGTTGATCATCTTTTGGCCTAGGTTTGATGCCACTAGAGTACTCATTAGGGTCAAAGGATGGACTTTCCCTAGGACAACGTACTTGACGATATTTTCAAGGGCCTCGAACAACGAAATCCGACGTAAAAAGCATATACATACTACGTAGTAGGAATATCAACTCAAAGTTAGATTTGTGGTGAGCTTCTGAAGTGGACTGTCTCATTTGTTTGCTCTTGTGTGGGCAATATCTTCACATTTCTTCTGGTATTGAGGTTCAAGTTATTACTTAGTACGTACCTAGGTACATTCCTGAACAAATGGAATCAATTCCTTTTGGCTTCCACAAGAGAAAATTATTTTCCCCTCTGGGTCGAAGCTATTCGCATATGATCAGCTGTGATCATTTCTGAGAATGGCTAGCTGCGGCAAGGATGGATTGTGCGAATGGGACCTTCCTCTAGGATCTGCCGAAGGTGTTGCTGACCTGACCCGAGGCTCCCTCAGCTTACTCGGGTATTCCAAGTCTATCCTGACAACCAAGCTCGCATAAAGCCAATATTGTAGGGCTAACTTAGTGTTTAGGCCCTTCATTGGAACTTGCTTTTCAGCTCCTCAGCCAGATGCCATCCACGTGAGGATCTAAGCGGATTGTGAGCCGCCACTGGACGCCATACGAGTGCGCTAATCAGCCCAATGTGACACAACGCACGTTCCATCGGGATATCAGGGCGGGTGGGTGATGGTTAATGTTACATGTGGGATTGGTCGGACCCCAGGTTTTCGGGCTTGTATAAAGCGCCTCGTCAGTCCCGTGTTGGAACCATCAAACTGCCCATATTAAAAATCCCCTGCATTAAATTGCGACTTGTTCATATTCCCAGTGAACATGATTTCTGAAGCCTCCTACCTCGCGGCAAAGACGCTCTCCGCGATCTACATCCTGACATGTGCCGTCCGTCGCTTCCTGCCAGACCCCGCAGTCCGCCAACTTGGGCCGCTGACCCCATATCTGCTACCATGGGTGGCTTTCGCCCTCGTTCCTGTGTTTTTATATACCAGCAACAAGCATTTCTGGCTGAGAAGCAACCGTGTGCACAAGACTAAACCCGGAAATGTTTATCCTCACCGCGACCCTATTCTTGGTGTGGACTGGATGATAAGTGCGTCCAAAGGTCTCAAGGCATACAACCTTCTGGAAACCTGGGATGGCCTGTTCGCTTCCATTGGCAATAGTTTCTGGCACCTGGCCTTCGGGAAGTGGATTCTTCTAACAAACGAGCCTGAGAACTTGAAGGTGTTGCTCTCCACGCAGTTCGAAAGCTGGCCGATTGGTGGTGTACGGCAAACGACGACAGTCATCACGCTTGGCCCGCATGCCATATTCTCCGTCAACGGGAAGGAATGGCAGCAAGGGAGGGCATTGATAAAGCCGAGCTTTGTGAGGAACCAGGTTGCAGATCTGGAATGTCAGGATAGGCATGTGGAGAGGTTCCTCGCCAAGATCCCTAGAGACGGGTCCAGTGTTGATCTCCAAAAGCTCCTCTACTTGATGACTATGGACTCAGCTACCGACTTCATGTGAGGGATACGACCTGAAAAGAAGCTACATTTTTACAGATATGAGTAGATGTAACTAATTCCATGTACGCTAGGTTTGGATATTCGACAGAGATGCTTCTCAACCCAACAAAGGAAACCTCGGAATTTACTCAAGCTTTCGATCATGCCCTCTACGTCTCTGCGAGCCGCGCGAGGCTAGGATGGATATCCTACCTCATCCCAGACAAGAAGCTCGATCACTCAGTTCGCACATGTCAAAGATTTATCGACAGGTATGTGGCCAAAGCCTCGGCCGACGAGAAGCTCAAGGAACGGCCATATCTCTTTCTTCACGAACTCCTGCAGTCTGGGGCGTCAATGGAACACATTCGCGATCAGCTGCTTGCGATTATCATCGGGGGGAGAGACACTAGCGCCAGCACGCTCAGTGCATTGTTCTGGACTCTGGCGCGGCGACCGGATATCGTGAAGAAGATCCAGGACGAGATCGCCGATTTGGATGGACAGAAGCCGACATGGGAAGACCTCAAAAGTTTCAGATACGTCAACATGGCCTTGAAAGAGAGTATGCATTTTAACCGAGCCCCTTTAGGCTCTGTTTGTCTTGATCGGTTACGCCTTACTAATTTCTTCTAGCCTTGAGACTCTGGGCCCCGGTAGTCACGAATATGCGATGCGCAGCCAAAGATACAGTCCTTCCCAAGGGCGGCGGTGCCGATGGCCAGTCGCCTCTGTTTGTCCCCAAAGGAACGGCCGTTCGATGGAGTCTGCATAGTCTACATCGGCGCAAAGACATTTTTGGCGAAGATGCGCATGAGTTCCGACCCGAAAGATGGGAAACACTGAGGACTTCGTGAGTCGATCAATTTGCCACAGTATTGGAGTAGCGATTCTCGCTTGCTAACGTCCTACTTAGATGGGAGTATCTTCCATTTAGTGGTGGACCTAGGACATGCATAGGACAGCAGTTTGCCCTAACCCAGATGGCATACGTGGTCGTGAGGGTCTTTCAAACTTTTGAAACTGTAGAACCGAAGGACGAGCGTCCTATGTTGCATACCCTGAGCACCACAACTAGCCTTTTGAACGGCTGCCATGTGAAATTCGAGGCTTGCTAGGTCTCACAGGTAGATAATGGTCGATTGTTCAACAATACAAAGTATTCATACATCAAGGCTTCGCTTCTCTTGGTAAATCTCGAACGGGGCAGGTTAGGCGGAATTCCCAGGAACCTTTGGCTGACGAATGCCCAGACTAGAACATATTCGTGAGTGTTAACAATTAAATCTGAGACCTATTTGCTTTCGGTGGCCGCTTAACATTGCCATGAGAGTCGTTGCACAATGCGGCTAGTAGCACAAGACACGGCGCCATGGCCTCTGCTCATTCCGAGAAAAGTGAGGATGCACTGAGATTGAATCACCAGCACGAGAGAAACTCAAAGCTCCCTCCGTCGGGAGGTGCCCTAAGCCTTCGGCGGATCTTTTGTGACTTGAGAGCCGTCTGAGGTCGATCTAAGGCAACACACAGAGCCTTGAGCCTAGTTCTGTGATTCGCCCTCGTCTCATATCCCGACAACTGCATCATCACTAAATAACACTATGCTCTCACATCTTAACGATTGCATGCCTCGAAGCTAGGCTCTCCAGCACAACCTCACCGACCACATCTCTGCATCCAACATCCAATAGTTCAACTACTGTCCACTCCTTGGCAAAGCCTCTGAAGTCAAGCGAGATCTCTCACGCATTTCCCACCATAAGAAAGCTACAAGAAAAAAAGAAGAAGAAAACCAGCATATCTTAGCGCAGCGGCAACCAATCCACAGTCATTATTACCAGATCGCCTATCCTTATTCATCGGTGTCTTCTTTATATCTACTTACCTTCACAATGGCTTCTGGGTATCCTAGCTCCGAAGAGCAGGCCGGATCCTACTTGCCGGATGCATTCGAGCCCGTCGAAAAGCATGACATGACACCTCTCGAGGCCGGCATCATTGCGGGAACAGTCGTCGCATTCACAGTCCTTCTATTCCTCATCTTCTACTGCCGACACATGGAGCAACGCCGCCGCGCCCAGCGTGGCAGACACGACCATCACGAGCAAGCCAATGAAGACCAAGCAAACGCGGAGCACGAGATGCAGATTCTAGGCACAGACGGCAACAAGCACAGCGAGGCGGAGCCGCTTGGGAAGTCCTCCTGGTCGCTTCTTCGCCTCATCAAGAACCAGTAACCCTGGCCAGGCAAGACGAAACGAATCGAAACGTCGGCAGGTCATGCGTACAGCAACTGCGTCATCGAGCGGATCACAATACTACGAAGAGGCCATGTTGCGCTGGGTCCAATGCTAGGAACTGGGGTTTGGATGACGACCTAGGTAGATATGTTAGGTTGTTCGCCACGAGTATGTGCGCGCCGTACTGATCTCTACTCACCTTATTATTAGCTGAATTATTGTTTTGATCTCACCAGGATTGCAGAGGCAGGGACATGATTATTCTTTGCGCCTCCAGCCGTGAAGGGAACAATATTATAGCACGGACAATCTTATCAGGGGATTGCGACATATGAGCAAAGAGGAGCGAGGTAGCATTAGCAACGAGGAATCGCGCAGAACGAATTGAATCATTATACACGATCACCCGTAGTCGTTTCTCCCAGATCTGAATGCTTGTCAATATTTGCTTGCCATTCGTCGTGAATGTTTTACCCACAGCGAACTTTTGAGTTCACCAGGAGCTCACCAGCAAAGGTGCTCATCACGTGACTTGGCGACCTCGCAAAGTACCCGTGCAGCTGCTCGCACTGCAAACGCGCATGGTCAAGTGCGTGCTGGGCCGCCAACCTCCCACCTCTGTTTTCGCTGTTGCATCCCACCTGCTTCTCGAAAGTGTGTCTTGGGTAGGCAATTCTGCGCCGCCGTCATGGCTTCCCGGTCTCGATCTCGGTCTCGATCCCAATCTCCCCCACGGGGCCGTCGCCGCTCGTGGTCGCGTTCTCCAACACCCCGATCTGCTGATTCTCGATCCCCCGACAGACGTCGCCGTTTTGATTCTCGGTCGCCTTCGAGGCTGGGCAGCCGCACCCCGCCCCCTTCTCGACGCAATGGCAGACACAGAAGCGACAGCCGCAGCTGGAGTCGAGGCCGTGGAAGGAGCAACAGCAGGGATAGCGAGGGCCCTCTGGCCAAAAGCACCAAGGTCCGTGTATCTCGTCTCACGGCATAGAATCATCTCGCACAAATCTCTAACTGACTGCCGGAAAACAGATCGTTGTAGAGAGACTCTCCAAGAACATCAACGAGAACCACTTGCACGAAATCTTCGGAGAGTTCGGTCCGATCAAAGACCTCGACCTCCCCATCAACAGGACTTGTAAGCAGATACGCTCCTTTATGCAATGGCGATTCGATCCATTGCCGATCGTCGGTGCTTTGCTGACCCGTCCCCCACATACAGTCGGAACCAATCGAGGCACAGCCTACATTCTCTATGATTACGAAGGTGATGCGGAAGCCGCGATTGCTCATATGCATGAGGCTCAAGTAGACGGTGCTACCATTAACGTGTCCATTGTCTTACCACGAAGGAAGCTATCCCCGGCGCCTCCAATGGCGAGACGTGGTGCAAATATTGACCCGCGGGTTCCATTTGGCGTTGGACGTGGAGGAGGCGTTACTGCAGGAAGTGGCGGAGGACGACGGCGTCACTCCCCACCGGCGGGCCGATATAATCACAGATCAGATGTTTACCGGCCATCATCACGCTCACCTTCAAAGTCGCAGATGGGAAGGCCTGGATCTTCCAGGGGTGGAGGCAGCCGGTATCGCAGCCGCTCCCGAAACTCTTTCTCTTCTAGGTCGAGGTCCCGGTCACCCATGTCCAGACGACGGGGCCGCCACGATGTGGGTGAGAGCAGGCGTCGAAGTCGGAGCCCTAGCTACACTGGCTTTAGTGACCGGAGCCGATCCGCGAGCCGCTCTCGAGTTCGCTAAAAACCTCGTTATCCCCGGATAATATGAGCTAATGACTTGCGATACTTGTTGCTTTTAAAATTACCTTGCAGGCGTCTAGGGGGATAAGGCCACATCGGGAACATCGAGAAGCTAGTGAAATTATGAACAATAACTAATAGCCTTACATACCTAATCGTGGGGACCTCATTCGTGGCCAGTGCTTCAACCAGGGTCAGCAACGTCGTGGGACTTCACGACTCATGACCTCCATGCCCACCCTGACCACCATGACAGCCGTGGGAGCCATTTCTACACGCTGAACTGTGGCACCCATTGAAACGTGATTGACCGTGCAGGAGGGGTGCTAGCAAAGTGCCGTGACTCGTGAGCGGGCAATCCTGCGCGCCAGCTACGGTCATCTGCCACCGAGCACGCCCCGTACCAATACCTATCACAGTGACGAGCCACCGAGCAGGGGGCCCCTCCCTCATTACCCAAGGGGGCGAGACGGTGCGAGGTACATAATCAATCATGAGGTGAGGGTCCCATCTATCCTAATCTACCTACAGTACATTGAGTGAGGCTTGAGGGACTTGCTGAGGGCAGCCCTTTCCCTTTCTTCGGGGCATATTCGCCATCCAGGCCCACTCGCAATAGGCTACCTGCTTGTCTCGAGAGCGAGATCTCAGACGCTGCCCTTGCGGGTTCACAACAGATCTCGTGCGGGCCGCAAAGCGGCCTGGCCATACAACCACACTACCGTACCGTGATCCCGCGCTTACTGCTCCCGTGGCCATGTGAAATTCCCCAATCCTATCACATCCTAACCAGAAGCACCTTGGTGGTCCTTTGATGTTTGACCTGGCGATGATGATGCTTAGTGCCACTCCCTCCATCCGCCGTGCAGAGCCCTCCCCGAGGCTACGGCTCGGTCCTGCCGGCCATGCCCCTTCCTTTCAGCCTAAGTTTGGTTACTCTGTTTGAGAAAGGTATGGCAATAGATAGCTGTGCCCTACCCTGCCTATCCTCTTTCAACTTAATCCATCCCAACATTACGCCAGCTGCGTCGTAAGGTCCAACCAACATTTGTCACAACTGCCGATAGCCATGAGCCTTTGGATGACCCTGATCCTCTGACGCCCGTAGGAGCTTCTCCTTTATTGGGAACTTACCGAGCATTACGCCTCTGGCCTCCTCCGCCTTCTCCTCCTCGTCTTCCACAGTCTCACGTTAGACACCTGCCGGCACGACCGTCAACCCACAAGCAATCCGGCGAGCTGCTCCAGCCAAGCCGGCCTAGTATTATTACTGTTGACACTAATCACGATATGACCCGCCCGCTTGCCCCATTGCCATCATCGGTTTAGTCCCTTAATAACACCATCCTGGAGGCTGGATGCAGAACGTAGACCGAGTGGGCTAACAAGGCCCTCCCCTCCGCCATTATAGGGCTGCATATATGTCACACGCCCAAGCTGGTCCCCCGGCCATGCCTGCATCCCATTTGAGTGCCATCGTTCGACACCTACAACCAGCTCTCCCAAACATAGCCTGTCTGAAAGTGGCAGCCTGCTCTATTCCTTCGGACCCCGCGTGCCAACCGATCCTATATATCAACTCAGGTGGGCTGGTTTCGGCCGACAGGGGGCGCCGAGAGGCGATTACGGGATTCCAGGGGGACCGCCATATCAAAGTTCCCCGGCTTTTCAATGTATATGTCCCACAGCAACGGGACGGGACTAACCTGGTGTTGGGAAGGGCTTCACAGTAGACCTAGCACCAAAAGTATAAGACACCAGACAGCCTCACCATCGCAACTCCCATTCTACTTCTGCTATACTCGGGCATCTAGACAGGAGCATCTCCGCTCACCTCTTCAGGCACTTCTCACTGAACCTGAAGGCCCCGAGCCCCTCGTTTTGCGTTTGCCCCTTTAAAAAAAATTAATAAATTAAAATACCCAACTCCTTTGATCTTTATTATAAATGAGAGACGCCATTATGCCTCCCCAAGATGGCCCTAGACCTCTGCCTTCTCCCCCAGGCCCTCGTCCACCACCAAACCCGCCCGGACCGGCCCCTCCTCCGAGCCCTCCTCACTCATACTCGGCCGACAATCTTACATGAGGGATCAACCCGACATTTCAACCTTGTAAGTCTTACTCGAACACGGACCAGAAATGTCACCCTTTTTTTTCTCTAACCAATAATTTCCAAGGCCTACCAGCACCCATCATCTGACTGCATGCCGGGTGCCCGCATACAGCACCAAGCGGGGGCACGGGGACTGTTTCTTTATCTTGAATTCGTTTGATAGATCACACCTGGAGGGACAATGGACGCAGTTCCCCGTCAGGTTATCGTCTCATTTTGTCATCCCAATACGGCATCCTGCAGATCTGGGGGGGAGTAGGGGGAGAAAGGCGGATACGGCGTTTTTGTTTGTTCACTACACGGAGTTGGATCATATCATATCATCTGGCAACAGTAAGGCCTAATCTATGCCCGGTCACGAGCTCCGCACTGCGCCTCGTCTCAGCTTGTTTCTTTTGCTTTCTATCCTGTCCCTATCCGTAACTCACATGACCGTCCGCCAGCGCAAGCCTCCCGCTTAGTTGTAATATGGCCCCAACCGGTGCCATTATGTTGTGCAAGTCCCTTTTTTCTCATTGCCTCTCTACAGTTACCAGCTCGCCCGGCGTTGCCGTCAAGGGGATGAAGCAGGGGATGAAGCTTCGTCTGCTTTGCCCAGCGACTTCTGCGGGCTTTCGCTACCTGTTGCCTCTGATCATATCTTCTTCCTTCGACGCTGGGTATGTTTACTGACTTTCTATACTGGATTCCGTTTCTTGCCTCAGGATTGCCCTCCGTTCACGTGGGATAATTCAATCAACTAAACAAGCAGCATCAAAATCCCTCTCTGTGCTTGGCCAGCTCTCTCCACAGGCCCAAGGTCTAGACCGCCGCTCCATCAGGCCTTTTTTCAAACCCGTTCTATTTGCTCCCTATTATCCCCCCCAGGCTTCCAATTTGACAAAAAGGTAAGAAGAAACGAGATATGCATTCAACACTCAATGAAGGAAGAAGTCTAGTAAACTTGAACTTGGCACCCATGCCTCTTGCCAGCCCCAACTTCCTTAACGAGAAACTCTACTCCATTTCAAAGCAAGGATTTCCCTCCACAACGTAGTGTTTCCTGAATCGAGAATACAGAGCGTTGGCTTACTTTTTACGTACGCCCGTTGGGCCCTTTTTCTATGGTCCTCCCGTTTCAACTGGTGTGGAGTTTCTCTTGGCGGGGTTCTTTTAATCTGGCAAATCTGGTTCACCGGTTTAAGTTATTAAGAAATGGCACCAGTTGGAGTAAGGGAACGAGGGTAAATTCTATGCCCTGCCGATTCTCACAACCCACGAGAGCACGGTAGCAGGGGTGCATCCATCGTGGGGCTCGATCGCCTTTGACACTCGTCTGAAACGGCGTTCGTTGCCCGTCATGCCGTCAGCTAAATTTCCGGGGAATAGTGGCTATCAGGGCCGCGAGTAACGGGGACGCGGCAACTTCAGAGCTGTTGAGATATTAATTTAAAGAGAAAACCAGCAGTCTACTAAACCCTCGTCGTGGCGTTGTTGAGTGTGAGCCCCAGAGGGCCCTTGCAATCGTTCGTTCGTCTCTGCCGGGTTGTTGGTTCCGGACTAATGCACATCTGAAAGCAGTTGCATGACAGTGTGGGTATCGCTGCGGGATGGGCGCTTTTTTCCCGGCTCTTTCGATCGTCGAGGCCAGTTGTTGAGGTTGCCTTTCTGCAACGCGGGTCTCTCTCTGGTCACGACCCACTGTTGTAACCTGGAGAGGGCTGGCCCTTGGCCGCAGATGATATGACAGCTCGTCGAACGGGTAGATGTCCATTTCTGGTCTTTGAACCCCTCGGGACCGTCTGCCGAGTTTCGTTATAGAGCCAAGACAATAATATTGGACCGGATTCGCTTTCAGCACCATAAATGGCTAGGGGGTCGAGTGATTGTCGGTAACTTGTATCGGACCACTTATCAGACGGAAGGTTCCGTGATTTGATATCCTCTTTCAGAGATTAACCAAACAGAGGCTCCATTGTGAGTGGTTAAAAGAGCGGACGTCTACGTGTTGCGTTCCTGTCCCCAGCGCTCTTAGTCACCTGTTTGGGCTATGGTCGGAGGTTTTGCGAGAGCTCGGCTGACAAGGCACCCGGAAGGAGCGAAGCTGCAGAACAGGACCAGCTGCATCCTTGCTCTCCATTCCTAATGCGTTATTAACTGATGTATAATTGGGTGTTCCCTGATGTATAGCTCAGTGGAGCAGTGAACTGTTACTGTTGCTACCTACCTGTCAGTATCAAGTAGGAAACTTTGTCTGAATTGGCTATAACTAATGCACGTGAACAGAATAGGGACGATTGTTGTTGAGACGAAACACGCCATGATGTTTCTGGGTGCTTACCTTCAGTCAAATTGGTACTTCACGTTCATATTTCCGCATACATCCCTCTAAGGTTTGACGGACATCATGTCAGTCGGGGACTTTTGGCTACCATTTCCACAATCGGTGGGCCAAGGCATACAGGGCACTAAGGCCTGGCCATAATGCGAGGAGATGACGAATAAACGCAGGATGGTAAAGGCTGTCCAGAGCCGCGTATAGAGCCGCCAGTTAATGACTTCAGTATGTTTATCTAACAGTGCGAATGCGATCGACAACGAGCCCAGAGAGATCCATGTATACGATTCTTAGGTCAAAAGCCTCACAAAGAAGAGCACTCCTTCAGATTGAGTATCTGGAGATAATCCGTACAGTGATCAGTCAGCCTGGGTCTAAGTGAACCATGCAATGTAGCCCACATTGCGATAGACATGGGCAACCAGTCCCCCTGTCTTTAGCTTTAGCCTTTCCAAATTGCCTATATTCAGACATTGGTGATTGGGTGCATACCTGGCCAACGCGCGGGTAGCTCTACAATATGTACATGGATGATGTAAAAGAAATCTTATCACCAGGCTCTTGTTGAGATCGGTGACTCTCATATGAACGATCTGCGTCGTCAACTTCCAACCCTGGCCAATAAGGGTGCATTTAGCGAGCCTAGCTGATGAGAGCTTGTTTTACATGCGTCGTGCTAGGCAATTACACGCCACCACCCTTGTGCCTCAGACGTCTGGTTGATATTGCACCCTGACACACCCACATGCACGCGCGTGGACGCATGCATGCGCCGCCATGGGTGTTCTAGCCAAGCTTTCACTGGTAAGAAAGTGTCCCATGACTCTGAGCATTCCTTTCAGCTCTTCCGGGGACAGGCAGATGCCTACAGTTTCGGAAACACATAGAATCGAGGGATTGCGCTGCAAGTCTCGGTTGTTGCTCCAATGTGACCTCTTGGCGAAGCAAGATGGCACCTCTGGCGATCGAGGAGGTTACGGGAACGACATGATCGGGCCTATTGATTTAGCTTCGGTGTAATGGTAAGGAGAATTCTATAGACAGAGCCTCCAATTACTCATATTTGCCCTTGGGTCCATCAGGTCCGAGTGTTCTTTTGTCGTACGAGTCTTCTCAGGTCGCATCTCTCGCTACTGGGTCACACAGCCTGCATGTCGCTCTATAAGAATGTGAGCTGGCAGTCACCGCAAACTTCGACATGGATCGTGCATGTGCATGCTTTATCCTATGCCGCCTTTGCCAGCCATGCGGCGGCGGGCTGCGGGCTGAGGAGAGAAATGCAGGTAGACTCCCTTCCATCCGTCAACTGGGCGCCGGCTGATTTTGCACGTCTGGGACACCTTTTTTGCTGCTAAACAGTTCTGTGTTCATATTGTACTCCGGAGGCGTATGTCGCCTGGGCATATATCACGAGGGTCTTCAGGCTTGGAGCCGGTCGGTGTTATAAATAGTGTCTCGACAAAATCGATATTCAACAGAGGCCTGTAGTCTCAGATCCATGATGGGTCCGTTCGTTCCGAAAGCGGACCATTCTGGTTCTCCAAATCAAATCAGCAAGAAATCTTGATTTCTCGCGGCACCCCTAGAGGTTTGAAACTCAGGCTTGCTCATAAATCCCCTTCGCTATTCACACACAACACACAACACACAACACACAAGAATCTGTTGTCGCCCGTGGTTCTCACTTGCATGTGATTCGTTCGCTCGCCAGTAGGTCCCTGTCCTTATCACGAGAGTTCTAGGTCGATGAGATGTGCAATATCCATGCACACTGTCAATGTTGTATCGCGCTGAACAGTAGCAGGTCAGCTTACCTTATCTGGTACAGGTGACTCTACACCGTGTGGATGAAATTGAAACCGATTGGGCACCATAATGTGATTCCACACGGATGGTGGGAGATCACCTCTGCACCACGGCAGCTGAAGATCTTGTATTCTCCGCCAACTACCTATAAATGCGGATGGGTGTCGGAATCCCCGTCCTCGCTCTGCCAACGACACACACAACACAATCGGCACGAGGTTCGTGTAAAAGACCGGACATTCGCTGAAACTATGGTAGCGTCAGGTTTGACAATATGACCCAATAGCCGGCTCCTTATCATCACTGTCATTATTAATGGCCATGACGTGGCAGCGACGGCTGCTGGTAGAGAGGAGTCCCCCGGCTAGTGAATCGATGTCAGCTGAAACATACGAGAAGTCTGAAAAGGCGGGATTCCTGCTAAGATGCAGGAACACCGAGATGTAATGGCCAAGCACGTCCTCGGGGTCTTTTTCCTTTTGTGTAGAGCCCCATCCACGGCTGATTTGAGATAATGAAAATTTCGGGAGTAAGACTTCTCAACTGCAAGGATTAAGATAATCACGAAAGGGCCAGATAGCTCCGGTGTCTCGTTCATAAACAGGCGAAGCTCTCCATCAAGACTCTCCAAGACGAAGCAAAGTACAGAATAGGGTAGCACGTTGAGAGCAACCAAAGACCAAGGCGGACGGATTGGACTGGCCAAGCATACAATTGGGACAAAGAAGGAACCAGGACCAGCAGCTTCTTTCCCAACAGGCTACGGCGCATCCACAAAGGGAAAGAGCAACGGAGTGTAGCCCGGCAACCAAGCCCAAAACGGTAAGCTCCTGGCCTTTTTATATCAAACTTGCTCCAGTCGCAAAGGATCCTCCATGGATGGTTGTCCATATATGCATGGCTCATGCCATGCTTCCCGCGGAGATTATATGTTGCTTTTTACATAACTGGGCATTGAGGTATTGCAAGTGGATAGGGACGTACCTAGCTAGGTACGGTAGTGGCCAAGAGATACGTACCACAACCCAGGCGATAACGGGTAGTGCCTCGCCTGGACCCCTTGTTCCTGCAGGGACCCATGCCTCTATAGTTGCCTGCCCAGCGCCTCCTCCGTAATCCAATATCTAGTATGGATGCCGCTTTAAGCCAGCCAGAACGGGAGCAGTAGAGGTACTTGCGTGCTTGTGTCACTCAGCTCTGTAATACTTCGCCTACCTCTACCTCTACACATTTGGAATCTCGGCTCGTCTACCCCATCCAGACACACTTCAGAGGCGGAACCTACTCTCCAAGCTGACGTCGTGACAGCAGGTCAAGCGATTGGCCCTTCCCTCTCTCCTTCCTCTCGCGCTCACTTACAGCTCTCAGCCTCCAGCCTCGATGCAGACACCGAACTGACCTAGCCAATTCCACATCCCGCCACAAAGGTTCCCCGCCCAAGCTCTTGGCCTGCCGTTACGAGATGGTGTCCCAGGCTCAGGCGCACAGTGCGCAGATTCCCAGATATCAGCCCGTGCTGCCGAGCATGTGGGTAGCAATGAATCGAGACGGGCCAGCCGCTTGCGGACTATCAGCACCGGTCAGTCTGTATCTACCGACCAGCCGCTAGCAGGGGCATCCTTCACGTTGCCGCCACCACAGAGAAGCCAAGGAACAAGGAGGGAATCTTAACAAAGCACCCTGGGCTCTGTGCCCCTCCCTCCACGAGTTTGTCTATGTACTCCACCAATTCCAACTCCTCCCATGTCTGAACGTCTGGTGGCAGAACCCAAGGTCGCAGACTTTCTTCATTCTCAGACTTCTCAGCCAAAGCCTTTAACTCTGGCTTTTTGCCAGCACTTGGACAGCAGGCTCGAGAGATTTCCATTCGCCTCATACGTCTCACCTCAAATTACTCATCTTCATCTTTTCTACTCTGAATCCCATTCAATTATTAGTTTAATCAGTCACCGAACCCCTGTGGCGGCTTCCTTGTCCTCCCAGCAACAAAGGATCACCGGCCTTAGATAATTGCTTATCCACCATATTCTCTCCATTATGGAACAAGAATATTACAACAATCAAGGCACCTCTCAAGGGCGGCCAATTGTTCCGTTTCCTTCCGCGGCAACCTCGATCAACGCAACACCGCTGCCACCAGGTACTCCGAATACTGATCGGAGCCGTCGTGACCCATTTGGTGAGGGTGCCGATGCATCCTCTTCCCATCAGCGCCATGCTAGTAGCAATGGACCCGCGAATCCATTCTCAACGCCAGGGATTTCACGCCCGGCCTCAAGCTATGGCTCCTCCAGTCTCCAAGGCTACCGGAGTGACGAAAAAGGACAGCGGTTCTTCCACTCAAGAAGGGTACAAAAGGGAGAGGTCGAGAAGCCTTGGTTGGGTGAGAAGAATCCAAAGGAGAAATGGGTTACCATCTTCCCATTAATTGGCATCCTCGTTGGCTTGGGTATCTCAGGCTTTTTAGTTTGGGATGGGCTCCGAAGCGTCGTGCATCACAGTTACTGCCCTGTCATGGACGAAGACTTTAGCGGTGGCCTTGATTCTAATATATGGACCAAAGAGATTGAGCTTGGCGGCTTCGGGTATGTCATTATATCAATCTCTCTGGGAGATTGCCCACACTAGTTGATGATGATACTAACAGTCTGTTCCTCTAGTAACGGTGAGTTTGGTATGACGACTGGCGGAGATGAGAATGTTTTTATTGAAAACGGCCATCTTGTCATCAAAGCAACCCTTCAGGATGCTGAGAAGATCGAAAAGGACACAGTGATGAACTTGCTTGATGACGGCACCTGCACATCGGACAAGTGGATTAATTGCGTCGCTGCGACAAATACCACGGCAGGGAACTCTAGCATAGTCCCGCCTACGAAGACCGGTAGAATCAACACCAAGAAGGGAGCATCAATCAAGTATGGCCGTGTGGAAGTTACTGCTAAACTTCCCAAGGGCGACTGGCTCTGGCCTGCCATCTGGATGATGCCTGTCAAAGACACATACGGCGTCTGGCCAGCCTCGGGTGAGATTGATATTCTTGAATCCAGGGGGAACAACTGGACGTATGCCCAAGGTGGAGATAACATCATGTCCTCGGCACTTCACTGGGGCCCGGATGCAGCCAATGATGCTTGGTGGAAGACGAACAACAAGAATCAGGCCCTGCACACAGCCTTCAGCTCCGGTTACAACACATTTGGCCTTGAATGGTCACAGAAGTACCTCTTCACTTATGTCAACTCTCGCCTTATGCAAGTCATGTATGTCAACTTCAACAAACCAATGTGGGACCGCCAGGCTTTCTCAGAAACCACGACGAATGGTTCCAGAATCATCGATACCTGGAGCCAGACTGGTAACAAAAATACCCCCTTCGACCAGAAGTTTTATCTCATCCTCAACCTGGCTGTTGGCGGTACCAATGGGTGGTTTGAGGATGGAAAATCAGGTAAACCTTGGCTTGACCAGTCTCCAAATGCCAAAAAGGACTTTTGGAATGCCCGGGAAACCTGGATGTCCACTTGGGAGCGGCCACAAATGGAAATTAAGCGGGTTGTCATGATGCAGCAGTGCGACGGCAACGAGGAGCTTTAGGCAAGCTCGATTGGATCATCTACTTTATCTCTGCAGCTTGGCACGTCGAATTCCTACAATTCGTAGTACGCTGCTAGATGATATTTAGACATGGGGCGGTAATTGTTTCATTCACGACTAAAGATTTTGATTGGGATGGCGTTGAATCTTTTTGGGCGATTATTGAGCTGGGTATTGGTATCTTGGTTACACGAATGAACAGCCACTTGGTAGGATGAATACTGAATAATGACTAGGTAGCTATATAACGCATGCGGAAAGGGAAAATAATTCTATTCGATCGAAACATTCTCTTTTCTTGACTTTGACTTGTGCAGTATCAGCACAGAGTGGAAAAGGATCCAAGGGAAAAGAGGGATCCAGCGCATCAGGCTACTGCAGTCAGACTGCAGGGTTTTCTTTCATGCAGATAACAATGCTTTGAGGGAAAGAAGCTTCCAGTATCAGGCAGGAAGCCTCATGGTTCTCATTGGGCTCGCAATCGGCGTTATCTATCGAATGTCTCAGATTTCCGGGATCATTTCCTACCTGGGAATAAGGTTCTCACTCCTTGATATCGTCAAGTCAAGCTGACGATGAATCGATATCAGCTGCATTTGAGTGTCTCCCATATCACAAAATGTCGTGTCATAATTACAAGGATGGTTGGGGATCTATTACAACATCAAGCAGATATCATATTGCGTGATAGGTTACACGATCTTGGGTAGGCGAGACACTCAACAAAGTCCACACCCGTTGGGGAGCTCTTGACAGGAAGTTTCCTCCTCCCTTTGCGAGATGAGGCCAATGGTTGGTTGCAGATCTCTGCCTGACATGATAAGGCTGCAGGGCCATGCGGTGTTCCGTCGGAGCCGAAGTGGAACAGATTCTGAGTTGTCCGTGTCCGGTTTATATCAGTGCACATTTTCTCCAAATGAGGAAGAATAAGTCTCTCCAAGCAGTGGCAGGATATGGCAGGGATTGTCAATTGTACGAAGGGTGAAGCTTGCGACGAGTTGACAACTCATCAAGCAAACGTAATCCACCGGAAGAACTTAGCACCAACATTCAACACCAACCCAACCCCTTTGGTTTTTTTTTTAGATTGTTAGCCCTTTCATGTGAGTATACGAACCGCGGAAGCACGCGTGCAGGTATTAACGGCCGCATCGTATTACAATGGGGGAGAAGACGGAGCAAACGCAACGCTGCAGCGCACAACGTCCCCGCCCATCGCCAGTCAATGTAACAGCGGACTAGGCGGTGCTGCAGCCAGAACCAGGACAGGGGTCTGAATCGAGTGGTTGGCGAGCATGCACGTCTCGTCCTTCAGTCGAGCAATACGAGGAGCCAAGCCTATCCAAAGCGGCCTCATACATGGCCAGACAGGTTGCTGCATGTAGGTGTCGTGGTGGTGAGGTGGCTGCGGAGCTTGTCGCCCTCGCGCCCTCAGCTGCGGCCAATATACGACGCAATCTTTGTCCTATTGTGCAGTAGCATGAGCAATATTGATCCTCGTACGACACTCCGTGGGCTGGACTGCAGTCGGAGGTGACAGAGTTGCGATCACCGAGCCCCTGTCGGGTATCTCGTCGCCTCGAGCACAGGAGTGTTTGATCTGAAGCACGCTTGTGTGCTCTAACTTCACTCCCCGGCGATAGGCAATTGAAGTTAGACAAGATAACAGAATATCATTTTACCCTGCTCGCTTGCGGAGACGCTGCTCCATTTCGGTCGCTAGGGAAAAGGCAAAATGATTTAATCTTCAGGATCTGAGGCCTCCTCGGATGGGTTGTCTCCACTATTACGGGCCATAACCTCGACGCAAAGCTCCATCGAGATGAAGGACAAAAAGAGACGTAGCCGCACACGGGACTGCCCTCGACATGGGCGAAGAATAAAAAAAGAAATTTCGCGTAAGATTCCTTGTTGGTCAACTCGACAGGCTTTTTCCATAGGTACGGTATGCAGCTGGAAGTATGTATGTACACACAATGTACGCGGGTGGAGAGCATGCATCTGGCGAGCTGCCAATGTAGGAGTGGCGTGAACAGCGGGGCTCATCAGCGCCTGGAGGTGCTGTAGGTGCTGTAGGTATGCTCTGCACGACGCTGAAGGTGACACTGACACTGGCACTGAGCCTCCACTGCCAGCCGTGCGTCTGGCGTTGCGCTAGACGGCCTGCAGATGGCGCTAGAACATTGGGCCAGGGAGCCCAGTGGTGAGGCTTGCCGCTTTTTCGGTTCTTTTGGCAGCGTACCCACAAAACCCCTCGTCGGAAGCCGGGCCCTTTTTCCACCAATCTCGCTGGCGGGGCCGGTGGCTTGCCATTTGTCCTTAGTTCCCGGCTGCCACAGGAGGCTAGCACTCGCCGTTGGCTCCTTCCCTCCCAGCCCATCCGCCCAACTTGTTGCGGAAGGCACGAGCCAGACAACCTCAGCCACTGAAGCCCGTACATGCCGCCCTGGTCGTAGCACGGCCAGGCTAAATGGATGTCTGGAATTGACGAGGCAGGCGCCTGCACTTGGGCCCGGGAGGAATGAACTTGGTCCAAGCACCAGCGCCATCGCTTGGTTCATCTCAGATAAACTACCTCCTCCATGTCCGCCGGTCAACGAAGGATTGACGGATCGATTGGAAAATCTGATGGTCCCTGCCTGTTCTGTCTAGGACACCATCTTTGAAATCGCCTGCAGACAAATTTCGCCCGGCTGCAACCTCTACCCAGCGATCGATGATAAGACACCCAGGACATCTCGACTCGACTCGCCACCCCCGAAGCCCTCGCTGTGGCTGGCCACGGCGCTTCGGCAGATTCGGATCCAGTCAATCCCAAGTATCGTGTAGCATCCATAAGAGTTTTCACCGTCTGGCCGTTCAGCCCTCGCCCGTCAGCCAGCATGGCCAAGAAAGGAGGCGGTCCAGCCGCACTGATATATATGCAATACGAGCCGCTCCCTCATGTATCGCAACGTATCATTGCATTCAAAATGACGAGATAACAATATCCCGACACACCTGAACTTCACTTTGGACATGGCCTACGGGCAATAATACAAGGTTATCACGCCGAGCAACGCGGTTGCCACCCCTCAGCGGTAAGCTGTTTTGCTCCGTGTGCACAGTGCCTGAGAGATGTCTCCCACTGCGAGCCTATCGGTTGGATTCAATTCGATGGCCCAACGTCCAGCACAAGAAAACGTGGACAGAAAACGAAGCTTCCGCTATTACCACCCCTCCACCTTCCCAGTTGATATCCTGGTCAGGTCCACAGAGACCGGGCATCTTATTCTGGGCTTAGGTGGCTGGCTGAGTTGTGATCGATTGAGTCTATCAATATCCTCAGCCGTATGGTGTTGATATTTTTCTGTGTTTGGGTTCACCCTGATATCCGGTGCCACAACTGCGCTTCCCTCAACTCGCTGCAACGCTGAGATTTTTTTTTTTTTTTTTTTTTTTTGGAGGGGATGCTCTCCTTGCCAAGGATGCATGTAGGGTTGGCTTGAGTTCTCGAACACAAGCTGCCCTGTTGCATTGCCGCTTTCTTCCAGATACCTTTGGTCGCCCCACCCCTATCCTTGCTGTTTCCTGGCTCTGCAAGTCCGGGGTCAGGGTAGCCTAATGTATCAAGCGGGTGTGTCACTGCCTTCTGTCGTACCGCCGTCCCAGATTCCTTAATACCAACTGTAGTACTCTCATATCCACCTCATACATACCCTTGCCCAGAGATCTCTCTTTCTTCTGTTGCCAGTAAACTTTATCGTTCGTTTCACTCTCCAAGTTCACTGGATACCTTTCATTCGTTGTTCTCTAATCGCTTGAATTATTGCTGACACGACTTGACGGCATTGAGGGTCAACCAGGCTAGTTGCGCGGTCCTCGGGGCTGCACGTCCGCCTCAGACTGTCAAGCCGCTTGTTCAGCCCAGCGTCGTTTCAAGTGATTGCCCTGCCTGACCAAATCCATACCTCCAGTTAGCTGGTATGCGATATATACCACGACAATCACAAGATTCCTCTCTCTCCTAGTCTCAGCAACTGACTTCTTGTTGCACTCCTTCACTCTGTAGTCTTCCTACTTCAGAGCAATCCATTCCCCAAGTTTCCTTCAGTCATTGTCGGATATAGAGCTCTTGGAACATCACTGCAGCGCACCGAGACATCCAGTCAACTGGGAAGCATCATGGGTCTGGGCAGTTACTTCAAGGCTAGCAAGCCCGAGGAGGCCCCTCCATCGAGCGATCCTCCAAGGCCGCAGAGGAAGCAACAGCCGTTGATGTCTGAGAAACTACCGGCGCCCGCGATTCCCGCTGGCACCGAGATGGATCTCCAACCACCCACCCCAAGGCTTCAATCTCGTCCACACTCTCTCTCGGCTCAGTCAGTTCGCTCTGGTAGAAGCTCAGTGTTCATGGACGATATCAAGCACGAGGTCATGGTTAACTACCTCTATCAACAGCAATGTTCACAGCTCTGGGTGAGTGACGGCTCCGGTGAGATTGAGGGCGTTCTTTTACGAAAGACAAGAGGCCATTACATGGCATGTCCTCCGCAGCTGGCAGGAACTCCATTCGCCATGGCCTGCGCTGCCCTTAACGTTCAGGTGAGTCGGTTGCATAGTTCCTTCAATGTCTCATTCCACGAACTGACCCCAAGCTTTAGTGCGCCATGACAGTGAACTCTCGTGTCATCAGAACGTTTCTACAATTCTCTCCCGAGGCTGTAGATGTCCCTTTGATGAACGGCTTGCGAGTCCAAATCCTTCCCACCATTGAAGATCTTGTCCGTGCTAGAAAGCATCAGTTCGCTGCCTTCGTTGCGTCAGAGGGGCTTCTGGTCGTCTGGGATGATGATGCATTACATCTTGTCCCTCGAGCTAAGGCCATTGAGTCAGAACTCATGGAATTGGTTTGGAAATCCGGCGACATCGAGGAGGAATCGGATGAGAAGAACGGGGGTGTTGAGACAGAGGCTGTCGAGATTGATGAAGAGAGTGGCGAGATCAAACCAGATCAACGACCCATTCACCTGCAAAACAGTATCCTCGTTGCCATCACCCTGGCTCTAGTCATTACTGCTCTGGGTGCCGCTTGGAGACAGCTTGCAATCGAGGTTTCGATCGACAATGATTTCACTCGCTTGGGTCTCGTTGCACTCTTCCCAGTACAAGTCTTCTTCACCTTGTTCTTCGCCCAAGTCATCGTCGGTTGCCTGGCTCAGATCTTTGGCCCCATTCGCCAACTGACGATCAACTCAAAGTTCTATTCGGCTCGCCCACCACGTCGGTTGCAAAGCGACGTTCTGCCCCACGTCACCATTCAGTGCCCCGTATACAAGGAGGGTCTCCAGGGAGTCATCATCCCAACCGTGAAATCAATCAAGCAGGCCATTTCCACTTATGAACTTCAGGGGGGCTCCGCCAACATGTTCATCAATGATGACGGTCTCCAGTTGATTTCGGAGGAGGAACGCCGGGCTCGTATTGATTTCTATGCAGATAATAGCATCGGTTGGGTGGCTCGACCCAAGCATGGCGAGAACGGGTTCCAACGCAAAGGGAAGTTCAAGAAGGCCTCGAACATGAACTTCGCCCTTATGGTCTCCTGCAAGGTTGAGGAAAAGCTACAAGCCATCAACAGAAACCCAGAGTGGAATCAGTATGATGAAGCCCAAGCATACGAAACAGCCCTGAAAGAGGTCCTCGAAGAAGATGGTCGCGCCTGGGCTGATGGCAACGTACGCGTCGGTGATTATATTCTGCTTATCGACTCCGATACCAGAGTGCCCGCCGACTGCTTGCTCGACGCTGTCTCAGAGATGGAGCAAGCTCCCGATGTCGGTATCATGCAGTTCTCTTCTGGCGTTATGCAGGTGGTGCACACCTATTTTGAGAACGGAATCACCTTCTTCACGAATCTCATTTATACCGCCATCCGTTACACCGTCTCCAACGGCGATGTTGCTCCATTTGTCGGCCATAACGCTATTCTTCGCTGGTCAGCCATCCAACAAGTGTCGTACCAGGATGAAGATGGCTATGATAAGTTCTGGTCAGAGAGCCATGTGTCAGAAGATTTCGACATGTCGTTGCGCCTCCAGTGCAGTGGGTACATCATCCGACTGGCAGCCTGGGCTGGCGAGGGTTTCAAAGAAGGAGTGTCGCTGACAGTTTATGACGAGTTGGCAAGATGGGAGAAGTATGCTTATGGATGCAATGAGCTGCTCTTCCACCCGATTCGCACCTGGCTTTGGCGTGGTCCCTTCACCCCTCTCTTCCGCCGTTTCCTCTTCTCCAACATTCGTTTCACCTCCAAGATCACCATCATCTCGTACATCGGAACATATTATGCCATCGGCGCCGCGTGGATCATGACAGCAGCCAACTACTTCCTCATGGGGTGGTTTAATGGACATCTCGATAAATATTATATCGATTCGTGGCAGGTTTGGTTCTCGATCATCATCGTCTTTAATGGCTTGGGCAATGTCGCACTAGCCATTATGCGATATCGGATTGGCGAGCGCAACATCCTGTATTCGTTGTTCGAGAACTTCAAGTGGACATTCATGCTGGCAATCTTCCTGGGCGGTCTCTCGCTGCATGTCAGCCAGGCCTTGTTGTCGCATATGTTCGAAATTAACATGACTTGGGGCGCAACAAGCAAAGAAGCCGAATTTTCTAATTTCTTCATTGAGATTCCAAAAGTACTGAAGAAGGTAAGCTTACTCTACACTCTGAATTTCCCTGTTTAGCCCCTCCCTTTATCTCTCTTCTTCCCCTGCCCTATTATTGATCAGCTCTGGGTTGGTGTGGCGGGTGAGAACCAATAGTCCAGCACTTCTGCCCACTTCATCTACCTCATCGCGCTGATAGTACCAACCACATGACCACACATGCCGAAATGGAAGCCCAAAACGGCCAGAAGCAGCAGGGCGTGCCCGTTACTCTGGCCGTACCTGAACCACTTCTGCTCTTCCGACTCTTCCTATACAAGCAACACGTGCTAACCTATTATGTCCTCTCTCTAGTTCAAATTCTCCATGATCTTTGCCCTTATCTTTGTTGTCGGCATGGTGATTCTTGCGGTTGCACCTTTTGTCCCTCACGATTGGCGCATCACCGACTTTGTCGCCATTTTGCCAATGGCGACGGTGGCAGCGAGCCACTTCCTGCTGCCCATCGCGCTAAACCCAGCACTGATGACCTTCTCATGGTAATTCTAATTCAGTCTTCACCAAATTTCGCATGGGGCACATCAGCCATGACTGGACCATTCTTTAATTCTACCCTGTCAGAAGGGTCACGTAACCCTCTTCCATTTGAATCATCGTATTCAACTGAGAAGAGGGAGACATTTATGATGCGAGCCAATTACTCCAATGAGAGTAGTTGATACTCCAAGGGAAATAAACACAAATTTACGACTTTCACGAATCACTGGGTGGATAGAGGCTTGAATCTATTGTTGGGTCTTCTGCATTTCACGTAATTTCTTAATCATATTGGATAACCTGGCTAGAAATAGAAATGGACGGGACAGGAGCCCGTCCATCGTACAAGACAGGGAAACGGTTTTGCTGTTAGTAAACGACGTTAAACAAGAACAAAAATGCAATCAAAACATGAATCACAGAGGTCCCCAAAAAAAGACAATGATGAAATAAAAGAGCATTTGAAATGCTGTTGTATTCTAAAAAAAAGTCTACCCACAAAACGCCTCTATGCCGAATAACAAGGAAAAGTTCCCATCAGATGCGAAACATCTCAAGTCTAACATCTTCGCTGTGGCCATGCCCAGAAGACACCGTCTATGAAGCAGCAAAATGCAAAAAGGGAGGTTGACCATATTATCTTTGGTCCTCCATCATCCCATGCAACGCAACATTGTAGGAAAAGCTGTGCGGAAGCGCGTCTACCCAGTAGACCACCGCCCATGCTCCGTTTTCCCCTTATCTAATCACCATTTTATGTTTCTTCAATCTCCCAGCCATGAGACATAGGGGATATCTGGTTCCCCAAGACCAATCTACTCCTCATCATCCGTGTCGGGAGGGTGGGGTGTTCCCTTGGGGCTGTTGAGCCACTCAATGTGGCGCAGACGTCTCCGAACCTCACGCTCCTTCAGCTCCTTCTTGGTCATCTTCTTCTTCTTCCTGGCCTTGAACTTCATGTCGGTGTTGTCCTCGACACCCGAGTTGACGGCGGACGAGACGACCGAGTTGGCGGCAGTGCTGGCAGCGGTGCTGGTCACGCCGCTGCCGGGGCGGGAGTCCTCGAATCGGTCGAGGCTGACGGCGGCGTTGCCGCGCTGGGCGACGCGGCCGTCGTTGACGTGCCACTGCTCGGAGCAGAGGGCGCCCACGAACTCCTCGTTGTGAGAAATCAGGATGACACCACCCTTGAACTCGCGGATGGCGACTGCCAGGCCGCCGAGGGAGTCACGGTCCAAGAAGTTGGTAGGTTCGTCAAGCACGAGCAGATGGGGGTTGTTCCACATGGCACCGGCGATGACGACCTTGACCTTCTGGCCACCGGAGAGCGATCCGATCTCGTTGTGGTTGGCAATCTCGGGGTCGAGACCCAGGTCCTCAAAGTGCTTGGAGATGACGGACGGCTGGAGCTCACGGTAGCCCAGACCCTCGCGGGAGGCTTCGTGGTCGTCGAATTCCTGGATAAGCTTGTCAAATCCGAGTTCGCTGAGGGTTTCGCGAGAGATCATTGTGTTGTGCTTTGGCATGAGACCGCGCCATTTGCTATTTAATTTAAGTTAGCACTTCCGCTCCGATATTCCAACAAAATCTTCAAGGGGTCATGTCTTACACTTCATATTGGAAAGTCTTCTTGTACTTCTGACGACCAACAAGAGCCTCGACCTGTCGAGGGGATCTTCCATCCTTAAGATCAACAAACTTATCCATCTGCTCGCGATCGGCATCAGAGAGGGCACGGGTCTGCTTCATGTGTACTTCACGGTCATCACCGTGGGCGTAACGCCACTGAAGGTACTGGTTAGGTGTCTTCTCCAAATGCATCTCCACGTGCTCGAGGGCGTGCTGCTTGATGTATCCGATACGGAGATTGGGGTGCTTCTCCACCTTGCCAGTGTTGGGGATCGTCTCGCCAGTGAGCAATTTGATGAGGGTAGATTTACCCGCACCGTTGGGTCCAATAATGGCTACTCGGGATGACAGAGTAAGCTGGCACGAAACTTCGTGAAGTGAGGGCTTTGGTGCGTTGGGGTATGTGAATGAGACGTTGGACATGCGGATGATGGCTCTGGTCATCGATTTAACACCAGTCAAGATACCCGGGGGTGGGAACTTGAACTGGGCATTGGCAGCTGTGAGCGTGTAGTAGCTCTTGGCTTCGGGCCTGACCTTGACAAAGGCGGCCAGGTTGCCCTTGTAGCAGGCCAGCTTCTTGTTAGGCTCGTAGTGATAGATGTCAGTGGTGACATTGTCCAAGAAACCCGAGTCGTGAGAAACAATCAAACTCGTGATATCAGGGTGAGTCTTGAGATAGTTCTCCAGCCAAGCAACATTGGCAACATCCAGATGGTTAGTAGGTTCGTCCAGGAGCAGGACGTCAGCTCGTTGCAACATAGCTCGGGCCAGAGCGAGCTTCATCTTCCACCCACCGGAGAGGGAGCCAACCTTCTGGGCTTGACGACCCTCGGGGCCAGGAGTGAAACCGAATTCCGTCAAAACCTCAGAGATACGCTCGGTACCCTGGGTGGCGATCTCAGGGTCCTTTGACACGAATTCAAGAATGCTGATTTCAGCATCTTCGCCCTGGTTGTGTTCCACGTAGCAGGTGCGAAGGACATCCTGTGGTGGGAAACCTTCAAGCTTGCCGCCAGCAATACTCTTCATGAGAGTAGACTTTCCGGCACCGTTGCGACCGCAAAGGCCATAGCGATGGCCCTTGAGGAGACGCAGGTTGGTGTGGGAAAGCAGAAGCATACCTCCATAGGCAAGAGAGAAGTCAGCATTGACGATCTCGATTTCTCCGTCGTCTTCCTTCTCGGGCACACCAAATTTACGAGCGTCCTCGTCGGCGTAATATTTTTGGACAGCGTCAGCCACCTGTTGAGGCTCCTTGGCCAAAGACTCAAGGTAAGGGGCAATTCGGGCGGAGATGCGCTCGATGAAACGGTAATTGACATCGATAGCAACCATCTCGGCGATATAAGGGCGGGCAACCTTGTAGAGATCGGCACTGCCATCAAGCCCTTGGGCCTTCTTGATCTGCTCCTCGAGAATCTTTGAAACGTCGTCACCAGTGGTTCGAGAAACAACATCCTTTTCGTCACCCATGGCCTTCTCCATAGTGGCAAGAGCCCGGTTGGCAAGCTCACGGACTTCAGGGAGGGAAGCTCGGTCACAGACACCCTTAACACCAGGGATCAACTTGGGGAGGAAAGTTCTGGCCTCAATAGGGTCGTGAACCAGCTTGGTAAGGTTTTCCACGATGACAACGGTCTGGCGGAGAACTTCCTGGGAGGTTGTGGGAGTGTTCAGGGATCGTTCAAGGAAGGGCGTAAGCAGGGCCAAAACAGGGGACGTGACAATCGCCACGAAAGTAGTCTGAGACAAGGCGTGGATAGCCTTCTGGAGAGTCTGGGGGGAGGGATGCTGCATGGTGTCGATAAGCAGAGGCAGGCGGGGGGCCACATCGTCGTTGGACAGAAGGGTGGTCAGCGAGTTCATGGTCTGAACAGCCTGCTTCTCAACTTCGGTCTTGAGGTCGTGCATTCCACCCTCGACAATGGGGATGAGGCCAGCAAGTTTAGCACCCATGGCCTCGCGGAGCAAGTCCTTCTCGACGGCCTCCTCCTTGGTGCCACCAAGGGAAAGCTTGGCCTTGTCGGCCATCTTCTGGAGCAGCTTGTAGGCTCCGACAGTGCCTTGCCATTTTCCAGTCTTTTTGGAAAGATATTCGATCAAGGCAGGGAGCAGGCCGGCGACGAGAGCCTCGGCGCTCAGGTTGGAAAAGAGGGCATCGAGTCCGTACTGTGCAGACTCGCGGACCACAGACCCCTTATCGGCAAGGGCGTCGAGCGCACACTGCACCATGCCACCATCCTGAAGAAGGAGAACAACCTCGCTCAGCTTCTGCCTCTGGAGGAAGCGCTCGAAGACTGCACCAAGGAGGTTCTGGCTGCTCTCCCTCTTGAGGCCGCTCTTCTTATCAGCAGCCGCCTTCTTGATCTCAGCCAAGATGCCGTACTGGTTGAGGCCGGCAGCGCCGACCGAATTCAGCAACAGCTCACAGAGTCCATAGCTGGCGTCGACGGAAGCGGCAGAGGTTTGCGCCGTGAAAATCGTGTTTAGCAGCCCCGAGACAACCTCATGAGGTGGTGGAGGGGCTGCTTCGGTAGACGGCGGGGTCACTGGGTGAGGCATCGTAGGCGGGGCGGACGGGCGGGAGACGACGATAGAGGGCTGTCGATGTAGGAGTCGGATCTAAGTAAGTATCCGTGCAATAGACAAAGCGTACAGTAGCCCGGGCCTGCCGCCGATAAATTACACCCTGGTGGTGAGGGAGGTTGTGAGAGAGACAGAGAACAGTTTGACGGGAGGCCCTGGGGGTGAGAAATAATTACCACTGTATTGGGCGGCGGTGCTCGCACCGAACAATGCCTGGACCAGATGGAAATTTTTTTGGCCGTTGGGCTTATCAGAGGCTTATCGCGGCTGACAAGGGGCTTATCCCTGTGAGACTTTGCATGTGCTTCCGTAATACTGACCGGGCCAACCAGATCCTCCCCAGTACCCACATGCTAGAACAAGCAGTTATGATGGAACCATCTCCCCGATCTCATGCACTTTAATTCCCTTACAGATTAACTTCACAGCGGAGTTATACTTTCATCTCAGCCAGACAATGCAACTAGCCAAAGCACACAGGCTGGTTATACATTATGAGACCCTGGCGGACGGGACAGGGCAGTCATAATTCGCCCACAGTAAGTATTTTATATATATATATGTACAAAACAAGCAATAAACCTTAGGGACGATATGTATCCCATCCATTCTCCGGATGATAAACCCAGGACAAAGCCCAATTAAAAATGAGACTCAAAAAATAAAAAACCATGGAGGGTATAATATAACAGCAAGAAAGTGCAGCATATATGATGTCCGCCGCAGCGCAGAAATGAAACCCGACAACGATGGCAGGTCGAACTGACGTGCATTCATTATACAGTAAACAAAAGTGAAGGGATAGCGCTAGTATCAAGTCGATGTGACTCCTCGCTCTTTTATCGGTGTTGCTCTTCGCGGAGCGAAACAGGGCCTTGGAAGCCGGATGCAGTCGGTGTTGACACGGTCTGCATCTCCACGCCGAGTGCACTCTCCTTGGGTCTCAAATCTCGCCTGATGCCCAGTCGTTGATCACCGTCCTGGTATTTCGACTTGAAACGATAATAAGTTGGCGGCCGAGGTCGACATAAGACGGAAATTATGTTCTTCATGAAGTTGCCTTGCGAGAAGGCTCTGAAACGCTCCTTCTTCGCAAACTTGTGAGAATTCATGTACTCCCGTGTCGTCTCTCCTCGCGCCATGAGGAAAATATGGTAGCCCATCAATGCGGCGGGGTAGAGCAGCTCAATGACTGCCAAGATAAGAAGGGCAAACGGCCCGCGGAAGTGGTTAATGGCCTGGCCGAATGATATTCCCTCCTCCTTCCTGTAAACAAGAAGCTGAACCAAGCTGGTAGCGATGATGTAGAAGGCAACGAGAGTACCCGAAGTTACAAAGGCAAAGAAATAACGGTAGTTGCGTTTACCAACGCAGTTGTTGAGCCAAACACAGTGATGGTCGTGGCCTTCAACGCAGTTGTCGCACAATCGGCAGTGGTGTCCTCGAGGGGGTCGCCAGATGTTGCACGTCCTGCAGTGCTTAACTGGAACCTCCATGGCAGCGGTTTGAGACTCGGCCGACTTGACCAGAACCCAGTCATTTGTTCGGGGTCCAATCTGCAAGGGGTCCTGATCGTCAATATCTGGGAAACGATGAACGTTCCGGGGTAAAATCTATTAAAATTAGCATCGGTAAACGGCGATGGTCACGAATTAGTAGCACGTACCCCAGGATCTGATACAGATGCATGAAGGAAAGAGGAAAAGCAGATGAAAGCGAGGTAGGCAAATACGATGGGAACAGCCGGTGAAATATTGTGCCACAGCCAAGGTGCCTCAAATCCAAAGAACAGGCCACACGGCAGGACGATAAACATTCCTGTTCCGATATTTACGGGTCTTCCGATAGTATTCTGCCATCTACCTCCAAGCCAAAATCTTGTGTTGCCCTCAAAATATTGATACACTCGGCCGAGATTCGATGCTTGCCGTTGTGTAGCAGGATCTTGGTTTGGCTGACCTCGAGACCCTATTGGGTTAAGTTTGGGAGATGATGCACCAGAAGACAATTTTTCTGCGCCCTCTGTGCTTCTATTCCGGCCGTGCCCAGTGCTACTCCTTCCAGGCATCAAAAAGCTTGAGCGAAAGGAACGAGGAGTCTTGATGGGGGTTGGCATATTCTTTTCCATCTCCTCATAATTCTTAAGGGCGTGAACACTGGTATTGATCCGGTGTGGCTCCGGGGTCTTCCGTAGAGGCCGCACACTATCCGACAAGCTCCCTCCTGCGTAATGGCCATTCGAAGGACTCGTGTTTGCAGTTACTCTGTCGTGCTCGGTGACTTCGGTCCCTCGAGATGGTGGGAGCTGGAGATTTTCGTCATCATGGGGCGGGTGCTGAAGGCCGACAGGAGTGTGGATAGTTGCAGAGACTGGGGATGCATCCTGATGAATCACACTGCCACCAATATCGGTGGCCCCATCATCAAAATCCCCGGGAATGTCTATCGGTGAGCCCATCGTGGTTGGTCGCGAAGTTGCGCCTCCTCTATGGGCTTGCAACTTCTGAGAGCTCATCGGGCGGAAGAAGGCGTTGGACGTGAGGGAAGGTACGTGGCTCCGGCTTGCTATACTCCGTGTGCGGCCATCGCCCCTCACACTGGAAAGGGACGTCCGCTTCCATGACGCGACTGAGTCCCTGACGTTTGGCGACGTCGCTACTGACCCGGAAACGACTGATCCAGCCGCTGTCACTGCTGTTCCGGGTCGCGATGTTCCTTTGCCCATCGCAGACGTGCGGCCCTGGGCATCGATTTCACTTCGGTCATCGCTTATCCTTGAGGACATGGCACTAGGTGCTTCAGATCTGTTGGAAGGCGGGACAGGGAATCCCCCACCGTCGTTGCCGGTGGGCGATGTTGACGGGGACATGGCGGAAGATTTCGAGGGTGGTGGTGCCTGGTCGTCTATGACATAGCCTTGATCGACAGGTTCACGTTTCGGGTCCCGCAGCACAACGATCGACGGAGAAATTTCCAAGCCTCAAGCTGGAATCGCACAGGGATTGTTTTATCAACAACGTATCGTGTTGTCGGGGCGCTGGCAGAATATGGTGGTGAGTCCTCTCATCCAGGGGTCGGTGGCGTATAAGGTAAAAGGAATGGGGTGCGGTCGCGGAGGAGTCGGAAAGGGAAAAGGGCCGGGTTGGAAGAGAATGTCGCAGGTAGGGAGGAAAGAAGGTGTCGGGTACGTGCGTAGGGGCATAAAACCAAAGAGAGAATGAGACGCTGCGGAAAAAGAAAGAGAGCGAAGCCTTGTGTGTGCGGTGTAGGTTCCAAGTCCAAGGGAGGCAGTAGCGCCTGGGCCTGTCTGTGATGTTGCTTTTTTTCGTCCCCCCTCGCTGACTGCGGTCGACTAACCAGGTCAATAGGACACTTCGAGGAGCCAGTAGCTGATGAGCATGGGCAGCCGTCCCTGGCGCGACGGCTCACCAACCATAGCGCCCAATATGACTGCCCCTGGCAGAGGACCTAATTAAGGCATCTTTTTCAATGCTACATCGCGATGCTACGTACTCCAACTTTACCTCCAATCACTCAATCAATAGGCCTCGAACTGCCGCCTCTGGATTCCGAGTGGTGTATCATGGCGTGCCGCCCAAATGACGTTGGAGCGGTCGCAACCACCCACACCATCTCCTGTCCCACAGACTCACTGAGTGACACAGAGAACTTGCATAAACTCATATAATTGATACCTGCCTCCTTAGTAAGGAGCTGAGAGTGCTTGCATGAGCTTGACCTCTAGATGCGTCCATGTCCAGGTACGTCAGGCCGATTCCCTAGTTGTTACTAGCCCAGAGCAATTTGACGTCCCTCAATACCTTGTTGGTTAGTATGTCTTAGAATTACAGCCAACAACTGCTGATCCTTATTAGGCCTTGCGATATGACTGATTAGGTACCTACTTTAGCAACGGGGGAACCCGCGATCGAGGGAGGGGCCACAGGCTGTCTATGCCTCAAATATAAGGCAACTAGCCAAAATCCCCAGCTGCCACCAAGAAAAAAATAAAGAACGTCATGATGATGACTGAGCAATCACGTGAAACGACAGTCCCCATGTGCGCGGCATTGGCCAATGGCAGCTCGAGCAAAGATGGTGCTTCAGATCGATCATACGAGCCTCACCCGAAAGGAAGTGCCCCATTCCGATCTCACCCATTGACTTCCTCTCCTTCGCATCACGCTACGGACAAAGCAAACAAACAATTCTCACAATGGCCTCCCGCATCGTCTCTCGTCGTTTCCTCTCCACCACCGTGCGCCGCCTCCAGGAGCACGAGAAGCAGGAGCTCAAGAAGGAGGCCCGCCGCAACCCCGAGACCCTGGTGCGTCATAATGCCAAAAACCGCCGGCCCAGCTTCTCTTCATCTTCCAGCTGGCCGGCAGCCTTTCCCAGTCCCCTCTGGACTAACAATTGACTTGCAGGTCCTCGGCGGTGTCATGGTCGCCGCTCTCGCTGGTGCTGGCTTCTACTTTGGTGCGGCAATCCCAAGCTTCGGCCCTTCTATTCCCGTCGAGAGGCCATCAGACTAACAGTTTCACTCACCGCAGGCCGCACTCCTACCTCCAGCACCTCTGAGTCCCCCGTCGGCATCGCCAAGGGCGGCATGCCCTGGGAGACCAACACCACTGGCAAGTACCAGTACCACCCCGGTGGTGACGCCAGCCAGGCCCCCAAGGACGCTCCCTCCGCCCTCAACAGCGTCATCGTTCCCAACGTCACCCTCCCCGCGGAGCTCCACGAGAAGTTCAACAAGTTTGGCAAGGACGGTTACCCTTAAAGCGAGGGAAGCTCATTGCGGTCGTTTTCCCACAGGCAAGCCTGAAGCCTCGGGGACTTAGAAAGCAGGAGGATACTATCATCCCATGTAGATATATTGCTTTGTCAGAGAAACACTTGCCAGAGCTTGATTGCGGCGACGAAAATAATTCCTTGGAACTCGTATGTGTTTTCTTGCATGGGTGTGAGAACGGCTGGTGATTGTAACATTACATATGCAGGATTACGTATTGCCTCGATGGTTGTATGTCGATACTACCACGCATTTCGGATCTAATAATCGATATACCTATAGGATATAGTGAATGACCAATAGTCTGCTACAGAAAGGGGGGGCAAAGAATCTTCTGCCCAGTGAAACCTGTTAGTTATCGTTTCTTCATTATATATACTATGCAAACAAAGCATCCTTGGTAGAGCTTCTGTTGAAGACACCCGCTGCGACCAGATCTACGTCCCAGGCTCTATGCCGTGAGGGACTCTATCTCCTCCACCGTGAAACCAAACAGATACAGCAAATCCAGCAGGCTGTCTCCGTTGAGCCTGGCATCCGCCTCCATCTGCACCCTCGGCTTTGCGTTCCAGGCCACACCAAGCCCGGCCTTTTCCAGCATGAGCAGGTCATTCGCTCCGTCGCCGACAGCAATGACCTGCGAAAGGTCAATGTTCTCCTTGGCCGCAATCTCGACAAGCAGATCCCGCTTGCGCTCCTTGCCCACGATCAAGCCCTTCGCCTCACCTGTGAGCTTCCCATCCTCAATGACGACCTCGTTTGCGTGCGCATAGTCAAGTCCCAGCTCGCCAGCCAGCCAGCTGGTCAGGGGCAAGAAGCCACCGGAGAGCACGGCAATCTTGACACCCAACCGCTTGAGTGCCTTAACCAGTTCCTTGACGCCATTAGTCACATCCAGGACGGGGCGCAGGTCCTCGAAGATGGTGGCAGGCAGACCCTTGAGGAGGCGGACACGCTCGCGGAACGAAGCGTCGAATTCGAGCTCGCCCAGCATGGCCCGGTGCGTGATCTCGGCCACGCGCTCTGCAAGGTTCGGCGGGTCCTTGATCGTCTCCGCCAAAAGATCAATGACCTCCTGGGTGATGAGGGTGCTGTCCATGTCGAAAACGACGAGGCGGGGGTGTCTCCGCCACACTGACTCGCGCTGGAGGTTAACATCTACGTTCCACTCCTGTTCGAATCGATAGATCATTTCGTGTTTGCGCAGGTCATTAAGGGAGAGGTATGACGACAGCGGTGCTGGAGAGAAGGACAGCTCGACAACCCTTGGGTTCTCCTGGTTATCAAGGCACCTGTGGGACGAGTGAGGCTCGTCAGCCTCAGGCGGCATAGGAAACGTCGACATGAGATGGAGGAAGGAAGTAATGCAGAGGGGCGAGATGTAGGAGCCATAGATGTGATCGAGCTGCTCTGATTCCTGAGTAGGCGGCTCGAGAGGGAAGGCATCCATGTTGGTGGTCGGGGCCATGTTGGGGGGGAGGGTCTCATTGCTCTCGGATGCGGAACCCTTGATGGGTGACTTGGGAACAGGGCTGATCGCTCCCTTAGGTTTCGACTTGTAGATGAGCGTCGCGACGAGTCTATCGGCGCTTGCGCCCTTGGACGGGGTACAATTCGGGTGCGAGAAGCTGTAGTTTACCCCGCTATCGACAATCGTGGGAGGAGCATCCTCGGAGGGTACACCACGGAAGTGCTTTGGCGACGGCGCCTTGGAAGGAGAAAAGTCTTCAACCACGGTATCAATACCATGATGAGCGTCAGGTTGTCGGGTAGAACGGGTTTGCTGGTGATCACTTAGGTAGGAGCTGCTCCGCATCGAGCTAGTCATCTGCGGTCGCGAGACAGACTGCTTAGAATCATCGACGGAGGCCATCTTGATGGTAGTGGTGGGGTAGGAGGGACAGGGAGATTATCCAAGATCTAATAATCTAGGCCTGCAGCGGGATGGAGCAGGTGGGATAGGCGTCAGGCTTGTCGCTGTTGCAGCAGTGCCAGTTCACGGGGCAGCGGGATCTGAAGCGCAAAATTTGTCACCAGCTGCTCGCGAGAAGCTGGATGCCAACAGTCCAGTGAAGGAACCAGACCTGACGATCGCGATGGAAGAGCAGGAGCCCCGCATCAGCTCAGCGGTCGGTGCTTTTTTGTTCGATTACCCCGCCAGCATGTGCCGTTCTAGCCCAATCAACACCCTAAGAAATATTTCTGGCAGGTCTCCGCAATTGGTCAGAATAGTATTCGCTGGGTCATGGCCAGGTACGACTGTTTTTCGCATCTCTCACTGGTGCTCCAAGCGCCGCAACCGCGACGTTTGCTCCGGAGTCAACCACCTTCTCTTCTTGCTTCAATCTCGAATATCCAGGCGACTATGCGTGTCGGCCTAGCTGGGTTAGAGAAGGCATCGGATGAGGCATTGAACATGGAGAAATGGCCCTGTCTTACCATGTCCTCACATCATTAAGTTCTGATTGCGTATATCTAGGAGCCTCGGGATATATGTACATGAGTTCCATACCGGCAGGCCGGAATACCAGGCCGCATTTTCGCACAAAGAAGGCTTTTAGCTGCCCTGGCAATGAGTTTTACCAACAATGAGTAAAGCCACAAAGACGGGATATCGTCAGGGGATTCGGGCAATTGGAGGTATAACAGGGATTATGTTTTGCTCGACTGCCACTACAAACCCAACGCACGAGGGGAGGCAGGCAAAGAGCATAATGGACATCTCCATCGCAACGGGTGAGCGCAAGTATACGTCAGCATTATATGCCGCCATCAGCCCCCAGACCAAGCTCCATCGGCGGCATTGACGCTGCAATGTGCCACTGGCGGATATAGGGTAGGGCTGTTGGCAAAACGGCCCACTTTGCTGTTGTCATCGCACAGATGGAGGCACGTGGGGTGACAAATGCGAAGACACAGAATTCAATATTTCTCAGCAATGCTCAATGGCGCCCTTGTTCCGGATACAGGAGAAATAGCCTGCAGGGTGATTGTCAGCGAATCGAGGCCGGAGCAAGCCGGTCCTGATTAATATAAGATCTTTTCACTTTCCGCGGGCATTGCTCAGAGTTCCGGTGCTCGGCCCCGACGCCCGGATCACATCAGTACAGCCGGAAAACTGCAAATTTTGACGGTATAGAGCCACCGATCCGAAGGTGGGTACGCTCACAAAAGCGGGTTGTGACGTTGTGCCGTTTACATGCCCAAGACGCCAAACATTCCAGACACTGCTACGATGCTAATCATGCTACGTCCCGCGAACACGCCAGAAGTGTCCTCTCCTGGAGTGATAACTGTGTAGTATTCTGGAGACCGTCCTGTTAGAAGGCCTGATGAAGCGCCCGGCCACCAACTTCCGAAACGGAACCTAGACCTCCAGATGCCACCGCCACCAGGAGTCCAACGGACTTAAGTAGAGAAAGCACTTCTGAGATGCCGAAGAAGATCGATCCGCCCTCTCCGAGATCCACCGGGAGGTTTGACTCCCTGTTTCCCCAGCCCGATAGCCTTTCAACCTCCAGTCGTCGAAACTGGGGCAGGCAAAGTATTGAGTACATGCTCGACGCTAGTGGCGTGGCGAGTCAGAAGTGTATTGTCTACCGAGGCCAAAGGCTTCGGCGTCCGGGACGAGCCAATCAGAGGCTCTGATCGGCCATCGCGAAAGGCATAGCGTGGATGTCGTGCTCGCATCATCAACTTCAACGACTTGCAGATTTGCCCATTGTTTCCTTCCCAGGATACCGGCAGCGATTGCGCCATAACCTCTGGCCCTACGATGGGCCACAGCATTAGGCATCTCATTTGTCTATGCCCTTCCGTTAATAGAGTAATCAGGACCCTCGGCCCCATTAGTAAGGTCATCTGTAGTGTAGGCACTCACTTCCTTGGCAAAAGCCCGACTGGAGGTGTAATATTAACCCCTCCCGAGTCTGTTCATCATTCTTATTCCTTGATGCCCTTCATATAACGCTTCCTTGGCCTCTGACATCAATACATCCCACCTTGATCTGTATGACAAAGAGTTAGTCACGACGGCATCTGAAGCATAAAGCATCATAAGACCCCTCCGGAAACAAATACACAACCGCCTTTCCGAACCGGGATCCTTACCAATAATACAAACCCCCCAACTTCATTCACAATGGCTGTCGAGGTGTCACAATCGAACCAGTCGTATCGAAAGGAGGATGTCGAAATCGACTCGGGATACACCTCCAGCCACTCCGACTATTCTCCCTCATCATCAACTCAGTCTCTCCCTCTCATGTCTCTCACAGCCGCCCATCTTGAGCACCTCAACAACCAGCTGGAGCCCATGCACCCCATGGACATCCTGCGGTTCTGCAAGATCATGTTCCCCAACCTCTACCAATCGACGGCATTTGGCTTGACCGGTCTCGTGACCATGGACATGCTGTCCAAGATCCAGGACGAGAACCCCGAGTCCAACCAGGTTGAGCTCATCTTCCTCGACACCCTCTACCACTTCAACGAGACCTATGACCTGATCGACCGCGTCAAGGCTCGCTACCCCAACGTGCCCGTCCACGTCTTCAAGCCCCACGGCGCCGACAATGTCGAGGAGTTCGAGGAGACCTACGGCAAGGAGCTCTGGAGCACCTCGGACGAGCTGTACGACTGGATCATCAAGGTCGAACCCCTCCAGCGGGCGTACGACGAGCTCAAGGTCGCCGCCGTCCTCAACGGGCGCCGCAGGTCCCAGGGTGCCGCCCGGGGCTCCATCCCCATCGTCGAGCTGGACGAGGAGCGCGGTATCATCAAGATCAACCCCCTCGCCACCTGGTCCTTCGGCCAGGTCAACGCCTACATCAAGGAGCACAACGTGCCCTACAACGCCCTGCTCGACCAGGGGTACAAGTCCGTCGGCGATTGGCACTCGACCAGCCCCGTCAAGGAGGGCGAGGACGAGCGCGCCGGCCGGTGGAAGGGCCAGAACAAGAGCGAGTGCGGCATCCACAACAAGAAGTCCAGGTACGCCCAGTTCCTGGAGGACAAGGAGCAGAAGGTGGCGGCGGAGGAGCAGCAGCAGCAGCCGCAGCAGCAGGCCGACGTCGCCAAAGTGGTTGAGCCTATCCACTAGCGGCGTGCGAAGATGAGCATCTCGGTGGTTTCGGTAGTGCGGGTTGGTTTCATGATTTTATGATGGAGAGCATTGCATCCGGCGTTACGGGCACAAAATTGGGTGAAGCGAAGGGCTATTTGGTTTCTTGTTTTCTGGGCGCAAAAATGTTGGTACGTATTACCGACGTCTGGCGTTTAATTCTTGAGTGACGCAGTGCTCGATCTGGAAAATATGTGGATCGAGAGTGCTGTCAGATATGTACCTAGATCAGCTTCGCATATATTAGAGGAATAGGAAAAGATTAGTTCAAAAGCATGATGCTTGGCAAAAATGTCTTGCGACGACCTGGGAAATGATGGTTGCGTAACGTTTTATTCTGGGTGAGTTAAGAGAATGTCCGGATAAGAAACTTAGCACTTGCCATCGTTGCTGTACCTCGTGCCTCTACCCCGCGTCATGGTGAAGATACCTAGGTGGTCTGCTATGGCGCTAACAGGGCTCGCACCAATTTCCACACAAGTCTGATAGAGGCTTATTCTCAACCGCCAATTCTTTTTTATTGGTTCCGAAATCACTTTCTGTCGGAGATAGTAGGGAATTGTGGAACTCTCGTGACCTTGGAACAATCTGCTAGAGAAAACTGTGATGCAGGCACTCCCGCCACCACCGGCCAGCTTCTTGGGCAAGAAGACCAAGATCCTGCAGCAGCTGGCAGTCCCTGATTCCGAGTACGCAGATGCGTCTCCGAAGGGGTCTGTCGACGTGGGGATTCGCGATCTAATCGCGGAAATCAACGAATTTGAGGGCCTAGTAACAACGAGCAGCTGTGCAGGGAGAGTGAGTGTTTTCCTCGAGGGGAGAAAGCATTCTGAAGCTGGTGAAGATGAGCGCTTAGCCCAAACAACAACAGCCGGAGTGGGAGGGAAAGGAGGTGGAGGAGCGTGGCTGTTTGTTTCTCACGATCCAGTGACAAAGGGTGATGAAACCTGGATGAACTCCCTTGAACTATTGTACCCAGAAGAGGCTCAGAAAGAAGCATCTGAGTTTCAAGGAGAAAGACGTTTAATTCATTTCAAGTTCGAGCCCATGGTGAGAGAGACAGAGATATCCATGACCTCTTTCATGCTAGAGAAACAAGTGAAGCTAATGTGTGAGTGTTTTAGATCCTTCACGTCCTGTCGGCATCTGCCGCCCACGCTCAACTTATCCTACGCTGTGCTTTACAAGCTGGATTTCGAGAATCAGGCGCTGTGAGCCTGACTCCATCAGCAACTGAACAGCAGCCGACCCCGGTGGTTGCGATCCGGTCAATGGGTCTAAGCTTTGAGTCGCTAATTGGATATCAAATTGGCGACCGAAGAGTAAGCTTGGTTTCACCAGACTACCTTCAGATCCTGATGTCCATCGCCACAGAGCGATTTGCAGAGAACACTAAGCGGATCGAGAGATTTCTTTCTGCTTTCCGAGACGCAATCTCCACTCCACCTTCTGTGAGAAGAAACCCAGATGGTCAGGAGTGGGAAGATGCAGCTGAAAGACGGGAAAGAAAGCGGGCAGAGGGTCTAAGAAGAAAGGCAGAGCTTGAAGCCGAAAAGGCCAAACAAGACACAACACCCAATGAGCCTGATGAAGCAAACGTAGATCAAATGTCAAGTTTCTTACCTGACTCATAACCAAAATCGGAACAAACAAATAAAAACAAAACAAAGGTTGTAAAAAAAAGGCCAATCAATAATGATCTATTGTGTTACTGGGTTCCTGATCGTCAAAGTTCCCATAATATACAATTCCGTACTTTAATCGTCCACAGAATCCATTTCACCCAGAGTTTTACCTGCTCGTTTTACGAGACCACCTTGTTCACCCACTGCTGCTCCAGCTTCTTGACCTCGACCTTGAACTTCTCAACCTCCTCATAGCAATTCAGCGGCCGGCGATCGTTGTCGATTAAGCACTTGATGACCTCGTTCCTCGCGCTCTCGACATTCGCGGGGAGAGTCCGGACCTGCTTCCTCTCCTCGAGCTTGCGGCGGAACTCCTCGACCTGTTTGCTAACCGTGTGGCGGCTCTGGCCCTCCTCGGACTTGTTCTCGTTGGCGGCTGCGGCGATCTTGTCCTGGGCCGCCTTGAGGGCCTCGGACTCCTGGTTCTGGAGCTTCTTCAACTCTTCGGCTACGCGAGCCTGGATCTGGATCTCAACCGTTCGGGCACGTGAAGCATCGGTCTATATCAGTCATTGCCGAGTTAGTTGGCCCGTAGTCAAGGCAGTGGAGAGGGTCCGTGTGCAAGGGATGTTGGTCATTCAGAGACTCGTTTTTGTAGAATCGAGCAGGACGGCACATGCGAACAAGGAAACCAGGTATATACACACCTCAGGGTTGGATTGCAGGGAATCGAGGAGATCGTGGGAGACGGAGCTGGGGCCTGAGCTGTTTTCGCAAGTTAGCCTTGGCCTGGGGGTATAGTAGTCAATTGAAGAGAGGAAATCACTTACGCCTTCCAGATGTGCCCGGCCAAAGTGGGCTTGGACTCACTGGCACCCATTTTCGCTTGGTCAATTGGTCTTTTAGGACTTCAAGCTGGTATTCCGCGCGCTCGTGATGACGATCTGGAAATTTCCGGACCGTGAGGCCGTCCCGCGGTAATGGAGCTTACATAATAATCTTGCATTTTACCTACCCTAGACGCTTAGCATCAATCATCGGCCTGAAGTAACCGGAAACATGGCGCCCAAGGCTAAAAGCCCTGTTTTAGACACAGTAGTACTGAAATTTCACAATGGTGACAAAGTGTATTGATCTTGTAACGAAAAGCCGCCTCGCCTATCTGCTCTGATTGTTCTTGTTGTTAACCAAAGAATACCAAGCCTACAACTACTGTGTATACCCTTGAATGACATGAATGTCGTGGTGTGCCACATTTTGTGTCATCCACATGGCTGGGTATAAGGCAAGTATTAACTCATAGTGCGGACAAGGGAACCTTGATCATTTGGCTGAACCATGAATAGCGCCACACTTTAATGTGACATGAGATGTGGCTGAGGAGCTGTCATCATCCTGCATTGTCGCCTGCTGAGCAATAGGTTAGAGATCAATCATGCATATGCACAAAAATAGCATTGCCATCAACGAGAAACACGCAATTAATCCCATTATGCCACACAACCTCGGGGCTTTGCTCTTGGGTGTTTCAAGAGCTATTCTGGCTGCCGTAAGCGTGCTCAGGCCCAGTGGCCAACTCACCCACGTATTATGTGGTTTTGCACGTTTCAGCTTCCCAACTATTGAACTGGACTTCCTAAACGGGCGGTGGAATTATCCGTCAGAAGCTTCAATCGACTCGTGCCGCTTCGCTGATCAGTCTCCCGGCCGGCTCACCTGCCCAGCAAGCTCAGGTAGATTTATTAACCCCTGCCAGAGAGAATAGAGCCAGAAGGAACAAAGAATTCTTGCCTCGTTTCCAAATCCCCCACATGTAAGACAGGTGACGGAGCGCGTGGATTTCTTCTCTCGCCCTTGAGAATCAAATCTTGCATGCCAAGATCCTAAGCCCGCAGTCACCCACCGCACCGCAAAACGCTGAGGCCAAGCGAGATGAGATGAAATAAATTCGCGGCAGGGGAACAAAATAAGATGATGAGGCCAAATCGAGAACGGAACTTGGAATCTAAAATCTTTTTAGGATCTTTTAGGATCTTTTCAGTCGGAAAGAAGAGGAACTCGGGAGGTTATGGATGCGTGAGCCAACGGCTTTCCAATTAATATCCTTGAAGCATCGTAATGGCGTCACTGATACTGCGGCTCTCTGCCCTCAATGAGCAACACACCAGACATATAGAGATTAGAAAATTCCATGGCACCTACGCCTTGATACGATTTTCATCACATGAGTGCAAAATTGCGTCGTTAGTTACGGTGAAGCTTCCGGGGCCCCAGGTGAGCCATTCACCTGTAAATATACCAAGACCACAAGCCTGATCAAAATTGAAATGTGTAGGAGTTTTGTATGTCGGTAATTTGGGGGCAACCTCATGGCAAATTGCTGATTGACGGTGTAGATAGCAGCCCCCGATTATCTTGCCATGCACTTTAGTTGGTCACACTAAATCCTACGGAAGACGCCATCGTGATAGCTAAAACAAGTATCAGGGATCATTGAGCCGATTTGATTAGCGGCCGAACTGGCGGAAGAGCAGGCGCATGCCTCTCATTAGAGGAGCGGCTTAGAGTCACACCTACGAATACCTTGGCTTACACCAGGTTACCAATGTGATTGATTACGTTGCTGATATTCTGATACGCCTCTTGAGAATGCGTGGCGATGGCTTCACGGGCAGTCGTACGAGTTGGCCCATGTTTGAAACAAGTATTCGTGTGTTTGGACACCGGGTTGTTGCAATTCAAACAGATTGAGCCAGCGGCAGAAACATTCTGGTTCAGATTCGACTCCACGAACGGCAGTGTTGGCGGCGGATCTTGGATCGTGGCATGATTTCTTATTTTCCCTAACTTCCTATTGAGATGTGCACCTCGAGGAATTGTGCGAAGGTCGTACGACTTGGCTCTTATCAAGTTTGCTGGGAACGGGGGGGGTGGCATGTGAACGTTCTCAACGGGTGTGCGAGGACCATCCAGGCTATCGTGATCTGGGGGGACCTCCATCAACCTGCGACACTTAACGCAGTGAGGTCTTGGTATGGCCAGGGTCCTGAACGAACTGTGAGAGCCCACATCAGACCATCGTTAGGGCAGCCGACATCAGAACTCATCATCTGAATTAACCGGGATCCGGACTGGTTCACTCTCCCGCGTGGAATGAGTCAGGGATTGTACATTGAATCCTCCACCGTTCACCTGAAATACGCAACCGTGGAGCAGAGATAGCATTTTGCGCGCGCAAGTTGCCGAGAGAGACTCAAGGTGCCAAGCGCTTCTTTGCAGGAGGATGCTGCTGCTGCAGTAATGAGAAATTTAACGGCCCGTTAACCGACTCTGCAGGTGTTCAGTCGTCATTCTGGGCGCCTAGGGCACCAAGGTTGGGTAGAGGAGGAGGCGGCAGTGAGGGCAACGCAATTCGCCTGGCTATCCTGGGCGGACAACGATGAGACGTAGATCACTGATGCTTCTAGCGCAGTGGCACGATTCTATGAAAAAGTCTTCTGAACCCGTCGGCTGGCACCGAGAAGATGGAGCAACGGGTGGGAGGGATTGGCCATCGACCAGAGTTGCGTTCGGGAAGGGTTTCCATTTCCCACAGATACGTAGGCAGCATCGAGCGTGGTACAACCGTACAGAGGAGGCCAGAGAAGACCAATGAGGAGAAATAACCGTTTTTGCGCTGTGCAGGGGCCCCTTCACTCGCTCCTAGACTTGCATGGTGCCTGGCGGTTTGGCAGCTGTGGTTGGCTGGCTGGGCGCGCTGGAGGCTTGGATGACTCCTAGACACCGATCGACCCGCCACAGGGGACAAGACACAGGCACGGCGACTGGACAGGGCCATGGCAATCCTCCCCTGGCTGTCCCTGTGGCTTGGTTTCAGAATAGTCGCCCAGCCAGTCACCGCCCCGGCTGCAGTCGCTCAGTCCGCTTGACCTGAGAGCGCCCCACTCCCCCATCGCCAGCGGCTGCGCCCACGGACTGTCTGCTGTCCAATGCCTGGACGGGGGAGGCAGGTGTTGGGACCTGTCTGTCGGACAAGTACGGTTCAGACAAAATCTATTGGCTTGGGCATGCTGCAAGCCCGGCCAGTCGCCTGCCGGTGTTTGCAATCCCCAGCGGCCTGGGCGGGACTGGGCTCTGACGGTGCTGGTGCCAGCGAGACAGGTATTCGCAGCATTAGTCGCCTGTTCGATGACAGCCAGAAGAGACGCTGGTCCGCCCTCGTGATGGGCGTCTGTTTGAGAATCGGAGGCTGGCCTTGCTCCCAGGCTGACGGATCCCGCTGAATCGTACGAGCTCGCCTCGGGAACCTGGGCCTGGCGGCGAACAGGGCCGTCAGATGTGTGTGTTTCTCCGTGCGATGAAAGCGGCAATGGCTTGGACTTAGATGTGGTCACTGCTCAGACAGAGAGGCAGGGCCCGCGGCAGGCCCAAGGCCCACGCCCAGCGGGGGTCCGACAGTTGGATGGGCCTAGCTCACAGGGGCTGCGAGGGGGCGAGGGGACACGGCCAAGCCCGCCGACTGCTGGCCCAAATGCTCGGCAGGTGCTGGGGACTGCCACTTGCAGTGCGATCGTCAAAAGGTACATCATCCGCCTTCACCCTTCGTCCCTCCATCCTGCACTTCTCTGGTTGATCCATGGTTCGTCGTGCATTCCTCCCTTAGGAATAACCTCTCCCGCCCCCTTGACTTTCTTCTCCCTCCCTTGGAATTTGGCTGAGCCAACACGACCTCTCTCTTTTCTTCCCATCCAGTCCACGGCACTGGTACGAAGTCGCCCAACCGCGCGCATTTGGCCACGCCTGCCCCGACTTCACTTCACTCACTCCCTTCACAACAACCAACCTTGTCGTTGACGTCGGCACTGACGGCTACTGCTGGCTGGACACTCTCGTTGTTCTTCGATTGCATCTGTTCTTGCGGAAATCTCATGTCATTGATCTGACGAGATCTTCCTCATCTCATCTCATCTCATTTGGCATAGTTCTGTGCCTAGTTCCGCCAGTGACGATCTCAACTTGGATCGACATTCGCGCTGCGTTTCCTCAGACAACAAGCTATTTTTCTGAATCCCACCCCTTTCCATCTTTCATTGTTCCCTGGCCCTTCCAGTTTGGGAAATTCTCTTCTCCATTCATCCATTCATCCGTTTCGCAACAACCGGTCTTATTGTTATACGGACGCTCAACCTACTCATTGACGTCAAAATCGATTCGACTCATTCACCTTTTGTGTTACGCCGCGAGCAACTGCGCCACTTCAAACCTGAACAAGGCTGGTCCTGATCCTGATACTGATTGTGACGCATTTATTACGACGGCCTCAGCATGCAATTGTTTTGACGAATCTAGGATTACCTATCCACCACAGCAAAGTACTCCAGATTGGCTGGTACTCTCATTCGCATAAACAAGATTTGAAGTTCGGCATACTTCACCCTCACTTCTCTGATCTAGCCAACGATACAAGACTCCCCGATTTGCTCCCGCCTCCCCAACAATGGAGCAATTGAGTGACGCCCTGGTGCGTGAGGTCGCTGACCCCAACGCCATCGACTGGAAGGCTCCCGCAAACATGTCCACAGGCCCTTCCGCTTACTACCATCACCTCAATGGAGTCAACCAGCCTGTTAATATGCTCTGGAAGCAAGTCCTCTGGTGGACTTTGGGTGGTATGGGATTTATCATGCTGGCTATTCGTATCGGAACATTGGTTTGGTCGAAGCTTCGCCATGTGGCCGCCATGTCTGAACCCCGCGAGAAGCAAGGATACTGGAAGATTTCACAATGGAGTTGGATGCCCTCTCTCAAGAAGCATCTGGTCTACGCCCCTCTCTTCTACAAGCGCCACAACCGCGAATTCCGCCTCTCTTCCGCCATGAATGTTGGGACACTCCCATCTCGTTTCCACTCCTTAATCCTTTTCATCTACAACGGGAGCAACCTTGCTTACATGCTGGTTCTTGACTGGAATCAAGAAAACAAGTATGCCCTTGCAGCTGAGATGCGAGGCCGCTCTGGAACCCTCGCTCTGGTCAACATGGTCCCTCTCATCATCTTTGCCGGCCGCAACAACCCCTTGATCGGCATGCTCTGCATCAGTTTCGACACCTACAACCTGCTACACCGCTGGCTGGGCCGGCTCACTGTCTTCCAGGTTGTAATCCACACCATTGCCTGGTGCATTCCTGCCGTCGCCGACAGGGGCTTCCAAGGCATGGTCGACCTCTCTCTCACTCATGCTTTCTACTGGTCTGGCTGGATTGGTACGATCACCATGGTCATTCTTTTGATCACTGCCTTCTCCCCGATCCGACACGCATTCTATGAGACATTCCTCAACATCCACATCGTCACCGCCCTCATTGCCTTCATCATGACTGTGATTCACTGCCTTGACTCTAACCTTGGTGCCCCTCTTCCTCAATATCCCTGGATCATTGCCATCTGCCTGATCTGGGCCCTTGAGCGATTTGCCCGCTTTATCCGCCTTGCCTGGACCAACTATGGCTCGACTGGTATGACCTACGCTGTCTGTGAGCCTATGCCTGGTGAGGTTACCCGTGTCACGATGCACCTGCCTCGATATGTTAGGATTAAGCCAGGTACCCACGCTTACCTTCGATTCTTCGGCATCCGATCTTGGGAGAGCCACCCGTTCTCCACCGCCTGGGTCGAGCATAACCACGGTTCTCACACCTCGCTTCCTGTCTCCGAGAAGGACCCACTTGCCAATATCAGCCGCGACTCTTCCTCGACCAGCGTCTCATTCCTCGTTGGTGCCCAGACAGGCATGACCAAGCTTCTATACGAAAGGGTTAGCCAGAGTTGCAGCATCGGTGGCAGCATGAGAATCAAGGCCGCCCTCGAAGGACCTTACGCCGGACACCACAGCCTCGACTCGTACGGCCACGCTGTGCTCTTTGCTGGCTCAACGGGCATCACCCACCAGCTATCCTATCTTCGACATCTCCTCCAAGGCTACAATGATGGCACTGTTGCTACGCGTCGTTTGACTTTGGTATGGATTATCCGAGACTTCGGTTCCCTCGAGTGGGTCCGACCCTACATGGACCAGATCCTACGCATGCCCAACCGAAAAGATATCCTTCGCATCCAGATCTTCGTTACACGCCCACAGAACCCGAGCGACGTTACCAGCGCCAGCAATACTGTTCGCATGTTCCCTGGACGACCGAATATTCCCCTTCTCCTGGTCAAGGAGATCCAAGAGCAGGTTGGCGCCATGTGTGTCACAGTCTGTGGCCCAGGTGCCTTGGCTGATGATGTGAGAGGTGCTGTAAGGGCAGTACAGGGCGAGACCGTCGTGGATTTTGTTGAGGAGAGCTTCACATGGTAAAAAACCGCCGCATTTCTGCTGCCTTTTGAGTGATGAATCGATCGTATATACACCTGGGCTGTACTTGCTATTTTTTTCTCATTTTTTATACTGTCTATCTACGTCCTATCTGTATATACAACACACATTCCTTTCACCGCCAGTTTTGGGGGGGAAATTACGACACGACGTTGGCGTTTCCATGGAAAAGGCGTTTCCAAGGAATTGCATAATATAGCGAAGCATAGATGGCATCGCATTTCCTTAGTTATTTGAGAATATATCCAAGCAATCAATCAACCAGACATTTTAGATTACTTCTCTATCCTTCAAATCTGGTGCGTCTCTATAAGTGATATGCGTTTCCTTTAGCCCAGCCCAGCCTTGCAAACCCAGGAACTCCTACTATGCTATGCTTCTATCGTATGCAATGTGATCATGAACGTAACCAAAAAACCCTCCAACTAGAACAAAGGAAAGGCAAGCAGTCAAGGAAAGCAGTCGACGAATTGGTCCGTGCTACATCCTTCACGCGGCCAACTTGGCCAGCTCACTGACACCCAAGTCGTCAACCTCCAGACCCCTAAATCCTTCCTCAACGGCCCAGGCCCTGCCCTTTTCCTGCTGGTACAGGACGTCACATGACTTTCCCACGACCAGCAACCCCGGGGGCCGGCTGCCCTCAGTCTCGATCGCCTCCGCAACGTGCCTCAGCGTCGTCCTGATCACCCGCTGGTCGGGGCAGCTGGCCCTCTCGATGACGGCACAGGGCGTGTTCAGCGGCCACAGCGTCCGCTGGGACTTGGCCCTCTTCTCACCGTCCTGCGCCGCCGCCGCCGACTCCTCCTGGGTCTCGTCCTCGACGTGCGTCGTCAGCTCCCGCACGAGCCCGACGATGCGGTGCAGGGCCATGAGGAAGACGACGGTCCGGGTGGCGACGAACTCGGGCGGGGCGGGGGCTTTCCCCTTCTTCCCCGTGCCGGTGCAGATGAGGACCTGGTCGGAGACGTCGCGCTGGGTGGCGGGGATGGCGGCGAAGAGCGGTGCGCTGAGGGCGCTGGTTATGCCCGGGAGGACGACGACGGACGAGGAAGTGATGCCCTGGTCGCGGAAGAACTGGACCTCCTCGCCGCCGCGGCCGTAGACGTAGGGGTCCCCTTGCTTGAGGCGCAGGACGGTCTGACCCTGGCGGTAGCCGGCGAGGGCCATGTCGAGCAGCTCCTGCTGGGCGAGGTCGGCGTTCCCCGGGAACTTGCGGGCGATGTGGACGCGGGTGCGGCGGGGGATGAGGTCGAGGACGCCGGCGGGGACGAGCTTGTCCGCCAGGACGAGGTCGGCGGCCTGGATGGCCTTGTGGGTGGCCTGGGTGAGGAGGTCCGGGTGGCCGGGCCCGCTGCCTGCGAGGATGATCTTGCCCTGCTTCGAGAGGAGGGAGTTGGGGTTCGGATTGGGGCCGCTGGCGAGGCTGTTGGTGGTTCCCTTTTCAGGGGCGCCGGGGTAGGACTTGAAGATGGCCTCGACGTCGTCGTCGCCGATGCTGGCGAGTCTGCGCAGCGGCCAGTACTCGCAGACCTGGCTCAGCCACCGCATCCGTCTCGTCTTGGCCTCGTCCTGGGCGCCCTCGAGGACGAGGCGGTTGAAGTTTGCGCCCTGGCCGCCCTCTTCCTCGAGGTCGCCGCCGGCGAGGGCAGACTCCTGCTGGACTCTTCTGCGGACCTCACCCAGTCTGGCGCATGCGGCACCGAGGTTTGCGGGGAGGGAGGCGGCGATCTCGCGGCGGATGCGCGAGGCGAGCTTGCACCCGCGGCCGTTGGTGGTGATTCCTATCTGCAGAGGGCCGTCTGTGTGTGTGGAGAGGAGAGTGAAGGTGCAAAGTTGCGGTGCGTCAACGACGTTGACGGGGATGCGGTTGCGCTTGCAAACCTCTGAGATGTGCTGACCTGGTTTTCACAGTTAGCCTTAGGACTCTTTTTTGCTCTCGTTTCATCCTCTTCTGTCATCATGAACTTCGATATCGTCTCAGGAAGAACTTACTTTGGGGGTCGTGTGGTCCAGATGTTACAAAGACACCGTCGACGACATTGCCGACTTCCTCACGGCCAAGCGTGAAAAGATCGGCATCCTCGAAAGCCTTTTGCAGCCACTTAACCTCGCCATCGTCGATTCTCTTTTGCAGGCTGTAGTGTACTTCTACATCGGCCGGCGCCACGATGATGGGACGGGCGCCTGCGTTCAGGGACTGTGTGCAGCGGGAGGCTGCGAGAGGGTTTGTGCCGATGATGAGGTGGGTGTTGCCCCTGCAATTGAGGCCGGCGAGGAGGGATACAGGTGGTGACCCCTCGGTCGAGGGTCCCTCCATGGTGTAAGTATCTTGAGATGACGAGGAGTAGACTGGACGGCCGTGATGAGACCCGGGAGGCCACAGTCTTTGCGATTTAGATGTCTTGCCGAGTTTGCTCGTTATGCTACAGGTGAACAAATGCGATATTGATAGATCAGCTGGGACGAGCAGAGCCTATATGTATTGATCTCAGGCGAATCCGGGTCCTGGAGATGATAGGCGAGTGTGAGGGCTTATCATCTGCTTCCGCGGAGAAGCATCAACACTGATATGCTAAACCACCCAAAAGTCCATCTCGGCCTAGCGACTGGGAGTATTTGTACAAGTCCATTGGCTCCCGGCAGCCACTGATAAGCAGCCTATCAGGGCGCCATGGCTGCTGAACCCTGATTGCATTGCTCCGGCAGATGGCGCCCGTGTCGATGGCAGCAGATGGAGCAATTGTGATGCCGCAATCGGCCTTGGGCGGAAATTGACGCCATACCGCTCCGAGCCGGCATCCGGGCCAATCATGAGGGACATATTGTCAAAAGCGTTGAAAATTTCAAGAGAGGAATTTTCAACTCTAATTCCCCCACGTTGCCGCGCTTAATCATCCCTGATCCCCACTGCCGGGAGCCGTAGTCAATGGCCCAGCTGCCAGGCTGCCGAGTTAGGCAATGGGAAGATGGACAAGAACAAGGCTTTTATGATGAGAGTCAACTTCAGGTCTGCGAATAATCTATTGTTCATGTCCATTACAAAAGCCGTCTAGGCTCGTTCTTGTTCTACATTACTATACATCATATGAGGTGGTACATCAAGTTATAGTACAGACATATACAAGGAGAGGTCATCATCATCATCAGCTCAGTGCCTGCGATGCCTCTCCAACTCCGGGTCTTCTCCGATCACCTCGGCATCAATCTCCTCACCTAGAAGCCTATCTCCTTCCGCATGGATTCGTTTTAGCTCTGCCAACAGATCTTGCTGCCGTTTTCTGCCCTTTGATTTTCGATCATGCAGGACAGTCTCTGTGGTGCCGTCCTCGTCCATGTCCACCCTCGTTGTTCGAGGTTGCCTGACTTCTGCACTGGCACGTTTGCCTCCATCGTCTGCAACACCTGCCCTGACTTCTTTCTTTGTGTGAGACTTGGCCCCCAGAGCCCAGAGATCGCCCCATCTTGATTTCCTGGCGTCGCGATACGCCAGCTTGCTGAAACTCTTGGGTACCGTCCAGCGTTCGATCGTGCCTGCGGGTGTGCACACATCCATCGACACATGCCCCTTTCGCTTTATTGCCGGTAGGATCAGTCGGGGCAAGGATTGCATATCGGGCTGCTCTTCGGATTTCTCGTACCCCTTTTTGGCGAGTTGAGTGGCTTCCTTGCCGGAGAGAGCCCCTTGTCGGGAAACTCCTCGCTGGACAGCCACATAACTGAACTCGACCTCGCCACGATTGTCAACCTTCTTCCTCAGCATTTGATTATAAAAGCTGGGTCGCACGAATCTCTGGCTGAAGTGGCAAAAGTCTTTGCGACCGACACTCTTACCGGGCTCGGGATACATTGGGCACGTGTCTTGATTGGTACAGGGAGCAATGACATGTCCCGGTTCTGGCTCACGGTGCCAAGTAGGGTTGAAGTCCTCCGGAGCGATCCGGGATTCACCAGAAGGTGTCAGCAGGAACTGGTTCAGAATAGTATCCCGCGCATGGGCAACCGCCTCAAACCCTCGCGGGTGGGCCTTTTCGATGATGATGAGAACACCCCCGTCCTTTTTGAGAAGGTGCCACAGGTTGTTAAGGATCGCCTGGCGACGATGGCTTTCCTTTTCGCGGAGGAACAAATGTGATGAGATGATGATATCGTAGCTCTTCCTTGGCTGTTGTTGGCTGCCTCCCTCAAGACGAGGGCCACGCATTTCACCCGAGTGCTCATAATCAGGCATGCGAGGCAGAAACGTTGTATCGTGTAAGAAGGTTTTCAAGCGGTTACGAAGACGCTCCGAAGTCGCAATGACCGTCTTCCGACCCGGAGGTTGATGTCCTCTTACTTCGCCTTGGTCTATTAATAAATCCCACTCTGCATTCAGAACTTGCTCCCATGCGAGAAGCCCCGCTCCACCAGCTCCCGCATCAAGCACGCTGAGGCCCTCGCCCTTGTTCTTCAGCTTCGACTGGATCCAATCGCTACCTAGACGCTTGCGAACTTCGCGGACCGTGGAGAGGATCGAAGCATATGCTGCTGGCATGAACCCCGCAAGAAAGGCATCAGCTTCGATCTCGGTCATATGGTGCTGATCTGCGAGAAGCCCGACACCTCCCATGTGGCCACTCCTTCTCTTAAGTACCATTTCTGGAGATAGAGGCAGTCCGGGTCCACCGTAAACGCTCTCTGCAGCCTCCCTCACATGGTCCACATGCGTTCTCCTCAGAAGATCAGTAATGGGCTGCACAAGCTCCTCTTGAGGTAGAAGCACTTCAATTGGGGTTCCGTGAAAGCGGCCTGCTTCGGTAAGTGGGTGGTATCGTTGGCGAGCTGACCCATGTTCGTATTCCTCCTCTTCAGCAGCTGTCTCCTCCCTGGCAGGCCATGATACTTCCTCCACCCGTTGTAAGTTTTCCACCTCAACTTCGTCCAGCAAGGTCCGAGCCTCTGCCTCTTGCTGTTCCTTCTGAGTTTCTTCGAATTGCTGGACCAGTTTTTGAAGGGCATCGTGCTCTCTCTGACTCCTTGCCACGGATTCAACATAGGTGGGGGGCTTTTCAATTAATTCCTGGGGTTCTAGCGCAGCTGGTCGAGTCTCGTTAGACTCTAGACCAGTTTCCTCTGCCTGTGTTGTTGAACGGTCCTCTCCGGCTGCCTCTTTCGGCGGAATGTGATATGCCACTTCCTCGTAGCGCCCCTCAACCTCCCGCAACAAGGTGGCTTCATTATCTGGTTGCGATTTTCCCGGCGTTTCCGAGCGTCCCATATCGGCGTGCATGTGTATTCCGACATCCTCAGGGTTCGTCTCTCGAAGTGGTGGCCCATATAGCCGAACGTAGAGTGCATACTCTTCATCGTTTAGGTAATTCTTGGGTAGAGTGTCACGGAATCGTTGCTTCGCATCTCGGACGACTTGCTCGACAGGATTGCTCGATTCGCTCGCTGCAGTCGCGGCGGCCTCTTGACGTGCGCATTTCGAGGTCGAAAGAAATCGTGATTGCAGCCTATTTCTTGCTTGGAATTGATCAAGGTGCGTGAAGGCAATGGAAGGAGAGTATGCCGATTGTGAAAGAATGGAATGAGAACGAATTAGTAACGTCGTGGAAAGATGCCGCTTTGAACAGGCATTCCGGATGCCCCTCGAAGAAAGCATTTTGCAAAAAGCTGTATCAAGCACAAAAAATACACGAATGGCGAGGACGGGAATAAAAAGCTAGACGTCCCTTCGTCATGGATAGCTTTTTTCGACAATGCGCGGTGGCACGTGATTACTTAGATGGAAATCGCTTTTATCATGGCTCTTATTGGCTAGCTACTGGGTTAGAAGCATCCCCGCAGGTACTATTTAGATATGCGATTCATAGGGTGGAGCGAGCTCCGAATTGAAATGCATCTACCGAAGTTGTTTGACAGAGTGCCGTTCTCATGACGGCTGAGAGACCAATTTCTGGGGTAGAGACTCCAAGTTTGGGTTTCAAGGCCTGGCTGATCTGACAAGTCTCTATCTCAACACAGCACTTGGGTCAATACTTCGAGAGCGCATGGAGAATGGAAACATCTGAATACTATCCCCTATCGATCAAACAAAAGGCCAACTACGACCCTATCCTAACGCCATAAAAATTCCACACATTCACAAAAGAACCACTCGCTGTCATCATGCCTCTACTGCTCGCCATCCAAATCCGCCAATGTCCTAAAGGAGGGCTTTGGTGCCGCCGGCTTACCATTTGCACCCAGCTTTGTTGAGCTGGAACCGAGGTTCGCCCTGATATCCTGGGCTTTTCTGTGCTTGTTAAACCACGAGTTTTCGGCTGCCGCGAGTGCATCAAACTAGAGATCAATGTTGGTCAGCATGGCCATTTTCTTCACCTACGCCTCTTATGATCCACATACCGAAAACAATGTGACAAAATACAGCCCGATGAAAAGCACGACCATGTTCAGAGCCCCGAATACGCTGAAATTGCGGGGGAGGCCGAAACCAGAGCCGGCCGCCGCCTTCTTACCGCCGCCGGGACCGCCGAGAGTGCGCCCCGGCTTGCTGAAGGCCTCGGTGGGCTTCCCAGCCGGGGTGGTGTCAGAGAGCTTGACGGCCTTGGAGATGGCGGAGCTGAGGGAGGAAGGGTCGGCGCCCTTGAGGGTCTCGACACACTCGGTGCCGTGGAAGATCTTGAACGTGGGCATCGCCGACACGCCGTAGGTCTTGGCAATAGTCGCCTGGTGGTCGACGTTGACCTTGGCGAATGCCATCTTCTTGGGGCGCGAATGCTCCTTTGCAAGGCGATCAAAATGAGGCCCAATCATCTTGCAAGGGCCGCACCAGTCGGCATAGACTATGAGATCGAACGCATGTCAGTTCTCGGTTCACTTCGGTACCTTGGGGGGGTGCACGTACAGTCTACGATTACGACATTGGTGCTCCCGAGGAGGCTATGCCACTCGCCCGTGGAGCCAATACTGATAGGACCGCTCATGATCAAAACTGATGTGAAGATATTAGATGATGTTTCGTGTCGTGAGATGGAACGGAAGGGCCACGAGCTTGTAAAGGGACATGTTGCTTTCTCAGCCAGCCGTTTCCATACGCAAGTTCCCCGGTTGCGCTAGGTGGCGTGAACCCGCATTTGGTAAGCGGTCAGCCACGCGATCTCAGATTCTGCCGGACAATTGTCCCGCGATCCAACTTTTTTTTTATCAAACTTACACCGACTGGAAGCGACCTCTAGGACTGATCAACAAATTCTCGGGTCGGCAAACAGCAATAAAAATGTCGTACCAGGAACGCCAAACAAAGGTAAACTAAACTGAAAATTCACATGGCCAATTGTCCCAGCACAAAGTAAAATACTAACAACAAACTAGAAACGCAAAACCGGCCACAATGATGGCGCCCGCAGCGAGCAAAGATCGTTCAAGCCCTCGCCTCACTTCGCACCTCGTAATGCCGGTCGGGATTGGACGGTGTCTGTCGCCATCCCCAGCAGTATCCTAGCCAAGTAAGGCCGCGACAGAATACCTATTACCAATCTCCCCCCAAAGAGAAGCGTTCTAACTCTAGCTTTCTTTTCAAGCTTGGCGACCGCAGACCAGCGCATGTCAATCCCCGGACGAATTGCCCGCGCCCTCTCCATCTTCTCCGTGGACGAGGTCGTCATCTTTGACGACTCCGCGCCCGCCACCCGCCCTCGCGCCTCAGACCCGGCAGCATACACCGGGGACACCGATCCCTGCCACTTCCTCTCACACATCTTCTCCTACCTGGAAGCGCCGCCGTTTATGCGCAAGGCACTGTTCCCTCTCCATCCCAACCTGCGCCTGACCGCTCTGCTTCCTACGCTGGATATGCCGCATCACCCGCACCCCAAGGAGTCGCTCGAGTACGCCGAGGGTGTGACCGTCAAGGGGAAGACCAGCACGGGAGCCGGAACCCTGGTGGAGGTTGGGCTCGAGCAGCCCGTTGAGATCGAGGAGAAGATCCCGCCGTCGACAAGGGTGACGCTCAAGTTCTCAGAAGACGAGTCCGAGAACCCCAAATGCGTGCACCCGGACGCCCCACGGACTGAAGCTGGCTATTATTGGGGGTACAACGTGAGGAAATGCGGCTCTCTCTCCGCCGTCTTCACCGAATCTCCCTATGAGAATGGTTACGACATCAGCATTGGCACATCGGAGCGCGGCACGCCTGCGGCAAGAGCTTTTCCTTATGGAAAGAAGGTCATATTTAAGCATTTATTGATTGTCTTTGGCGGGCACAGAGGGCTGGAGTATGCGTCAATGAATGACGAGGACTTGGCTGGTATGGATGTACAAGGTCCCAAGACCAGGGAGCTATTTGATCATTGGCTCAACGTTCTTCCCGATCAGGGAAGCAGAGCTATCAGGACAGAGGAGGCAGTACTCATCGCTTTAACGGCATTGCGGCATATTTGGTATTCAGACTAGTTTACCCATACCCTTAGCTGGATACCCTTTTGTTTTCCACTTATTGTTCGAATAATCTGTCACGCTGTGGCTGTCTCCATCAAACCTGGGTCCCTCATAAGTTTTGGATCAACATCTTCAAGAGGCTAGAGCCAAAGCAATATATGGGAGGGCCTATACAGGACGGTATAAGCCCAGGGTGTCGGCAAAGGTACTGTTGTTGAGGACTGCTGGGATGAGATCTCGCCCATCTTGCTCAACCATTACCCTTGTCCCTACCGTGCTTAGCCCAAAAATTTCGATTCCTCCAGCACTATCCTGTACACTTAGAATCCTCTCCTGGCAGTGTCGAGTCGAATTGGGTCTCGAGCAGGTATGATCATAGTTGACGAAGAATGAGTATAGCCCAGCGCCGTAGATCACAACATCTCTGGACCCCTGCATTTTTATTCCCCAGGAAGTTTCACAAGGTTCAACGGACGGTCCATCGCAATCCCGATTGAAATCAGGGTCATTGAACTGCGCTAATGCTGGAAACGGGAAACGGGCAAGAGGTCGTGGCTGGAAATATGGGCTCTCAGTCTGAAGATGACCCATGTAAATGTTCTGGGTGTTCAGAAAGTGATACTGGTACATCACATGATGCTCGGAACCGGTCGCACTGAGCCAGATGCGACCCGTCTGGGACTCGATAAGTAAGCCCCGGCCGGCGAAGATAGTCAACCGCTGGTACTGATCATCTTCCAAATCGTGGTCGGCAACCCAAAACCAACAGTTTTCTGAGAACAGGCCCCCAGATTGTGGAGTGAGATGCATGCTCATAAACGCCGCGATGCATTTTGGATTGATTGCATCATCATGTTGGATGGCTGGACACTGCGGCAGCTGAAGGTCTGTTCCTGGAAACCCCCCGATTCTCGTATGTATATCCCACATTCTAGATGGGACGCCATCTGAGAAAAGGTTGTATTCTATAAGAATAGCACCAGCACAAGGTCCCCTGGTTGACATAAATGTATCGGACCACTCGATGCGACCAACCTGTCCAGGAAACCCTACTTTAACGACGGGTCGAGGGTTGCTGAGGTCTTGGAATTTGGGACCGTATGCCATGATTGTTGATGCCATCGCCTCACCCACAATCCTCGAGTTGGGAGGTATGTACACGGTGTCGGTGACTAAATATATTCCGGCATCGAGATGGAGGATGAGCCCATGTTCAGCAGCATACTTCAGCAACGCATTCAACGCTTGGGTGTCATCCGATGAACCGTCACCCTTCACCCCGTATGCTCGCGCCGAGAGGAAAGCAGATGCCGGAAACTCTTCGTATTGCGGCTAGCCCTTGATTTAGCCAGGTGTAACAGACTAAAGAGCATGGAACTCACCTTTGATTTTTCGTAGTATTTACCTCCCTCCAATAGCGGTGGCCTGCGACTGGAGGGGAGACTGTAAAAGCCCGTTTGGGCGAAAAAGCCGATACTATCAACGACGTGGCCCTAGATGAGAGTGAGTACCGACAGTCATTTCCCAACCTTCCCAAAGGCTAGATGGCAGAAGGGCTTTACCATGATGAAAATATCACCTCCGCCTTGTTTGACGTCGTCTTCTGTCAATATGATCCCGTCGGGCCCCAGAAGAATCTTATTGACGGCGTTAAATTTCACGTTATCCATGACTAGCGTCCCGTTGGCCCCTTTATTGTCATTGATCTTCCGCGTAGTGGTGATTGCGGTATCAGTATGCTCGAACCAGCTGTCGAGCAGGGTGATGGAGCCCGTCGAAGCTTGCTCCTCATCCATTTGGATGCCAATTCCGCAATCTTTGAAGTAGGCGCCTTTGAAAGTCCAGCCCCAGTTCCATTTCATGCTGATCGCAATCTCTGAACCATAAAACCATAGATTCCTCGCCGTATACTGTTGGTTGCCAAGTACGGCTGCTGTGCCACCACCAGAAAAGTAAAGGTCATTGAGAAGCCCACCAGAGCCTTCCTCAATAAAGAGTCCAGTATGCTGGTTTCCCGGAACGGTCGACAGGAGAAACACGCAGTTGGTGATCGCGGTCGCCTGGGACGAAGGCCAATGGATTCCAACGGCTCGAACATCAGCAGGCATGGCCGTAGTATCGAGAATGAGATTCCGAATCTGTCGGAAGAAGGTGTTTGTGGAGTTCCAGGCAAGCGAACCGCCCGGCTGGTATGGATTCGCATCAATCAACCCAAACTTCTCCTTTGGGAAAAATGATGCCGCCTTGATCGTCGGACGGTTAGTAGGATCGCCGATGAGTTGCGTGTGGTAGAAATCGATGATGGAATCGGATATAAGGTAGGTTCTACATCCAAATTAGCAACTATATGCCACGCGCCGTTGATAAAGTCCTTTGCTGTGAGATATCTCACCCGGAAGGAAAGTAGACAGTGGCAGGGGAAACAACGCTGCCTTTGCAGAGGCCAGGAGCACATCTCTGCCCTGCTGAAATGGCGGCATTGATAGCCATCGTGTCATCGGTGACTATGTTTCTGGTTAATCATACATGGTTTGCAGATCAAGGGCCTAGTCTATGGAATACCTCCATCTCCAATTGCGCCAAAGTCTTTCACATTGCGAAAGATTTGGTAAGCCGCACCGGATGGATGATATGGAGAAATGCCATAGTGTCCAATATCCTCCAACCAAAACTTGGCGTTTGCAACCCCCAGGAGAGCGCAAAGAATAAGAGCGCGGAGCGCCATGAGCATCGAGTACTTGGCCTCCAGCATCGGTAGTATATGCCAACCGCCTCGCGAAGAAGCACGTATGCGGAAGAGAAGGAAAGGCTGAAGAAGAAGAATAGTGAGGGTATGAGGAGGGGAGAGAGGAAGAGAGGCAATAGATGCGGCGATGAGGTGCACAGAGTTTTGCGATCAAAGACGGCCAGTCAGTCTATCGGTCAGTGGAAGCTATCCCGTCTCATGAGACTGTAAAAGCGGAACCCAGACAAGTTTGCTTTGGTGTATCCCTTCTCAAGCGAGGAAAGAGCCGCCCGGCTCAGTGGATTTGGGCCGCCAAATTGCATCATCTCAATGAGTACAAAAGGCAGGCGGTAACGACCGAGAAGCCCGTTGAGACTTCCGATTGTGATTTCTGGATGGTTGATTGACCGATCTGTACAATCGGCACTAATTCAGTCTATTGTCAACATCCCATTCCAAAAGGCGGACGCAGGTGGTGACAGTCGTCTGAGAAGAAAGAAGAGAGAACAATAGTGGGATGTGATTAGGATACATGCCTATTTAGGTATTGTTAGCTAAAGAATAGAGCCATTGTTGAATGCCCATAGCCCCTATGAATATAAAGTTGAATCACACCTCCAAGTGTTCCCGGATTCTCCAGTCAACGCCATCCGATGCATATATTTCCTCAGAGGAGGTTTGTTTGGATTATATTTTGTAAATGTACCACCCATTTATCGAAAAAAAAAAAAAAGGCAGACAGTGATTATAAATGAACAATCTCTAAAGAGACGAGGGGCGCTCGGCATCCAGTGCGACTGCGCTCTTGAGGCTCTCTCCTCCCACAGGGGCCTTGCCAGCCCTCTTACGAAGGACATTCTCAATAAAGGCCTCGCCTGCCTTGTAAGAGGACCTGACTAGAGGTCCACTTGCACAGAAGAGGAAGCCCATTTCCATGGCGCGCTTGTGCCACATGTCAAACTCGGCTGGTGTGACATACTTTTCAACCTTGAGGTGCCTCTTAGTGGGTCGCATGTACTGTCCAAACGTGACAATGTCAACATTGACCTTTCTCAGTTCTACAAGTCATCATTAGCCTTTGTTTCCCACAAGGGGTGGGGACACAGATCGCATACCAGTGAGAGCAGCCATAACCTCATGCTCCTGTTCTCCCAGGCCAAGCATCAGACTGGTCTTGGTGATGATACCTTCTTGGCCTTTAACATCCTTGACATGCTTCAGGACATTTAGACTCTGCCGGAACGTAGCTCGCCTGTCTCGTACATAGGGAGTAAGGTCCTCGACCGTCTCCATGTTGTGAGCGTAGACGTCAAGTCCACTTTCAGCCATAATTGCAACCATGTCCAGATCGCCCCTGAAATCACCCGTCAGGGCTTCAACCAGGAGAGACGGCTTCTTCTGCTTGATTTTGCGGATGGTCTCGGCGAAGTGATTGGCACCACCGTCAGGCAGATCGTCACGGTCCACGCTGGTCAAGACGACATACCCAAGACCCCAACGGGCCAGGGCTTCTGCGGTATGCTCGGGTTCGTGAGGATCAAGCGGAGCAGGGGCCCGGTTGGTCTTGACACTGCAGAATCGGCAGCCTCGCGTGCAGGTATCGCCCATCAACATGATGGTGGCGGTAGCAGCGCTCTTGTCGGATCCACCCCAACACTCGGAAATGTTGGGACATCGAGCCTCCTCACACACAGTGCTCAGCTTCAAGCCGCGCAGATCCTTCTTAATCTTCTTGTAATTATCATTGCCCGCGGGGATAGGCGTCTTCAGCCACTCGGGAAGTCGCGTGATAGTCCTCTTTCTGCCTTCAGGGCCGACTTCGGCGGTTCTGAGCGTGTAGGCCTCGGTTGCGGAAAGAGGCTGGTTGGAAGACAAGAACTCGCCAAAGGGGGCAACAGTGGTGTCCTTGAAGTAAGTCTTCCGCCTGGGCTTCGATGCGGTGCTATCCGTTGGGTTGGCGGTGGGCGGGACGGTGGCCATGCAGCGGATTGAGGGGGTCGAGGAAGAGAGCACCTTGCGCAAAGGGGCGCGTGCCCGGTGCATTGAGGGGGCTATCGAGGCCATGGCAAGTTTGAGCTCTACCGACGACGCCTGGGTGATGCGGCAGGCAAGTGTGAGTTGATAAAATTGATGATGGTTACATGCTCTATCCATATTTCGTTATCAGCAACGGCGAAATTCCAGCGAGTTCGGATGAGACCCGAGATTTGGGCCAATGAGCATGCGCAGCCCAAAGCCGATGGGACCCGTAGCCACCCTTGAACCCCTCAAAGCAGCCCGAAGCTGCGGGCAGAACCGCTGTAACCCAATCAGCAGCTCTCTTTTTTCTCTGACCACGCTGGAAGCTCCCCTGCATTGCTTCCATCGGCAATTATTAATTGTCCTGTCCTGCCCGAAGCTCGGCCTGCATCACCGGCTATATGCGCGTGGCTCTGCTTGACAAATAGGAACCGGAGACATTCGGCTTTCATTCTATCAGGTGTTGCGCAAGGTAGGTACTTCCAAATACAGGATATTCTGTGCTCTCTCAAATCTATGGTCAAGCAACTCACGGCAGTCGACATGAAGTCAGTCCACTGAACGCATACATACAGGGACAGAATGCAGATAATCGCAAGGGTTGCAGCGTACCCATCCCGTTCCATGCTAATTCTCACGAATGCTACGCGCAATGAGACCACCTAGACAACCCTAAGGGATAGCACAGCCTCAATGCTTTGCAACAATCCAGAGGTGTTTCTCCTGAGTATCACCTTCAACCTCGCTCTTCTCAATTGTAAATCCGACCTGCTTCAGTTTCGCGGCCGTCTTCTCCATCCCCAGCCCACTCCAGAACATCCAACCCTTCTCATGCAGCCACGACTCCATGACACCGCTGGACATCTCATCAAATGAGAAATTCGCAATCAATATGCCACCTGGCTCCAGCCATTCCGCAATCTTATCCAGCATCTCCTCTTGCTCCCCCTGCGGCAGGTGAATCAGGCTGTAGAGAGCCACCACCGCCGTCAATGACTTGGGCGCAAACGTCAACTTGGTCATATCACCAGGCTCGAATTGCACCCGATCGCCGTACGCAGCAAGGTTCTCCCGCGCCAACCCGATCTGCGTGTCCGACATGTCATTCGCGACCACCGATATCCCGGGCCCCCCTCGTTCAAGCAGCGTGGTGAGAAACGGAGCCCCGGATCCGCAACCGAGCTCAAGCACCGACGATTTCTCGTCGACGGCGTTGCCCAGTTTTGGGATCCGGCCGAAGAGCTCATCCAAGTAGGTCATCCGCATGTGGTTGTGCCGCTCGGTCCAGGAGTTGTAGACTGGCGCCATGGCATCGTAGGACGCCTTGAGGCGGGCTTTAACATTTTCAGGTGGAGTTTGCGTAGTCATGTTGCTAATTGATTCTAGGATACCTTCACAGCCCTCTTTTGGTATCCCTTGCACAGGTGAGTGTATTTGACGGTGTGCATTCTGGTTGCAGTTTTAAGCTGGGCGGGAGCCCATACATATAGGTGAGGGGTGTTCCCCATCGCGGCGTGACTCACGAATAGAGCATTCAACACAAGAAATATTCGTCCACCGACGAATATCAGGCCTTTACTAGTATTGCGACATAATAGAACATACTTATGTCTTATTCTTTCTCCTCCGAACACCTGATGGATTAAGAAAGCATGCAACTCCCTAGCAGATAATATAATGGATAGTTGAATACCACTGTTAAATGCATATGTCGAGGTCCCACATGGTAGTATCGAGTCTAGCATCCATTGGCCCCATTCTGGCCTGACCTCATCAATTTCATACTGGAGAGAGGCAATGCGGTTGTGAAACCCCAAAAAGATGCGCCAAGATGGAGCAAGCCGCTAAATCTGCAACAATAAAGGTGTTCAGACAGTTCCCCAAAGAACTCTTCCGCGTCAACAATGGGTGGCAAGTCCTTCTGCGTCCGCGGACTAAACGCTCCTCGGGGCATGAGATCACCACCAAGCCAAAAGACTTGCTCGACCTCCCGGACAGCAAGCCTCGCGTAGAGCCAAAAGCCTTGGATCCGGAATCTTACAGTGGTGCGTTATGTGTGTGTGCGGATGCGGATCTAACAGAATACTGATATTATGCAAAGGCCCCAATGGCGCCGCAATGTTCCCGAATACGACTCATCTACAGTATTGTATATTAGGGTTTCTACGCAAAAGAAATCCCATCATATACAAAATTCAAGAAGGTAATATTTTGAGCAACTCAAGAGGCACGAATAGAAGACTAACAACTAGTCCAGGTACAAAGCTGCCAGATGAACTCCTCTTAGTCCGCGATACACCAGATGGACGGAACTGGTCGCTGCAACCAGCACAAGAGATGACCCTTGAAAGTAAGCGTCGCTATATGATTCAAACCGCATGGCAGGAATCTAATGCACTTGGCTTCACAGATTTAAATCTAAAAATCACACAATTCCTAAGGGACAATGGGGCAGTGATGAACCGGCAGCAGTTCCTGAAAGTGTATCCCAAAGCTACTGACCCACGATCGCCTCTGCATCCCCTTCCGAAAAATTGGAAGGTGAAAAGGTAATTGTCTGATTGAAGCTCAGTGGGGGTGGTAAATGGCATGTATCGGTAGCCTGTGGATTGTTGTCATGTAATTTTAGGCGTTTTCGGCACACGAGAGCATTTCAGCGGCGTATTTTATTCTATTTGCATAACTAGACTTCCTCATGAGCAGACCAAAAGACTACGGTGCTATTGAATTGTTTTACACAAAACAGTCAAGCAACGATTAGTATCACTCTCAATTCTATCCAGTGCTGTTTCACTTAAGTGCTTCACATATATCACCAGGCACAGTTATAAGTATCTTGAAATATTTTGGTATATTTTATCATCCGAAACTACCAAACCGCCAATTGAAAGAAGCGCTATCCCCTTAGAGGTAGCGAAAGAAGAGAAATGTAAAAATTGATCCCCAAACCCGTAAACTCCAGGCCCAACAATCCTGTGTCCAAGAAGCCAGCGACTCTAGTCAGGGTATGAAGCACACCTCGATAGGTCAACTGGATCCCACCATGGTCAAAATGGGTATCAAACCAAGAATGAAAACACGCCCCCTTCATATTCGCCGCTAATATAAGAAAGAGAAGAAGAAAAGAAAAGAAGAAAGAAGAAGAGAAGAAAAAAGTCGGAACAATCCTCATTGTCTCTATGTAAGAGAGACAAAGTTGGTTGCCAGAATGTGCATTGTTCCGCACCAGCCAGCACATATGAATAAAACCATCCTGCAGAAAGATGCTGCTTGACAGCATCATACAGGATGATGTGCGAAAAGAAAGCCGTCCATGTGCAGCTGTGTGGTGAAATAAGACATTAAGTACTCAACTGCCTTGGGCAGACCAAATCGCAGAAGTGGCGAACTCGACTGTAAAGGAAAAAAGAAGAAAGGAAGAAAAAGCAAAAGTGAATCAATGCCATTGACAGGTCAGTGGCCATAAAAGAAGAGGAAAAGTGATAACCAGAACGCTTTGGATACCGACATTATCGAAATGCCTTGATGGTCGGATATATCGTTGAATCGTTCATCGTGGAGACAAGAAACGTAAAAGCCCACAAGATGGGCTGACACATAGAGAAATTTGTCGAACAATTGCCATGTCGGTATGCAGCTTTACATCAGGGCAACGACAATAGCGCCCAAGGCGCCGGCATAGGCAATGCGAGACACGTCGAGGGCAGAGGCAGCTCCGGGCTCGTTGGTCGAAGAAGGCTGGGATGAACCAGAGCCGGTTGCGCTAGCGCTCGTAACAGTAGTCAGGCCGGTGCTGCTGCTGCCAGGAGTTGTCGTAGCAGAGGTGGTGGTCGTGGCGTTGGGTGTCACTGCTGACTGGGCGTCTGCTGCGGAGAGCGTGATGTACTTGGTACGAGTCAAAGTTGATGTGAGAGTAGTGGTAGCCTCATCATCCCCCTCCGCAAAGACGAAGGCAGGCAGGGCGGCGAGAATAATATTCGACAGACGCATGGCTGCGGTAATTTGTTTGCTGTTGCAAGTAAAGATGTGGTTGAGTGAACAAGTTGAGAACGCGTTGTTCTATAGACTATGTTCGAAGAAAATTCAAAGCAGAATTCCAAATAGCCTGGCTGGTTGCTTGCTGATATCCAAGGATCAGATAGATGGCCTAGGTGATAGATGGTAAAGGCAAAACGTTGGAAGTGAGAGGCTTTAGATATTCGATATCTAAGAAGGCTTGAACAGTACAATACTGAAAGAATGTGTGAGCAGCAGCTAAGGGTGCAGAGCAAGTCAAAAGACTGGGGAAATGAAGTCCAACACGGACACACGAGGCTAATAAACAATTTGCGAAGAGGACGAGACTGGGGGAAGGGAAGGTCAAGGACGGCGCAGGATCCTGTTGCGGACGGATATGGGGGGAGGGTCTCCCTTCGGTCACTTGCATGCGGGAAGCGCCCACATCACTCAATCCGCCCAGCCCAGTCTCTCACGGGCCCAGCTGTTAGCGTGCCCTGGGCGAGTCGGCCAACAACGAAGAGACATGGAGCCAGAACAGAGTGAGCAGCCGCTGGCCTGTCCCTGTCAATCGTGACCTGTGACACATGGCTCAGAGACTGAGGGTCCAGGTCCAAGTACTTGCGATGCTGGGGAAGCCAGACCAAGCGGCGGTGGGAGCCTGGCTGCAGGTACGGTACCTGGAACCTTGCATCCAACCTGACAAGGTAACGCGGTGAGTCGCGGAAATGAGGGTCAGGTACCAAGCCCATGTTTCACTTGCAAATGGACCCAATGAGGGTCTGCCCTTAATGGCCCGGGGCCCGCTCTTTTCTTAGCAGCAGGTGCTTTAGCTGCTCTTGCTCTGTTGGGCTGTCTGACAGAGCAGGGAGGGTGGCCATTGGCTCTGGAGCTCTGGCTGTTCTGTTCTTAGACGCAACCACTCTTGCGGATCTCCTCTGTGCGTCTGCCAGCGGTAGTTCTTTTTCGACTGCCATGGCCAAGATCCGTGCCTTCAAGAACTCTCCGTTCGCCAGGGCATAAGCAAAATAAACTCCCGCTTCAACAAGGCAAGCTCTATGTGTTTTTAGGAACGCCAGCCTTGGCGAGTTGTGTGGTTGCTAATTTGGGTGTGGGAGAGGACGAGAGGCGGCCTGGCCTCAACCAGGCGGCATTTTCGTCACGCAGCCTGGCGCGATGGACAAATTGGGCTGTTGGCACTACGCTTCCCAATGCTCATGCGAGGGCACGCGCCCACACTTCACTTTAGCTTCAATTTGCGCGTAGAATTCGTACCTGCGGGACGGAAGAGCGCTGCAGAAGGGCTGAAGATCCTCCCCCCCTCCATCGCGCGCCGTGATTCGCCAGGCGAGGGCCATTCATAAAAAAGTCTGCACTCACAAAGGCTGCCAAGGAGACAGTCAAATTTGCATAATTTGCCCCCGCGAGTCTGATTGGCAGCTCGAGCCGTTGGGCGGGCTCCTTCCCCTCCTCGAAGCCGTGAATGGCCCCTCCCAAAAAAGCCGTAGCGTGGACGGTACCTGCATTTTGATTAGCACCACCCGCTTCGTGGCTACCGCCTGCCTTCTCAGGCGGTTCGCTGCTTCCCGGCCTGGGGAAAGCGACTGCCGTTTCCCAAACAGGCATCGCCTCAGGCACACGGCGCACCCTTTCGCAACAGGCTCACTTTCGCGTGATTTTCCCCCTCCATCTGCCCTGTCCGCATGCCAAAAGACTGGGTACAGAAGAAAGCCTGGGCGATCACCACAACGGTCGGCCTGGATACACACATCGATCTTGTCGACTGCTTGTAGACAGCACAACAGCGGTGGGCGGAGTCAGTTGACCTGACACTTGTTCGCCCTGGCGCCGAGGGTCAGTCCAAACGCAACACGTCTCTTGTCCCGCCGCCCAACTGTTTCAACCTCCAACCAGCCAGAAACACGTACGCAGGTTAGGTCAGCGCCTCATGTGCGAGGGAAAATTCTGTCTCACGCTTTTTGGCCCGGTCAATGGGCTAGAGCCCCACGTTGACACGCCAGGTTTAATTCCCCCCTCACAAAGTCGCCATCACGCCAAGCCAGGGCCGAAATGACGTCCCCTCCTCCATCAGACTAGGCGACGCGTGCGAGACACACGAAAGGACAAAATGGCCATTCCGCTTTGCCCAATCTTGCTTCCGCGCTGTGTGCCTTGTTGACCGCTTGTCCGTGCGCTGCTCCACAGAGCTGAGGTTCTACATAGTACAGCAGCCGAGCCCAGATCATACATGCCCTCAGCCGCACAGGATGGCTGCTTTTCGCGCCAGCTCAGACGGCTACTCTCCATAGCAACCAAGGCTGCCTGCGCATTAACCCCGTTCCTGCTGGTCCTGTTGAAGCCGCGCTTTTCATGCTGGGTGGCTGCACATTCAGGGCTGGCTGACTACGGCACCCAGCGAACATACTCTTATTCAAATCTCTAAATCGTCTCAGAGCTGCTAGTACTTGATGTGTAGTGTACACTGAGGAATAATGAGGCCCATTGGTCCCAAAGAGGTGGACGGAGGCTATTCCATGTCCCAGACACGGCCATGCACGGTTTACCTCAGTTTTGCAAGACAGCTCTGGGTCTGTACCATCGGACGAACCCGGGCTCCTGCATTCGAAACGCATGGATCTCTTAGGTCGTTTCCTGTCTAAGCCAACGTGCATATGTACGATCCAGTCGTGCTTGGACTGAACATCTTCACCACTCCACTGTTATGTGCTCAAGAAACATGCTAATGCTAAGCGTAAAGCTTCTACTCTGTAAGTCATTCCCATGTGATGGGCAGCATGAGATGGCCACCACTTTCAACAGCTCTAGTACATGCCAAATGTCATATCAGAGAAAGATTAATAACGGCGACGGGTCCTATCATCTCGATGGCTGCAAACCGAGATTGGACTACAGTACCCATCTGTGACTTTCCTCTGAGCACTGTCATCGCTACAGAGTTTCACTACTGTATCATTTTCCCAACCAGAATTCGGCTGTGTACCGGTGCCAGAGTACTAGAATAAAAAGCCTTGTTGGCTTCTATGTCGTGTTCTACGAATTCCTGTTGTCGATGGCTTTCATTGTTTTATGAATGTGGAGGGGATGGCTTGCTCGTATTGGGCATAGGTTAAACAAGTCGAGATTACTTCCGATTGGATCTCATCCTCTTTCTTTACAATGTAATAAAAATCAGGAGCGAGGCCAGTGATCTAGAAAGCGAGCGCACCTGGGTTTCGCGGAAGCCAACGACATCAAGACCGGCGAGCCTCCGAGATATGACCCACCCATCGGCCGTTGATAGCATTTAGGCTTACTCCATAGCATTTCCGGGCCGCACATCTGCTATTGGCAATAGTGGGCGATCACGGCGCAGCTGGCCTTATCTACGTTTGTTTTTTGTTTGCAGATAGGTTATCAAGCAGAGGTATTCATCCGTCAAGCTCAGCGCGCGGATGTGGCTTGGCTACTGCTGGATCTCCGTTCTAATCTTCCGATCCGGTACACAAGGCAATATGGAACCCCTTCAGGTAGGATAACTAACGAAGAGAGACACTGCCTGGACTTTGGGTGCATACGGTCTCATTGGCATTACCATGTCTAGGTATAGCGTAAAATGGGCTGCACAACATATATGCATGCAGTGTAGATATGGAAGGCTCCCAACCGCGTGGATGGCAGTTGAATGACGCGTCCTCCGGCGGCTCTCTCCAACTAGGGAACATCACCAGGGTTCACTTGCGGGTGTTTGAGGTGACGGCGAGCCTAACGGACGGGACGGGGACCAAGAATGCTCCTCTATCCATGTCTGCCCTACACAGGTCGGGGACCAAACAAGAAATGGAACCAACGTACGGTTTGTCGAGATCCAGATAGCATCCTAGTTCGGTGCGGATGAGTATGGCCTCGACTCTTGGGGCGCCATCATCGTCTAGGCACCGGGAGGTGACGAAATAATCATGACAATGCGGCAATTGGATAACTTTTGATGTCCTATTCGAAGTGATAGTTCAGCATTCGTCCCCGACAGTCCTCTGATTAGCTGTTCATTAGGGTGCGCAAATACAAATACCCACATATCAAACAACATTCCAGATATGTTTCCACAATATCACGGAAAATATCTAACTTTTTTTTAATCAGAGCGAAGCTATGACAATCTTGGACAGGAAGAAAAATCATCAAACGCCGTGACGAAATAGGTTGAGTTAGGGTCCATGAAACAGGGGACCAGTCTTGAAACACCCGCGCACGCGACGATGGTAGTTTACCACCTGTGGGACCCAACGTTGACGGTACAATCAAGGTCGTAGGCTTGGTTGGCGGCATGGGCTTGAGCTGCAAGCTCTTTCAAGGGCGAGACAAGGATGGCTGGCCAGTGGTCGTCGAGCCATGTGCGCTGATCTAGCCTCTCGTTGGTGATATCAATCATGGGACCTGTTGCAGACATGATTCACGACCCTTCGCAGATGCTGGTCCAAGCCGAATTCCCCGGAAATCCACATCCAGGCACTTCCCTAACAAATGCGTCAATGAGTATCAATATAAAGGAATGAAATGAATATCAATTCTGATCCTCGCGCTGCTGCCCTTTTGGTAGCACGCAGACAAAGACCTGCCTGTTCCAGGACGGCAATATTCAATAAATCCCCAAGGCTTGTCAAGCTGCGTAATAAAGGATCGAGGTCCCAGACACGCACAGGCGGGGTCCCACGAGCGAGCATGGATTGAAACGTGGAGAATCAAGAAATCGATAAAAACCTTGGCCTCCAAGGGCTCGCGCGTATTACTATGTATTCCTCCCCCGGTGGGAAAAATACTTGATTGATGAAACCTGCCGGGGCAAGGCACATGGGTCGCCGCCGAGGTGCAGGAGGTCAAGAACCATCACAGGAATCCAATCTTTGAAACCCGGATCTGACGATTGAAGAGCTGCCCCTTCGGAAATATGGTCAATTGCGAATCATCGGAAGAAAGACGTCGGGAAGTCTAGGTCT